TTTTTCCTATGGAGAAGTGAACTGGCATATTAAAAAACTGTTGTGTGAAGCATTGAATATGCGATGCTGCTGGCTGGGAGCGGGAGTGTTAGTAGAACCTGTTCTGCTGGCAGCGAACCATCTCTACTCATGCTGAAGAAGCAGTGCTAGTATGCTCTTCTTTAGTCTAGCTGGCTTTACTAACATCCTGTTACTGTTGTACTGAAAATATTTTTGGCAGTTCAAGCTATTTTTTCACACTGTAATAGCCTTATTTAATTTTAAATTGTTAATCTTTTTCCTCCCATGGTGTCTTCAGCTATGCGTATGTGGCTGATGATGTTGGGAATAAGGACCTCATCAGAGTTTTTCTCATTGTGTGATGTTAAGACAATATATATTGTGATTCCAAACAAATTTTCTATTTGACAAAGCCCTTTACTGGCTTTAGATGATTTTTTTTCCTGTATCATATTGTTCTCTTATAAATATATATTTAGGGAATTGTGCACACTTCCAAATACAAAGGGGTAGACTTTCACTGCCTTAGGAAAGAAATCACTTTTAATAAGAGTTGTATGATAAATAAATGCAAGTTAATGAAAATTGGAGTGTAAATATTTTTTACGTATTTCAGGTTTCTTATTTGAAAGTGTGCTTTTACCGTTTCACCTGTTAAATATGAAGTAGAAGATTAAACTGGTTCAAAGTGTTAATGAAGGATCTGCATGCTTGCTATGTCTGTTAATCAGGAAAAGCAAGCCTCTCCCAATTTATCTTGAGAACACTAGCAGCCTTACAGTGACAAATTTTTCTTTAGGAAAAAAAAACACTTATGCTGTGGCTGGATTACTGTTGCTGCTAGAATCTGAAAAAGGCTTAGCGAAATAATAAAAAAAAATAATTCTATAACCTTCAGTTGAGTGGATTTGGCCGCTATTGGGCATTCGGGTCAAGTGTGAATATGTGTAAAAGTGCTTTTCATATTTGTCTGTGCATTATTATGAAAAACATCAAAACTGCTGTAGTTTCCCATTTCTACTGTATTTCACTTGCAACCTATTTTTAATAAAGTTTGTATTGTATTTAACTTTGCATTAAATGTTTTTTGTATTGTTCATTATTTGACTCTACATACACAGCTGTATTATCATAAACCAAAGTGGCTTTTTAGTGTTTAATGTTCAATGCTCGATCACCTGAAGAAGTGATTTGTTCCAGTTTATCCAGCAATTTATGAAATTGTAAGTATTGGTGGGATCAGTTATGCAGTCTGGATTATGGTGAACTTTGATCTCTTTATTTAGAGAACGGGATAACTTTGTGTCAAAGTCTTTGAAAAAAATACTTAGTTTTGTCTGATGCTGACGTCTAGCGGAGTGGACTCAAATTTGCTGTGTGGTTTTGCATGAGAGTTGAATTGCAGGACTTCAGAATGGTGGTGCTCCTGTTGTTGGATTAGTAAAATTAAATGGCTTGCTTCCTGATGGGAGACAAGTTTAAATTCTGCTTGGGGAATGGGGACAGCAGGAAAAGGCCCCAGTGAATGCTGTAGATTCTTGCTGCTGTAGCTGAACGGCCGCTGTGGCCAGGATCAAGAGCCATGCACACCTCTTTCCTGGTGAGTACCTTCATCCTTTGAGTTCTGGTGTCTGCTCTCTGGAATTTTCAAAATTGCTAATGAGGACATTGTGGGGTTTTAGTATGAATGCATATAAAGGCAGGGAACAATCTATAGGAATGCCAGAAACCCAAAAGCGCTATTTGGGATGTTGCAAAGAAAGCAAAGCAAAAAGGTCTGTTTGTTTTTAACATGAGACTGTAGTCATTGCCAATTGTGTGTCATGCAAACAAACAGTGAATGGGGGGAGTGGTAAGAGTATGGTATGGAACAGTGCTAGCACATTTTCAGTGGGAAAACTCAGTGTTGGAAGTTTTGAGCCTTCCACAGTTGAGGTCAGATTTGCAAAGTGAGCACTAATATGCTGTTGAATAGTGCAGCACCTACTTTGCCTTAGGGATATGGAGAATCATCCTCAGTAGCATAGCTCTTGGTATTACCCCTATCACTTATCACACTATGTGTAAATGACACATGCAGCCAAGTCTGCAGCTCCCGATAAAGACTTAAAGATCTTAAATCTGTTGTATTCTCCCTTCTGCGCCTCTCGTTCACATACATTGCATTTCAAATGCTTGTATGTGCTGCTTGTACTGTAGTCATGCTGCTATTTGAGGAAAAAGGAGAGGAATTAAGAAGTTGACAAAGTCCGTAAGATGTATCCTATTTACTGAAATAAATTTACTGAAATAAACTATTTTCTTGATCATACAGATTGCTGTTTGTAGATTGAGCAAGGAGTACACAAGCAGTAGAATAAACAAATAAGACTTTTCTCCTTTGCATCCCAATTCAATTAGTTAATTAAGTTACGAGAAACTACAACAAAAATTGTGATAACAATAAGCTTCACTAAGAATAGTCTTAAAATTCATACAGTAACTCACATGACTTTGCTAACAAGCCAGGAAAACACTCAGTTCTTCCTCGTGTTTTGTCAAATGATAGTACTTTCTCAAACAGTTGCTTAGGGACTACATGGTAGAGAAGGCAAAGCCAGGCAGATTAAGCAGTCTGACTTCTTTCCTGGCTGTAGTGTCAGATAAACTGCTTAAGGAGACTAAAGTGCAATCCACCTGCTTGGAGAAAAAATCCACCTGCTTGGAGAAAAACAGTTTATTCTTAGTAACAGATGTTGAGGACTGCCCTACAGCTACTGAAGTAGACATCTTGCTTAAGGAATGAAGTATTCACTGCTTCACTAAATATTGTGTGCACAGATGGGTTAATTTCACTGTTGCATTTTGAGTAAATATATTAAAGTGTGAAGAGCATGAAATTCTCTAAAGTCTTATGACCAGATTAAAAGTAGACATATTTTTTACTACTAGAGCTTTTTCTTTTGGAGCAAAGTGAGATAATTCTCTAGCAACAATCTCTTCTTCGGCCAGAAAATCTCAGTAGCTTTTCCCCTCATCAGGTCAAGCATCTTGATGCTTACTCCTCCCTCCCTCCTCCCTCTGTACAGTTCTCATGGGAGCTGTAAGCTGCACATTGCTTGTAATTATCTCCTACAATGCAAGATAGCAGGACTTCATATGGAAGAGCAAAGGAGGGGGGAATGATACAAACTGTAATAAAACAGATTTAAGTGCAGCTCGCTTGTTCTTCAGATTGGGGTGGGGGGGAAAAGGGGGAATGATGACAAACTGTGTGCTCTTCTACAGAAGATCGAACCAACCAACAGGTTTGTGAGCATTGGGATCATTTAAATGCTAGTAGTACTGTCAACGCTTAGGGAGAACCTTTTCAGGCGATTAGTGCCAGCTCTGTTCACCCCTTGGCTGCAAGTATGTCTGTCTAGAACAATGAGAGGCACTTCAATCAAATAGGGTTGAGAAATGAAGTGGATGGTGTCTCTGGAAGCTTTGAAGGATAGGCTGTGCTGAACATGGGGCGTGTGCTGTCATTTAGGCAGTTGAAAATCTCTCTGTATTTGGCACAAAAGCAAACTTATCTCAGTATTTTTCTGGGTGTTTTTTTACCTATTTCGTTTGTAGTTGCTGCTTTGGGAATGGCGTAATGGACAATTCATTTCAGAATGCTGAAGCTGGGATCTCATAAGTTTTGTTTCCACTACTAGGGTTAACGTGAAACGCATCAGCAGTATTCAACACAGTGCTAATTTAGTAGCTTTTATAATCCACTGTAGTGTTTCACTGATGTTAAAATTAATAGAGTAAAATGTGCAGTCAATTCTGTCAATGCCATGAAATTTCTGGCCCCAGAAGCATCTCTAATAAGGTAGGATTCATTCTTCTTTTGCAGGGAGAGGACAGAATCCAATTGGTAGAAGTTTGGGGAAAAAATGAGACCTGTCAAAGATCAAAGGATCGGTGTAGAAAAGCATGCTGGCGTACCGCCTTGCAGTGTTTCCAGAAGACGGATTTTTGTTTGTTTCTTGCCCAGATCTCGCTGACAGTCTGTTCTGTGCCCTGTCAAGCAGCTTATCCTGGGCTTTGGACATAGAAGGAACATCCCCAAAGAGAACTGCTGCCGTGAGGGTGAGTCACAGATCACAGTGTGGGGTTTTTGATACGGATGGGACTGAGCTTTGAGTACGATCCAACATTCACGTCTGCACAAAGGCTGAAGAGCAGTATCTGCGTGCCTGGTTTGGGGCCAGTAGTTCAAAGCCAGCGATAATGAATGTTCTCTCTTTATGGCCTATAGGAACTATGTTTCTAATCTTACTTGTAGTGGTGCAAAAAAACCAACACAGATTAGGGGAGGAAAGCATTAAGCTTCAGGGATGATCCTCTTGTGGTGAAGCTGAGGTACGCTGGAAAACAACGTTATTGTGACGTGACTGATGCGGCATCTAGCAACCGGAATGGAGTTACACCCCTCAGCTATTAACATATCTCCCCCAGGACTTGATGTTAATAAAATCCTGTCTGACTCAGCATCTCAGGTCCTTGATATCACACAAATTTGGAAATTTCTCTTTTAAATTTGGAACTTTCTCTTTTTTAACTGGCTTGGAGTAGGGGTGAAGGCTGCAATAGGGGGGAGAGGAGGGCTGTTGGAGTGGGCACATTGCGAGATGGGTACAATGAGAGATGGGCACTATGAGAAGGGGACTCCTTAGTGATTATGATGCTGGTTTGGGTTTTTCAAACAAAATAAAAACACCACACAAGCCCTGCAACACGCCGGCAGGGGGGAGCTGACCCAGGCAGCCTCCTCAGCCGCCCCCGCCCTCCCTGCGCCGCGATTGGTGGTTCCCGCTGCCACTCAAGCTGCCCGTAGCCCCGGCTCTACAGTACCCCCTCGGCCAATCGCAGCGCCCGCCGGAGGAGGGGGGCGGTGCTTGTCGCCATGGCAGCGCCGCGGACGCCCCGGCCGCCTTTCTGATTGGCCGCTTTAAATCCCCGGGGGGCGAGGGGAGGAGCGAGGCGCGGCGCGGCGCGGGGCAGTGGCGGGAGCGCGATGCGGCCGCGCGGCGGGAGCGGTCCCGGGCCCGTGTGGGCACAGCGCGTCCGGCAGCTGCAGCGCGGGCTGAGGGTGAGGGGCGGGGCCTCGGGACGGGTGGGCGGGGCTACAGCGCGGTGGGCGGGGCCTCTCGCGTAGTGGGCGGGGCTTGTGGTGGGGTGGGCGGGGCCGGGATGGCTCGGGTTGACCTGATGGCTCTGGCTCCTGCAGTGAGCCCGCTGCTCCTCTGTCTGCCCCTCTCTGTTAAAAATATGTTTCTAAGGGTTGAAATTCGCAGTCTGTTTGGATTTCGGCAAAGCTTTTGTTACTGTTTCGTATAGCGTTCCTTTGGGTAGAATGCCCAGTACGCAGCTAGACAAAAACATAATTCAATGGGTGAACAATAAACAGGGTCAGGGTACGGTTGGGTTGCAGTAAATGGGGTTGTATCAGGCTGGTGGGCAGCCACTGGTGGGGTGCTGCTGGGCTCTGCTCTGCAGCCAGTTGTCTTCAAGGCTTTCGTAAATGTAGGGCTTGGAGGCATACAGAGTAAGTGTGTGGATGGCACTGAACTGGGAGGAGCTGTTGGCTCTCCCAAGGGCAGTGAAGCCTTGCAGGAAACCATAAAACGTTAGAGGTCTGGCTCATCACCGCTTCTGTGAAGCTTGTGCATGAGCGTGATTCTGCACCTGAGATGGGGCAGCTCTGGGTGTCTGTACTCACTGGGGGGGATGAGAGGCTGGAGAGCAGCCCCGCAGGAAGGGAGCTGGGGGCTCTGGTCAGCAGCAAGTTGAACACAAAGCCATGGTGAGCCCTGGCAGCCAAAATGGCCAGCTGTACCCTGGGGTGCATCAGGCACGGCACTGCTATGCCAGTTGAGGGAAGGGATTGTCCTGCTCTGCTCTGCACTGGTGTGGCCTCACCTCAAGCACAGTGTGCAGTTTTGGGCAGCACACTATAAAGAGGACATATTATGAAGTGTCCAAAGTAGGGCTACAAATGTGGTGAAGGGTCTGGAGGGGACGATGCCTGAGGAACCCCTGAGGCCCCTTGGTTTGCTCAGCCCCGAGCAGAGCAGGCTGAGGGGAGGCCTCATGGCGGCCTGCAGCTCCCTCAGGAGGGGAGCGGAGGGGCAGGCGCTGAGCTCTGCTCTCTGGGGACAGTGACAGGACCTGAGGGGACAGCATGGAGCTGGGGCAGGGGAGGGTCAGGCTGGGGGTTTGGGAAAGGGTCTGCACCCAGAGGGTGGTCGGGCACTGGGACAGGCTCCCCAGGACAGGGGTCATGGCACCAAGCCTGAAGGAGTTCAAGAAACATTTGCACAATGCTCTCAGAAATGTGATTTGGTTTTTGGGTGGTCCTGTGTGGAGCCAGGAGTTGGACTTGATGATCCTTATGGGTCACTTCCAGCCCGGGATATTCCAGGACTCAGTGGGAATTTGCCAGGCTGTCTGATGTGGAGGTCAGACTGCGCTGCCTGGGGCTGGGCTAGAAATCAGGCCTCAGAGCTGTGCCCGTCCTGCCCAGCCCGGCTGCTGGGCAGGACGGGTGCCAGCTATTTCTGCGGACACCAACAACAAAAAGTATATAATGAGGTAACTTTTATCAGACTCGTATTTATTTTATTTTTCCTTTGGTGGGTTTGGGTGTGTTGTTTGTTGTTGTGTTTGTTTTTGTTTTCTTAGACCAAAGAAGAAAGAATAATCGTCCTGGAAACTGAAAATGCTGCTCTTCATCTAAAACTTGCAGAGGTATTTATTTATTTATTTATTTATTTATTTATTTCCAGAAAGAATTATTGTGGAAACAGAAAAAAGACACTGAAGTCAACCTTCATATTTTCATGTTTTGCAATCTTCCTGTTGGGGGAAATCTATGAAAAGATTAAGGCTCAGTGTTTCTTTATTATTTTAATCATGAATGGTAGCAATAACAGACTGATTAAGTAACTAGAAGTTGGGACACATTTAAATAGTTGCCATTGTTTTAAATCTGCAAAAGTGAACTGAGGGGCAGACTCTAGAAGAATTAAATACAGAATTTTGCTTTCTGCTTACAGTGAAAATGTGTGCCTAAAAGATGGAGGTAGATTTTGAAGAAATACTTTGTAGATACAATTTGAATAATGCTTTAAAAAGCACTGTTTGTATACTGCAGGAGCTGTATTTCATTGTGTGTAGACAAAGATGCCCTTTTTGCATGTCTTAATAGCACTAATGCTAGAGTTGTCTGGAAAAGGCAGTGTTGTTGCAGAAGTCAATTACAGAGCACGCTGCAGTAATGACGCTCTCAGTTTTTATATCCTTCTTCAGAAGGAAATTTTATTTCTAGACCATTATTGCAACAAGCAGTAGCCTGTGATAATGTTTGGTGTCTTCAAAGGTAAGACTTCAAAGATGTAGAGAACTTTGAATATTTATTTATACCTCTAGACTAGAGCCAGCTGTGAGATTTAGTTGCAACAGAGACTGCTGGCCAAGAGTTTCTAATCTGCTCTGAAGCATTAAATGGTTGTGTGACCTCAGGAAAGCCACTTGGCCTCCCTGTGGGTCTGTTAACACCTGTGGATAAAAGTGGGTTTAACAGTTTTCAAAGCCTGATTAGAATCCAGACGGTACATCTGAAATGAGTTTTGCTAGGTATGCAGAAGAATACTGTAATTTATTCTGAGAAAATGTTTCTGTTGATTTTTTCAGCTTCATCATATTTAATAAAAATCTTAATTATTTCATCTTTTTTCTTATTCTGACAGATACAAGAAATTATTCTAGCCAGGAAGGTGCTTCAGATGTAATAAACAGTTATCTGAGTATTAGATAATAAAGCCTTGTTTTCCGTGGATTCATGCATCACGGTTAATTGATTTTTTAACTGCTTTATCAGGAGTCCCTATTATACACAAGGGAATGTGCACAAAGTACTTACTGCCAGTACAGGGAAAGGTTTTGCATACATGTAAAAAAATCATCTGAGATTTATTGTCTAGCCTGCAATCAAGCTTTGAAAAACATTTAATCTACGTTACCCCAAAGAATTTTATACTGTTTGACAGGCTATTGTCACAGCCTTTGCAGAGCTTGCACCTCTAGTTTACATTTCTGGGAGAACCCTTCAAGAGCTCAGTGTGTCTACAGGGGGCAGCTCTCCCTCTGCTTCCTGCACACCCCCAGCTACCCTCCAAGCCCATTGAGTTGGTCCTGTTTCTCTCAGCTTTGTATGTTCCCCACTTCAGTGCCACCTCTGTCTCTTGCTTTTGTTTGGCCCTTCTGCTGGGCCAGAAGCAGGAGGTGGTACCTCTCAGCCAGGTCTGGCTGTGTGCTAGCTCGAGCTATGTGTTGCCATTGCCTGGTGAATGAGGTCCACGTGCCTGCCAGCTGGCAAAACATATGGCTTCCAGAGCTGTATCCTTTGTGGGGATGTGCTGCAGAAATGCAGCCTTTTGAGACATCTCTCGTCTGTTAGAGGTGACTGAAACTGACAAAAGGGTGCTGGAAGGGCAGACACCAGGACAGTGCAACCACAAAAGCCTTTTTCCTTCAGAAACCATCATTAGATATCCATAACATGATTCCCTCCAGAGCTAGATAATTTGGATCTCTGTATGGCCCAGCTTTTCCAGTACAGGTGAGATGTGTAGCTGCTGGAAAACAAATAAACAAACAAAAAACAATATCAACAAAACAAAACAAAAACACAGAATTGTTTCAGTTTGTTGCAAAAGGTGCTGGAAGATATGAGCACCTACAGAAATGAGGAGCATGCCAGTGATACCACCCTCAGTCAGAAGCAACATCAAATGATTAGTGGAAATACCTTATAACTAGCCTTGCACTGATGTTTCTACTCAGGTTGTTAGTTAAGTACACTTAAAATTTTGATTTTCCTTGGCTAATTTGGCCCAGGAATCTGAAAGTGTGAAGAAAGTATGCACTGGCTGAAGCAAGATATGGAGCTTTGAAGATAAACTTACGAGGATGGCCCTAAATTAGGATTTGCAGTGTAAAAGTTTGTCTGTTAGTTGCATCAGTCTAATACAAATGTTATCTCCTGCTATAGACCTTCCCTTGCCTGTATCTTTAGGACAATCATGAATAAACAGCCCTGCCACTGTTTTCTACAGCCTTGTATATTATTATCTTAGCAGCATATTATAAGAGTTGTTAAAGGTCAGATTCTTTGCAGGCTTACCTTTGTGTATTTGGAAACGCTTGCCTACCTGCATACCCCTTGCTTTGGTTTGCAGCTCCTGAGGTCCTCCTGATCCTGCAGACACATAAAGCCAAGTCTGCCAGAATGGGTCTGGTGGTAGAACTGAGACTGCAGTTTGGATAACTCTATTAAGTAGCTTGGTTTCAATTCTGTTTGTAATAAAGCTATAATAAGAAGATTTATAGCCATTTTTTGTCTTCTCATGCCCAAGCCCAGATTTGCAAATTTTGACCTGCAGAGAATTCTGATGAATGCAAAAGCTATTTTAATGGAGAAAACCTCAAAACCACGGCAGCATTTGCAAAAATGCCAAACCTGACAGTGGGAGGGATGAGAAGTTGACTGCAGTAAAGGTAGAATTGACCATTGCATCTGTGTCCTCTGTGCTGAGAAAAAAAGGATGGTCAGGGGGAACCTACGCAGGTGGTAGAAAACATACTAGATGTTAAAAATACATTTGTTTTTTGCTAACTTAAGCTCATTTAATGACAACGCTTCAGTGCTATAACTGCTTGTACATGCTTTTAATTTTTCATATGTGGTTAGAATATTAATTCTGGTGCACTGCTTGTATGCATTTTTGTCAAGCACATTTATAAATATTGTGTCTGAGTAACACAAGTCTTGAAAATCCCCAGAGTAAGAGAACACAGGAATAGCAGTATAGGAGCTGTCTCAATTTCTGGGAGCTTAAAGCCTGTAATAAAAGAGAAGAATACTTTTTAAATAATCTCTTTCTGCTCTTTCTTTTCCATGTAAGAACTTTTAAAATTAGCATTAAAATATTATGTAGCTGTGCAGGGCCTCCAGTTGCGTTTGCAAATAAAAAGTGTATGAAAAAGTTGGTTTAGACGAGTTATATATTTTTATTGGAAAATATCATTTTTCTTTATTCTAACGTCTCCCAAATATTATATTGTTGTTTTTGCAGATATCATCTGTAGTTAAACTTCGAGTATAATTAAATCTGTTTATTTTTTTTCCTGTCATGGTCAGGTGATTGGAATTAAATCAATCTCCTGTTTTATGCCATTGTGCTTTTTCTGTCCTCTGTTAATTTAACAAGCAGGGAACTGCAGTCACAGAATTTATGGTCTGAATAAGCTAGGAAATAAGTATGTGCTGGAGACAAGAGCATCCCAAACATAAGGAAGGAGACTGTCAGTGCTGGTTAAGGAATGATAGATGTTGATAGGTTGCTGTGAAATGTAGGTGAAGAAGTTGCAGCTGATTTTCAGTACCAGGGTTGTCAATAAATTACAAAAATGCAGTTTTTAATATAATACAGATTCTGTCATATTGCAGAATTTCACAAGTACTCTACATAGATTTCATCCCTCTGTTCTTGCTGGGACATATTTAAAGTTGTATTGTTTCTGTTATTTTTTTGATTTCAAATTTTGATCTCAAAAATTTAGCCATAAAAATTGCTTTTGCATAATAGGATATTTCAGATTACTAGAAAGCCTTCTCGTCCCTTAAAAAAAACCTGCTTTGATTACTTTGAAGACCCACTTACGTGCAGTTTTGCACCATTGCAACTCTGCTGAATGCAATGTTTACAGGGACAAAGGGGACAAAACACAACAAAAACAGGAGCACTTTGAAGTGATTTTTAGGTGATTTTTCCTTTTTTTAAACAGTATCAAGGGTTGGCTGGAAGAAGCACTAATGAAGTATTGCAGCTCTACTCTGCTCATGGGCAGCAGCAGAAATTGCAGAGAAGTTTTGTTGTAACCCACCTACATGAGGCAATAAAGGTAAAGACATTTAATAATAATGTAGGTACAATCTATGCCATAAACATATACATGCTTATGAAATACAATAAAACACAGAAAATGGTCAGATTTGACCCTGATCTATGGTTTTATTTTATTCACTGCAGTTCTTACAGCAAAGTGTAGCAGTGTCTGAGTTGGCTTAAAACTTGTAGTGATTTTGCTTCAATAGGCTGCAAAGTTACCTGAGCAGTCAGTAAGTGGCTGCTTCTGAGTTACATGTATAGACTGGTATCAATACCCGAACTATTTTAGTAGTCAAAATCTTGAATCCCTGATACGACTATCATATAGACATCCCCTAAGAAACAATACTTGTGATGTCATTTAACCAGATAGCCAGATCCTAACAAGGGCACTGGAGAGCTCCATTGATTTCACTGAGAGTTCTTCTGTTCTGGAGGACCTCGGAATCAGGATTAGTTCCCTGTTCTCTCAGTCAGGTTGTCTTCTACTGGAACTGTTCTTCCAATACTAGTACAATAATATTTGTCTTTGTTGAGGTACATGTTCCTTAAGTTACTCTACAGAACACTCTGTTCCTTTTAAGGATACTTAAAATGTCAGCTTTTCTCAGGGTAGCACTGCATAGCTGAGGGTTGCAAAAAATGGATCAGGAAATAAATCTGTTTCCTTCAGGCAAAAGGATTTAGCTTAATTGTAGCAATACTTTTCTTGGTAGGTCTTGCAGTGGAGCTTTATATTTTAGGATAGCTAGAATGGCAGAAGTGCTTGTGATGCAATATCAGTGGGCTGTGATGGTTTACAACCAGAGATCAATGAATGCTAAAAGAGCGTAAAGCTCTCCAAATAAAAGTCTAAATTAATAGCATTCCTATACCTGTAATTAAAAAATTAAAAAAATTGTTTTCAGTTATGTTCTGAGAAGGAGAACTACAGTGATTTTCTCCCTTTAGTTTATTTTTTTGTTTTATCATTGAACCTACTTAATTAATTCAAGGTCAGTACCAAAACTGGAAAAATAAAATGTCACAGAATAATACATGACTCTTTGTACAAGGCTGACTAATGAAACATCACAGTGTACCAGAGAAGGTATCATGAAGTACATCTTGCAGATGGCTTTACATGTCCTTTCCAAGACTAAGATGGCAAGAAGTGTTCTAATCCTAAAATCAAGTTAATGTATTTTTTACTTTTTTTGGACTTCTAAGTGAATGTAAGCTGTTCTTATAAACATTTAGAAGTTGCATCATGCATAATATGCTGAGTTACATTAATAATGGAAATATTTCATGAACAATAAAAGTTTCACATCAGTTCTTGAAGAAAGGCATAGAACTGGCTCATGTACAAAATGACTTAGGGAGAACCTTAACATAAACCTCCTGATCAAAGGATTGAAAATGACTGTTGTGTAAGGGGTACATGGATCACAGTTTTACATTGCCGATTCTGGATGTGCCTTTTAAGTGGACAGAACACACAACCTGATTTTTGTTTGATGAAATAAGAACAATATTGTGTTATACCCAAAGCTGTGTGATGGTCCTTGTATATCAAATAAGATAGTAAGGATCCTTAAAGTCTTGCTGAAATCTTTAGGATGTGACATTGGCGAATATCTTGCAATATCCTTCTCTAACGTGCTGAAAGACAGACTCCTGAAGACTGCCTCTCATCAAGTAGAGAGTTCTTCCTGATTGTGATATCTCACCTCTGTTATTTGTATTGTGGTTATATTGATTCTTCCTTAATGGTTGTTTTTGTGTCTTTATAACATATTTTTTCTTCTTGCTGTTAAGAGGCTTAAGCAAGACATGAAGAGCCTCCGTTCATTTGCTCTTGAGCTTTCAAAAGACTTTCAGCGTCAATGCAAGGCTTATCTTTACCAAGCTTTGACAGCAGTCCAAGAGATACAGCTGCAAAACGAAGCAATGCAAAGTAAGGCTCATTGCACTTACATTTCAAACGTGTAACATCAACAATGTCATTGGCAAATGTTAGTAGCATTGAAAGATTGAGTTTGATTCTGAGACACAAGCACTTGGTTTTGTTTGATGTTAGATCATCAAGGAATCCTGAAATGTTAGAAAGAGTACAAATAACTCTGCATTTTCTCAGGGCAGTATGGCTGATAATTTGGATTCAGCTTTTGTGTTGATTGCAGCTGCTACTAGGTTGCTGAGTTAGCTCAGCTGTAACATTTTTAAACCAAAGTTCTCAGGCTTGTTATCATGATGATTTTAAAATAGCTCAATAAAGAATGTGTTGCTTTAGCTGCAAATTGCCTACTTTTGGCTGTACCAAATAAGGAATTAGGTGATTTCATAGATTTCTGAAAATAACGTCTGAATTTAGGACAGACCAGATTTTTAATATTTCTGTATATTTAGGAGAAAATTTTACTCTGAAATCAAAAGCAGTTCCACTTACTGGTCTGTGGAAAACAACATCATAGGCAATGCTCTTACCTGGGTAATTAACAGAATTTACCTGAATTCTGTTTCAGAATTCTGGTCCTCATTCATGTGTAGATGTAGAGCAGACCCTGCAAAGCACTGGTACTCTCCGCCCTCATCATTGAGGACTAAGTGCATTGGTCCTATACCTGCATCTATTGGCATGGATCTATGCACCTGCTTCCGATCTGATTGATTCTGGTGATGCTCCTACCAGATTGTGACATGGGGCTTTAATTGTTTGAAATTGATGAAGCTGATGAAATAACATATATAGAACTTTATAATGAGAGTCCCTGTGTGATTCTCTGATATCTTTGTGTTGCCATATAAAATGTACATTTTCCTTCTGCTGTACTTATTTGAAATAATGTTGGGACTGCTTTGATTCTGATAGGGCTACTCATGTCAACAGCAACAAACAACATCCTTAGTGACGTGTTTGCATAACTTGTCCCAGTATGTTATGTATTACATTATGATTAAGATGGATTAGGTTACTGTATTATCTCTGTAGAGAAAATGCTTTAAGAAGTTGATTTTAAAATTGGAAAAAGAAAAAATATAAAATTAAACCTAGCTAAATGTGAATGTTCCCCTTATTGAAGCAGGGAGCTATAGGAACAGATCAGAGGTTCAATTTGGCACTTCAATTAATGTGATGTACATAAATGGTGGATATTCCTTATGAGGCCCTGCGATTTCCTGTTGACTGAACTGACCTTCCATTTTTTCTATGAAATCATAACCAGAAGAGGCTTTGTTGCCTGTAACAAAATTGTGTGTCAGTACATAGGTGGGTGACATGTTTTTAATGTCGTCATTTTTCAGATCTCTGTCAGATGTTTTAAATGAAGAGTTCATCGTTACGGTTAGATACTACAGTCAGAATTGCTGTCCTGAAATTAAATATAATCTTTCCTAAACAAAAAGCCCAAAATGTGTATTCTAGAGAGAGCATATGTTATCAGTTTAATCCTAAAGTAGAGATTTAAAATAAGAGAACTGTAGAAAAAACATATAAGTAGGTTAATTTTCAGGCTGTAATAGACATGCAGCAAACTATAAATTTTTTCTGTAATAAGTAGGTAGTCCCTTCATTAGAAATATTTAGTCATTGTCTGAAAATCAGGCTACTGTCATCTTTCCCAGTGAAATATAAATAGCAATAATTCAGATAAGAGAGAAGTGTCCAATACTCTTTTGTTCTAGGCCTGTTTTCCTAACAATTTTTTTTCTCTTTGAAGACTGAAAGGAGTAAGAACTCTTAGCACCTATTGCTTATCTTTAACTTTGCCCATACAAGAGCCTTCAAGAATTGAAAGCTTGTGTGTATACAAGTTTATAAGTTAGCATACTTCTTATGGAGCTTATTTAAATAATGGATTCCCACCTCCTGTTTTGAAAAATAGTGTATGAGTCAGTGAATATAAGAGTTGCCTTTGACAATTTGTTTTTATAGACTTGCATGGGGTTCTCCAAATGAAGACAAACTAATGTTAGTCCACATACAATATGCAAGAAAAGCATTTTTCGTACTGATGTTTTTTTACTTCAACTCCCCATCATGTCTCCCCTGTGTGCATGCACTGTGAAGAAACATCATGAGCTGGAGGTGAATAGCATGAAAACTATAAAGACAACATCTGTGAAATGTCTAGTGCAGACAAATGTCCTTTGAAGTTACCTGATTTTTAATCTACTTCAGAGAACATAAATCATGTATGTGACATGCTGAAATTTTAAATCTTTTTTTTTCTTTTTTTTTTTTTTTTTTTGTAAGGCAACACATTCAGGCTGGTGGCTATCCTGCTAACAGCTCTCAGACCGTGGTTTTGACTGCTTGCTACTCCTCATCTTTGAACTGCTTGCTAATAGCTGGGGCAATTGATTTCCCTCTGGGGTTCCTAAAAGCTTGCTTTTTACAGAAGTTTACAGTTGCATTATGAGCCTTCTGGACTGTATGTTTGTTTTAGGCCTGCTCAGTGTTAATGTAATTGGTCTGAAATAAAACCATTTGTGAAGGTAGAAGGCTTTTATAATGCCCCTTACTGCTCTCCTCAGTTTTCTGAAGGAGACTTCCTAGCGTTCAAAAGATCAATCATTTTTATGAAAAAGTGAATGTACCAGTCTTAAAGGGGAGCCTTAGAGCTGTTTACAGGATTAGTAGCATTGTAAATGAGACTGATGATAAATGATAGGTTAACTTCTCATGACTTTAGCTGGCATGACTCTAATAATCTTCAAATATAGCATAAGCCTCACAAGTGACAGCCCCATCCAGAAGCAGATTGCTTCAGGCTTAGGTTTCAGGCTTCTCTGACAGGTAACATTATTCTAAGTAAGCTTACACATTTGAATTGCCTTTAAATGTCTTCTCTTTTTGATCGTTTTTCAAAAATGCACATGTACCTGTGGTAATTATCTTTAACTGTGCATAGACATTTCATAGTGAGAAGAAATGGATTTTTTTCTGACGCGACTGGTAAATCAAGAACTAATCTTCCTAATTTAAGTTTGGAAGAAGTTAAAAAGTTTTATGCTTATATTTCATGAAGTACTATTGGAAAATTTAGTTTGTAAAGTCACAGAGTTCAGTTCTTTGAAACAGCTTTCTTCTTGCAGTGTTTCAGATAAAAGCTTTCGATCTTGAGCAGTCCCTACAAGAGGTGACAGAGAGATACGAAAAAGAAAAGCAAAAGAGGAGAGTTCTACATAACAGCTTAGTTGTAAGTATCTTCAATGACAGAACGTTTTTTTATTTTGTTGTAATTATACCAATAATTTAGTCACCAATGAAACTAATTCATATAATTGTCCTTTACAAGTGTACTTATCACTTCCCACCCTCAACTTTCTATATAAGGTGCATTTCTTTGCTGAGGCACTTTCATCTCATGATAAACCACAGTACATTCTTTTTACAGAAGCATCTTCCAAATGCAGTCCTGGATAATATGGCCCTAAGGAATATCATAAATTTTGAATAGTGAGCAAAATTTGAGTTTCTTCATCCCCTAAGTTTGTAGCTTCTGGAAAATGCCATTTCTCTTTTAGCAATTCCTCCACAATGTGAAATTCAAGGTTTATCAATTCAGGTTCAATAAAGTGGAAATATACCTCTGAAATTGTTTTAGAATTCTTAAAGTGATCAACTTGAAATTGAAAATTTGTCTTCCTTTTTTTGTATAACATATATATATCTATGTAGCTGTATCCTGTTCAGATTTTAGTGATGGTTTGTTTGGGATTCATTTTTTTTTCTTTTTTGTTCTTTAAATTTACTCTTTCTGTCCATCCCCCAGATGACTAGTTTTGAGTTGCCTGATTCAGAACCTGATTTTTAGAAAGACAAGCCACTTTCAAACAGGATTCTTCTAAGTTTTTCTATCTCAGAAAAAAGAAGCTCTTCGTTAAAAAAGTACTTACCTTCCAAACTCTGCTTTGTGTTGCAGTTTACTGAGATAATCCCCAAGGCAGTGTGGGGAATTAATGCCAGTGTTCACTAGTCACCACAAGCAAGCTATTCTCCCTGATCCGCAATGAAAAGAAATGATCACCAGGTTAGATAAGGAAAAGTCTGAAGCAGCCTAAAAAGAAAAATCAATACTGGCGTTTTAGTCATGTATAACCACACAGTGGAGAGAAAAAGAAACAAAATGTTTTATATTTTGTATCTTCCTGGGGGCTGGTTGAGAAGAAATGCATTGTTTAATGTTGGCTGTTGAGTTAATATAAGTGAAGAAGCTCAAATGAAGAGGAAGGAGACTGAAGAGTGAGACTGAAATGATTCACACTGAAAGCATCTTTTCTTTTTCGTACAGACTGGAGAGGACTGTACCATTTCAGAGCTCTGAAGAGGTTATGCTTTCTCAATTAAAGTTAGGAAAAAGCAAATTATACTGATACAGTCTTTTTTCTCCACAGGGTTTTAAGTCTAAGGCTGTGATTTTGCCTGCTTTCTTAAACACATTCATGTCTGCATGAGTGTATTTGTCCTCTACAGTAATTTGTGTTAAATTGTGTTAATAATCTAATCCTAGGAGCTGAGAGGAAATATCAGAGTCCATTGCAGGATACGGCCATCTCTCCCTTTTGATAATGCTGATGAACATTCGGTATCACAAGATAGGTAATTTATTATGGCTGTGTTATATCTTGTCTGACTCATAATTAATATAAAGTGAAAATAATAGTCACATGTCACAGAATCACAGAATTTTCTAGGTTGGAAGAGACCTCAAGATCATCGAGTCCAACCTCTGACCTAACACTAACAGTCCTCCACTAAACCATATCACTAAGTTCAACATCTAAACGTCTTTTAAAGACCTCCAGGGATGGTGACTCCACCACTTCCCTGGGCAGCCCATTCCAATGGCTCACAACCCTTTCAGTAAATAAGTTCTTCCTAATATCCAACCTAAAACACCCCTGGCGCAAGTTGTTCTTGTATACAAGAACAACTGTGTTCTATATTTTTTTCTGTTTTTATATCTGTGGTGAGTGGTAAAAAACTAATTCCTTTTTCTTCTTTCTCCTTGGCATTAATTGACTAATTGGCATTAGTCAATCTTAACCCTTTGTCTAAAATTGTGTCGACCTGAATAGAACCCCATAGCTGTTTAACAATCCAGGATTATCTGTGGTTTGGCAGAAGTAACACACCTGCAGACAGTGTAGAGTATATTCACCATCCGGCACAAAGCCTGGGACACAGTAATGTAATAGCAGCTGTCAGATGCTACAGGTAGAGAAACACACTCAGCATTTCAGTTGTTTTGTCATGCTGCAGAATGGATTTGCTGTCAGTACAAATGCTGGTAATTCTATTTCTGTATAATTTGGCTCAACATAGCTAATTTATAATGCACTTACTGTAACTGAAGTGTCAACACATCTGTAGAACCAAAAGGAAAAGGGGGATTAAGTGCAAGAATGTGCCACAACTAGCTGAATTCTCCATAGATTGCTACTATAAAAAAAAGGTAGGAACTGAAACATATACAACTGGAGAAAGAAGGGGAAGACCAGGTGGGTGGCTAGAAAACAGTAATATCATCATCTGACCCATCAGAAAATTACTATTTGGGGCTTTATTTTGCTTTTACTGGTACTTCTAAAAGAGTGTTTTAAAATTTGTTCACTTTTGCCAAATCTTTAGGAAAAAAAATGTTTTAATTAAAATAATATGAAATGTTAGACAAGACAGAAATTTCAAAGAGCCTGAAGGGGAAACTTGCATTAGCCTGTGCTTGATATACCTGGGAAAGAACCAAATCACTGTTTCTGTTAGAACAGTGTTCCTGTATTCAAACATACGAGGTGCCAAATCATGGCATGAAACAGGATGGACTGGGCTAAATACACGATTATTAAGGCAAACTTTTCTTAATAGATCAAAACTAAATTTAAATAAAACTTAGTTGTGAAACCGAGGGCTGATTTTGAAAACATGTGAATGAAGATTTGAATGCATTTATGCCCCTCAGCAATCCAAGTCATTTTTTGGACTAGTAATGGTTGAAAAATTACTTCTGACTGTATTTTCAGGATCAGGGCCAAATACCTAAAAAGATGTTTTTCAGTTTAACGTGCTAAAGGGAAAACCTCCTGTTACAAGCTCATACTACAATCTCAAAACGATAGAATGGTTTGCATGAGAATTAGTCTTAGTTGGGTTTATTCTATTTTTTTAAAGCAGATTATTTTGCTTGATTGCATATTGATGTATTTTTTCATTATTACTATTCACAAATAACTGTGGTGTTAGCACGTGGTACCATAATAATGGAAATTCTGGAAGGTATTATTTAGACAATGTGTAGTTCACAGATATTTTAAGCATTACTTTCCAGAGCTAAATGGAACATTTAGGTTCGAAAGCTACCTTTTTATCAAATTGGCTTTTTTTTTTCCTTACAGGCAAAGAAACTTCTCAGAAAAAGTGGCATATGCTCTTGATGATGTGAGTATATTTGATGGTGAAATTCAAGAGCACATTTACTGATAGTCGTAAAGACAAACAAAGAGACCTGGGAACTATAGGTTTGAAACAGAATTAGGTAATTTCTTGTCAACTGGTGCCCAGCTTTGATCTCCCATGGGTGCAATAGCAGGTGATTTGTGCTGTTTCCATCCTGAGTCTTTGTAGTAATAGTAGCTTGGAGCTGCTGCTGGTGCAATCATCCATGAACTGGAGCTTGTATGTTTGCAGTAGTCAAACCATTGCAGACTTCCTGCAATCAGTCCCTTTGAGCCACTTGTATTTACTGTAACCATTTCTGTAATTATGTTAGGTCTTTTTCATTTTATTATTAGAACCCAACTAATGCATTAGCTGAGAAATATGATATCTCCTGAACCACAACAGCCTACGTGGTACAGCAGTCAAGCATGTTAAAGTGTCCTGGCTTAGATCCATCAGGGAAAGGAGAATGAGCACTGAGGTTGCAAATCCAGATGACATTCCAGCATTAATTGAGGCCATTACTGAGATATAAAATTTAAAAAGGCTTAGTAGTGTGAGCTAAGGTCAGAGTATTAACTTGACTTTTAATTTTCTTAGCCATCATGGTTCTTAGTCAGCTGCTCGCTGTCACTTATGTATTAGCCAAATTCTCTTCTATAGTATAACGCATAAAATATTGCTGAAGTGACCTAAAGTATAGTATGCATTTAAATCTCCAAAATTATAGCTGAATTAGACTGATCTCTGTTGCATAAAATGGACACATTTATATAGATATATATGCAATTAGGAAATTAATGGAGCTCATGAAGAGTCTATTAAGAACAAGTAAATATGTCAGGAGATAAAAAACAGGGATCAGTAATAGTAGATGTAGTATTCTGGATGCCATGATTTGATGATTTATTGTACTATAAAACGCCTTGACCATTTCTGACCTGCTAAATTTTATTATATGAAGATGAAATTAGGTAATATTTAGGTTTTGGATTATTTCATATAGATATGTGATATATTACTGTACTCGTATTTTTATAGGCAAAGCAGTCTCTGCTTGCTTACATCAATATATGAGTTTCAGGAGTTTTAGTTTGTATGTAACAGCAAACTGGTAACCTTCAGGATGCTAACCCATTCTCATGTTTAAAAGTCTGTATGAGATATTCCAGGAAAATAAGTGTATGCATGGACTTAACTATAAAATGAAACATGCCAGATCATAGTATCACTTAGGTTGGAAAAGACCCTCAAGATTGTCAAGTGCAAAGATACTATCTTCCTGATTTTGGAAAAGATAATAGTGCCTTTAAATGCTTTATTGGTTTGCCTTGACATTTATTTGGTTAAAATGCTTTCTAGTTCTGATCAAACACTTCGCATGTTTGTATTAGTTTCTTGATAATTTTTTTTTAATCGTGTTTTCTGTTTGAAGCTCATGAGGGAAGATAAAGTACAACTGACTTTTTACAAAAAGCAGTCACTTTAAACTAAGCTAACAGAAGTAAAGGAAAACAATATTTATTGCCTGTTTCTTTTGCTTTTAACTACTGTAGGTGTTACACTTGTGGATAGACTAAATATGCAATTTTAGATAAAATTATGGTGTTTGATTTCATACGAAGCTAGGGCAGGTGCCTGCCCTAGCCTAATACCTGAAGTGATGTTGTTTGACTCCAACTTTCTTTGGCACAGGAGAAAAGAAGGTGGCTGCTTCCAAGTGATTGATTTCTTTCAAATTATTTTGAAAAGGTTTTCAGTTGTGAGTAGTGGAGAAAAAAAGGAATGGCAAAGAGACTGCTCTGAATATCAGGGGAGGTGCAAGATTCTGCTGGTTTTTCAAGGTAGGAGTGGGAAAATATGAATTAACACAGGAAGACTCCTTTTCTTGAGAGATAATTTTGTACTAGATCAGGTGGATGTAGCTATAGTAGTAGGATACATTTTCGCTTCCCAGGTGCTTATCACCATCCCCATCTGGAGGTTTCTTCTCCCAGTGCAGGGAATCTTTCAGGCTGTCCGCGTCTGCCTCAGCGTTGTGTCAGCCAGTGGCACTGAAGTTGACAGGGAAACAGATGAGGAGCAGTCACAGTTGTCCTTTCATTGGCTCTGTTGTAGAGAAATTCCTTGTGAATTGGGGTGATAAGCCTTTACCAGATATGCAATAACAAAAGATAGGAAATTATAATCACAGCTGAATTTTGTGATCACACGTCTATAGCCACAATTCCTTATGCCTCACTTAATTTTTTTTATTTTGCCTTATGGAATTTCACTTCCTGAAGAGCTTCTCAGGCTTGGGTATCAGACCAGGAGCATTCTGTGACTCTAGGGTGAAGAAAAATGTTCCTCAGTATTCATGTGATACATCTGTAAGGATTTCACAGGCACTGTTGACAGGATCACCTTACGGGATTTTGTATGCCAGCAGCTGTAGTGGGTATCCTGGCCCATACTGATCTCCTGAGAAGGGAGGGTCATTACAAACGCTCGTGTGAAACTTCTGGCTATTAACAATGCTTATGTTTCTACGTTATGCAAATAGATTTTTTCTCTATCTCATTTCTCACCTTAAGGAAAGCTGGTCTGAAAGTAAATTTGACATCTGAATGAGAAGGGTGTTCCATAACCCTGCCTCATTTTCCTGTTTGTTGTTATTTTTTCTCCAGAGGCTGTTAATTACTGATCCTATTGCAATGTCTGCGTCAGGGTGTTCTGTAGCAAAGCATTGTGCTCACATCCCTACTGCTGCTAAATTTGCCTGTACTGGAATGGGTGACGTAGCTCATTATACAGCAAGTGTTGCCATCGTTAGATTGATAATGATACACTGGCCTTCTCCAAAGAAGAAAAGATATTTGTAAACTTAAGAAATTTGGGGTTTGTTAGCTGTCTGCATGCTAGACATACTGTTACGCTGTCATTACTTGCTCACCTCTTTACTACCTCAATCAGTGGCAATACGAGGTTGAAGGACAGCAGTGTAGCACTCTAAGCTACTTGTTGGAAGAGCAGTACAAACTGCAGCATTCCTATCAAATGCAGTAATATAAGCAAAGGTTACTAAGCCAGAAAACCTTTTTGAACTGAGTGAAGCATTTTGTGCGCTGAGGAGCTTCAATCTGAAATGTGGAAATGATAATTTTTTCTCACATTATTTCTTTATATTTTTTTTAAGCAAGATACACCATGAAGAGCAAAGAGCATAGAATTTAGTACGGGTAATAGCTTTTAAAGAGCTGCTGACACATTTGTCCAACTTACAAAACTACTATATAATCCATATGGAAAGTGATTTCTACTAAAAACTCATGGAAATCTAGCAACTGTGTGACTGCAGTTCTTCCTGACAGTGTGGACTTGCATGATATGCTCTGAAATGTGCATCTTCTGCTCCGCTCTTGGCATAAACATTTATGAAAGCAATCTGAAAATGCACTGACCTCATAATACAAAAAGGCTCTTTTTCCATTTTTCTACCTATGTTAGCAATTAGGGAGGTTAGATTTACTTTCCTGGGGTTTTCTAGGCACATAAAGTTTAGGTAATGGTTTGGATCTTTCTTTTGAGCATAAGTGCACACATTTTGTGTTGGTTGTTCTTTAATAATCTGAATCTGTTCTGAGATCCCTTCTTGCGGTCTTGCTAGTTCACTGCAATGAAATAAATATTTCAGTTTTACACGTGACTATGATATTAACTGTAAGTGTTTTGTTTTTCTCCTAGGAAACTGTTCTGGTAAAGTGTAGCCGTCCTGGTCATACATCAGTAAACAAGACTTTTCAGTTTGAAAGGTGGGTTATCCTGTGTATCAGTCTGGGTTGCTGAAAGATTTGTATAGTGAAGGCTAATTTTTTAGTAGGCAATGTTTAGAAAGTAATCTTTTTTATTTACTATTTTAATTTTTTTTAATTTTTATCTGGTTTTCACATTCTTTCCAGTATAGAATAATGCACTTCAGGATATAGATGCCACCCTCAGTCCTCCTTCTCAGTGAAGAATACTGATATGCCTGAGCCTGAAACCTGTCTAGAGACATATTTGAACCTTCTCACAGTCTAAGTACTTCTCACCATCCTTGCAGCATGTTGTGGGATAGCAAAACCTTATCCATGTTTTCAAGGTGCAGAATTGAGGTGGATTGCATGACTTCAGCTTTAGACATAAAGCATGACTGAGCCAGAAACCAAACTGAGGACTATTATGCTTCAATGTACAGTCGTGCTACTTAAAGTAGGCTGGAAATAGACAACCGGATAGAGTGGTGGCATGTAAATCAGTGCTCCTCTGAGAGAAAGGCTATAGTGTGGTTACTTTCCCTGTTAGATGCCAAAGAACCCGTATAGGTGTGAGAGATTTTGAATACACCAGCTGCAGTAAGAGTTTTCATTGGTGTTTGTGCTATACTAGACACTGAGGATTCAGCTCACAAAACAGAAGCTGCAGGGAGTCAGGCTGTAAGGTGCCTCAGGGTCTTTCAGAATGGAGCTAACCTGAACCTCTGAAAACAGGAATGAAGACTTAAATTAATACGAGATCTTCGTAAAGCAAAAAATACAAACTTTTACTCCATGCCTTTTTTTCAAATATAAATTTTGCTTTTCTGCACTATGTCTGTACATTGCAATAACTCAAACAGTAAGTCTTCTCCTCTGGACCATGCTTCAAAACCCTGTGGAAACAGGACACATGAGCACAATCTCATGCTTCTTTGCTGAAGGCAAAGTTGATTTAAAGTCGACTGTATCCAACTTGAATTATTTGTCCTGGTCTAATCTTAAATTCCGAGCCTGTTTCAGCCCAAACTGCTGTCGGTTGGCTAAACGTTGTCATTTTTTCACCCTTCCTTTGCGGTGTCTTTCTAAGATGCTGCTTTTTTCTGCTCATGAAGACTGGGGACTGCTATTATGTAGGCCACCAAATGACTGAAAATTCCTGAGATAATGCAAATCTTGGGGAACCTTTACTCACCCCATAGGTTACAGGACTCCCTTGATACAGGGCATATGTGATCTCTCAAGGTATATGGCACCTCTTGCATGTTTGCTAAGCTACTTGAAGTAATTCCTTTCACCCTCTAGCTATACCTAACACAGCCATACTAGCTGAAATAAATGCAGAATAATGCTGGAATTCAGCTCTATAGAGCAACAATGTTATCGAGACAGGATGCCAGACCTGCTGTGGCTCTGGACATGTGGTGTAGATCCTGATAACCAGGAAAAGGGTTAAAAAAATGTAAATCCCCCAAAGAATGCAGTTCTTGGGGAATGTTTTTTCAGTGTCCCAGCACAGCTCTTTTTTTATAAACAGAAGAGCATATGGTTCTTATGAACTCAAAAATGTTTATTTTTTTAGCAATGTTTTATGGAACTAATAAATGTCAAAATATTTGATTTCAGCTCAGGAAGAAAATTCCAGCTTTCAGCATGTTATGCTTTTATAATTTTATTGGTGAATCAGTTAGCAAAATAAAAAGAAGCTCAAAATTTTCAAGGTAAAATTAACATTAATCACTACACAGGGACAAATCTGTCATCATTCTGGTAAAAATAACTGAGCTTATAGAAACAGATTCTCTGGATTTGCTATATCTTTCATGGTCTGGGATAGCTAATTGTGTGTCCATGCTTTAGCCAGTGCTGTGATTACAGTGTAGCATAAACTAGTTCAAGCCAAATTTAAACTGCTTCATGTGGTAGCATTTGAAGCACAGCAGCTAAAGTAGTGGCACTAAAATGCCTTTAGGAAGTTGAGTAAATATTTGGAGGAGTTATTGTAACATAGAGCACCATGACTTTCCTCTGAGCCGCTACCAGTACCTGAACCTGGCATAGTTAGCTACATCTGTACTGCTCTGCAGTGCAAACAAGACCACAGAAAATGGTTGGTTCTAGCTCTGGTTTTGGTTGGTTGCAATGTGTGCTCTAATAGACAGCAAAACCTGCCAAGAGCAACTGAAGAATTTTTGAATATTCTTATCTCCTAAATATGTTTTAAATTTGGTGGTTGTTTTTATTGTTGTTTGTTTTTGTTTTTTAACCTAGTAGCTCTGAGGGAGATGTTTTGATGTGTTAAGAAAAAAAAAATACAATTTCAACATAAATTGAGTTTGAGCCCTAGTTGGTTAAAATTCAGGAGTTAATGTTAATGAATGTTTCGCTGATTGCAGATGATAAATGAAGCAGAGAAAAGAGTTTGGGAAAGTTTTTGCTCTTATATTGACCTGGAAGATTTGATGTGTAAAGCTTATTGAGGCATGTGCATGCATGCATGCAAAGCAAGGATGGAGTATTTATTCAGCGCTTGTGTCGTCCCAGTAAGAACTGTGCCACATCTCTGCATATTTGTTGGTTTCTCAGTTTAGTATGACAGCATGTCAGCGGAATGGCAAGACAAGCAGTATTCGTCCGTCAGGCCAGAAAAGTGCTCATTTCCTGATTAAAGAGAGTACATTTTCATACAACTTACAATTAGACTGTGGAACGCGTTGCCACAGGATGTTACGCCAGGCCAAGAATTCAGCAAGATGCAAAAAAAAAATGACTTGAATGCTAATGCTAATAATATTTTTTTTTCAGCAGACATTCAACTCATATTTCAGCTTTGAGAGCAGTTTACAGCTATTAAGGATTAGGATGAGACAGAGATTAATTATTCTGTCTCCAGCCACCATGGTGTTTCTTGTTTCTTCCCCTGGCCATTGTCAGAGACAAAATGCTGAACTAAGTGGTTTGGGTCTAATTCTGTATCTGTTTATCAGTGATCCCTCTGTACAGTCTTATTTGTGGAGAACATGAAAATGAAATCTATGTTTGTGTAGGCTCCAGACTGTAGTGGCCAGATCCTGGTCAAACATACAAAGAGACTTGAGTAAATGCTAAAAAAACAAACTGTGTTCTTCATTAAGTTAAGCTCTTAATATCATGTGTTAGTGAGGTGTACTAGGATACTATGCACATAGGGAAGTAACTACATTTTATAATATTTGCCGCTACCAAAATTTCTGATTCTAGTTAGTCATTTTACTGTAATCTATAGAAAACACACACCACTTATTGGAAAAGAGAGCTAATCAAACTAACCCAAACCAACCAACCAAACAAACAAAAAAGACCCACACCAGAAAGATACCAGAAAAGGAAGCTTTTTTCCAAATGTAAAGATTCATACCTCAAATTCTGAAGTGGTGGTTATGGTGTTCATGTTTCAGATTCTGTCCATCTTCCATAAACAGCACTTGTTGCAGGCTTTAGTCTTGGGGAAGTTACTTTTTGATGTGCTAGAGAAACATTGAAAGAGTTAGGATACCCATGTTTTGTGATCACAAGTTCCTGCCTTTGATGATTTCTTATTTTCAGGTCTTGGCTTTATGTTGTGTGAAGTTATATTTGAAAGGGTTAGCGGAAAAAAATTTTTGTACAGCCTTCTCTTACCTTATTTTTTCTTGAATTTGGAAGCACATACGTAGTTGTTTTAGACATTGTTTTGGCCCAAGGGTTACACTGTCGTTGCTCTTTTCTAACAGGTGGAATAAGTCAGTTAAATTGTCTTTCATTCACTTTAAAAATTAGTCTGAAATCCACATCACAACATAAAAGAAAGTCATCCCTCTGGTTATCATTGTGAGAAATGTTTATCTCAGAAAAGGTCGTTCAGCAGGGGCACGGATGGAAATACTTGAAGATGGTGCTGCCCACAAAGGTGGTTTCAATGTTAAACTTGACCTCAGGAGCCTCCAATTTCTGATCTGCTACTGGCTTTTCTGAGACAAGCCCCAGGGCAGATTTGCAGCCTCTGTGCATCTTTTTTCACATCTAAAGGAGGAGCACAACCTGACCACTTGCTTCCTTAGTGTGACACAAAGGAGACGCAGGCAGCAGGGATATCTCATAGTCTGGTATGTGGGAGAAAGAAAGATGGATCTGTACTGCCTGGAAAAGACTCCGTCTGCCAGAGAGGCTGACAAAAGGATTAAGACAGCTCAGAGCACCACAAGTGTACGCCTGTAAATCATTCCCTCCAGTGCAGGCAGCAGACACTCCAAAACAAAGCAGGAGAGAAGCTTGAAGGTTTCCTTTCCAGTCCCCTGGACTGCATCACAAAAAAGTTCTTTGGTGAATCCTGGCCCCTCTCCTGCTCCAAGGTTGTGTTCTGTAATGGACCATAGGCGTGTCAGACGTTCCTACACAACCCTTGGGACTTGTCAATGCACAGCTTTTTTCCCTCTACTGAACAAAGTGGTGACTCCCATGGCAGCTCAGCTCTTCCTCATTACCTTTTAATTTCCTGGCATAGGAAGTCAGGTTTGGAGCAGCAGTAAGCAGGTTTGGTATGCCAGCTTCATACTGCCAAGCTAAATAAGTCTTCTAAAACCCAATCTGTAAGTGCTGTTGTCATAGAAATGTCAGCAGGTCACAAGCTTTATATCACAGGCCTACATTTTCCCTAATCTGTTATCCTGTATTATGACATGTATTTCTTTTTCTTCAGTTAATCATTGTACTTTGCTCCTCAGAGTTTACAGTGCTTTTGAATCTCAAGACACAGTATTTGCAGACGTGGCCCCTTTGCTAACATCTCTCCTGGATGGGTAAGTTTAAAGGTGGCAGTAAGAAAGCTAAAGGGTCATTGTCTACTGAAGTCCATCAATTAAAAAGAATTACTTAGTAGTGGCTGTCCAGTCAAGTTCTGTGACTTTGCGGTTCCATTTTCCTGTCTTTTTCCTACTGAACAGAGTGAATGTTGTTTCTCTATATAAACATTGAAATCACTGTTCACAAAGTTTAGCACAGAAGACAAATTTGGAAAAAAAGTACTTCTGATGGAAGATGCTATCTTTTTTTCTTTGCTGTGTTTTGGTAGATTATGTTCTATAAATGTTTTTTGGTTACATACACAGTATAATATATACATCTTTTATATACATCTTTTCCAGAAGTGCATTTATACATAAAATGCCTGCTGGGACACTCTGTGATCATCTGTTCTGTTGTTTTACATAGCACAAGCCATGGGAGGCTGTACAATCACTTCTTGGTTGAACCAAAATTGAGTGTCCTCAGCTGTAATTCTAACACCCTTCAGGCACTGGGGTTAAAACAGAATTCTGGTTTGAATACAGAATCAGTTACAAAAAAAAAAAAAAGTGAACTTACTTTTAGGCATTGAAGTTAAGTATGACTTTTTTTTTTCTTCCATTTATACCAGAACAAAGTCAAGCTATTGTCGCAAAGAAGCATTGAAGTGCCTGTTATTATAAGCCTTGAGGTTTGAGCTAAGATTTAAGCAAAACTTCCTTTCTAACCTTTCTTTCTCTCTCTTCTCACCCCTGCTCCGATACCACTTGTATTTGTTGTAGACCTGTCAAAGACCTGCTGCCCCCTAGAAAGGGCAAGGCAGCCAGCCCCTTTCCATCCACAGTGGCAAAGCTGAACAGTGGCAATCCTTGCTCCTGGCAGCCTGCACACTGGAGTTTCCAAGTCTCTCCTTTTCTTACTGATATTTAAAAGCCACCTAGCAGATGCCTATCAGGATACTGTGGATATCGGGAAACCCCTGGTAACCCTTTACACATGCCACAGCAGGGCCCATAAGGGCTGTCTGGGGCAAGGGGAGTCCTGTATGGCCCATAAGGCACTCTTCTATTTTACCAAGGATAAGTAACCACAGTTGCCACAGTTGAGCAATTTAGGGACCACGAGGCTGAAGGATTTTGCAGAAGTCCTTATAACCACTATTTTCTTTCTCTAACCTTTCCTTTTGAAATGAAAGTAAGTTTGCTTTGGCTCAATATGTTGCCTATGTGTATTCGGACATTCCCAATCTGTACCTTGATCTGCTGGACTTCCGACTTTCTAACTGGCATGCTGAAAGAATCCTGCCCTAAAAGTTAGGATTTTTACATTCATTTAGGAAATGTTCTGTTATTGAAAACAAAAGAGCTGTCTTGTTCTTCCAGAAGTGTCATTTAAACAGAAGCAGATTTTCAGGGAAGGAGAGGCTGTGCACATGAGCCACGTTTCTGAGCAGCCTTCCCATCATAAATGTGAAACAGACGTCCTTGGTCTGAACCTTGAACTTCTTCGCTGCTCCTGATTGTTTTAGTCTGGCCTCCAAAGTGATCTGTAACAACTTAAAGGAGCGTTCCACTGCTTTTCTTTATTTTTCTTTTTTAATTAATCGATTCATTTTTCAGTATAAATACACAGGGAGAAAAGATTGTTCCATACGCAAAACAAATGAAGGTCAGCAGGCTTCAAAGTTTACAGTTAGCAATACAGGTCCAGCAAGGGACTAAGAAAATATTTCCTTTCTTTACAACATTGAAAAATCAACCTTATTTATTTATTTTAAGGAATAATACATTTATACTCTTTTGATTTCCTTTACTAGTGATAACTTTCCTCCTAGTGCTAAATTCCCTATAGTGAACAGCCCCACTCTTCTCAGGAGAGGAATATTACAAAGATACTGATATTCTAATTTGACAATAAGATATTGATATTCTAATTTGACAATAAGATCTTTTTTTAAACAATAACATAACTAATGAAGTAGAGTGGAAAAAGAGAAACGTTGGGGCACACAGGTGAATCGTAACCTGAAATTTTCTAATTAGAAGCCTGACGATACAAGTGGCTTCATGCTCTATTTGAAGCTGCTATGCTGAAAGCAGAACATCAGGAAAGTAAACTAGATAAATGTCAATCAGTCTTCTGTTGCTGCTTCTCCTTTTGTTGAATCACCCAAGTGAAAGTTCATTTGGGCTTGCTGAAATACTCTTTTGGCGTTGGTGGAGAGGTTATCAATGGCTTTATTTCTGATTTGCATCTTTTTCTTCAAGGTTACAAGTACCTGTCTACCTAGCATTTGACCATACCATCTATATATTGTCAGAACTACTTTGACCAACACGCGTACTTTCTAACAAAAAGCAATTAAGGGAAATTTAAATAGTGGACTGTATGAAAGCTCAGAGATTTCTGAAAAAAAATCTATTCTGTTTTTTCTAAGGAATACATCTACTTGCAAGCTTCTGGCTCCCTTTTTAGTTTCAAAGATCTCTTTTTGAATTTGAAGAGAGACTGGAAGTCTCAAGAAACTATGACTTGGCCAGCCAGTGTGCTATAAGGGGAGGGAACTCTGAAAATTGCTTGTTGTTAGCCTAGCCAGAGACTAACAAAATTACTGGAAACTTTTCCAGTGATATAAATGCAATCAGAGTTATGTCAACAGTCAATACTTAGGGAAATCCCTTGTTTCAGATTTACAACTCTAATTTCTAGCACATTTTATTTTGCTAAACCGCTCTTGATTTTCAATTATAGTTCTCTCCTTTACCTCACCATACCTGTGATTAGACTTCTACTTTATACTCTACATCCTGAAGATGTGGGGAGATGTTATCGTATGTTCACTGCCTGCAACTTTGACTTTGCTCCCTAGAAGGGGTATGCAGGTATTTGCTGTGTTGCCCACATTTCTTTCTAACGAAAGAAAGCTTTCTTAGTAATCCTCAAAAAAGAATTCCTTCTAGGCATTTCTAATGGATATATATATATATATATAAAAAAAAAAACAAACAACTGCAAACATATTTCTCTGCAGTGGCAATATAAGTATTTGATGACCTAAAACCATAAATTTAACACAATTAGATGAGATGCTCATTGAAATTTGTTGGCATGTGCTTGAAACAACATTTTTGATAAGAGGAGAAGCGTCAGATAACCAAAAGCAGCTGCTCAGGTCTGCCCACAGTGAAGCTAGAGCTTAAGCAATAAAATTTTACCTCCTGCCAAACAAGGACCAAGCCCATTTCTGCAACTCTAGTCAAGCAGAAATTTCAGCATACTGCAGAGCACTCCGAGTGCGTGGAGAGCCTGCTAATGTTATGTCTCGGAACAAACAAGATAGATAGCCCAGTGAAGGAGCAGTCCTGTCAGCATAACTGCACGTCTTCCAATAGTTTTTGCTGGCACGGGTCTATGTTCAACACCAAGGTGCTGGCAGCTGCTGCAAAGTAGGCACAGCCAAGCAGGGACCAATCCTCAGCTGCACAGGGCAGCCTTGCTCCTGGCTATGGAGCAGTACTGTGGCTGGACACATTATATCTGCCCACTTGTTTTGCTTCTGGGGTTTGATCCAATTACCTCAGAAACACACTTTGGGGATAGGATTCCTATATCTAAATTCAGATGCCACTCTCGCAGCCCTCCACACCCAACCTCAAGGCTCTGAAATATACATAAGTATATATGTAGATTTATTTTTTCCAGTATAGAAAAACAACCATTTTCAGAGTTCACGTCTACTCCAGAAGATGATGAATTGTGTTTCACAGGTGCCTGTACCTCTGCAGTGACATTGCACATTTTCACCTTCTACAAGTCCATGTCAGAGCAGTTCCTCCCACCGTTATTGCAGAGTAGTCTTCATGTTCATTCTTTTTTGATCTAATGCCTTTGGTTTAAAATGTGTGCCTCTACTGCTAGGGCTGTCTGGCCTTTCCCAGTGGCTGAGGGCTCTGACCGAAGAGCCTTCCTGAAACGACTGTGAGAGCTGAAGAGTTTACTGTTCCCAGCTGTTAAGACATTAGTGCTGCGGTTTGCAGCACAGCACCGTAAGACAAATCAAACCCAGTGATGGTTTACTTTAAAACACTGCACTGTAAACCGCAGCGGTTCAGGAGCTGATAAACAAGAAGCTGAGCAGTGCACGAACTGGAAGTTGGGCAGACAGGAGGTCTAACATCATCAATCATCCCAAGATAAGCATCCCTGTTTTTGTCAGTTCCCTGCCCTTCAGATGTGCTTAAAAAATAAAAACACGTATAGGAGATGTTATGAGCAGTACTTTAATTTCTGTCATATTTTTAGATAGCCAGAAAGAAAGCTGCAGGGGCAGTATGTTTATTAGATTTATTTCAGTTACTGTTCCCAATTTGTTTGGGTTTTAACTTGGTAGCTTACACACACATTTGGTAATGGTAAAATAAATGAAGGCCCTTTTGATTTTCAGGTACAATGTGTGTATTATGGCTTATGGGCAGACTGGGAGTGGAAAGACATACACGATGTTGGGACCACAGTTAGAAGAGAACTTTGCATTTGCCTTGGAAGATGAATCAGAACTTGGAATTATTCCTCGAGCTACCCAAGAAGTGTTCAGGTAACACTAACCTGGTAATAGCAACCTAAGTAAAGGCTTGCTTATGGACCTTTCACCTTAAACATTATAGAAAGGATGAAAAAATGTTTGTAATGTATTTATTTTTACAGATACCAGTTTCACAACTGTTAATATTTATACCATCTCTGACTGCCAATCCATATTTGAGATACGATTCTTTTCTAGTCTCTAGCTTAGTCTGTTTTTCTAAGAAAATAAGGCTATGCAATTTCACTGGGTACATCTGCCCATCTGTCTTTCAGACTCCTTTAACTTTTGAATAGGATTCAACCATAGTTGTGCAAGTCCAAACGATAATTAAGTTCTTAGAAGTTTTGTGAAAATTGACAGTTGGAATAGATGAAAAGGATCCAGGATAGAACCCAGTCCCCAAGAATGGTAGTGGAGTTTTTAACCACTATCTGTTTTCTCTAGAAAACTAGATTTTTTAGTTGAACCTAGTGTGTGATTTGAACTGATGTGCTGCTACATTATAATAGAAGAGTCATTAGAGGTTTTTTCAGCTAAGCCTGTTTCTTTTGGAAAAGAGTGTAAGCTAAATCAAAAGAGCCAACTTTGCACCAGAACATTTGTATCTAACTGTAAGTACTCTCCTGAATAAAAAAATCCCTTAATTAATTTATGAATTTTCTGAGCTTGTGGACAGATAGCCCATTACAGATCTAGCTGGGCAGTTTAGCATCTCTCTCTGCTCATTGCCTGCACTCTGGCAGAGTTTATCATACCTTGAGCTCTGAATGCAGTAACTTCCAGCAGAGCAATGGTATGAAAAATTTAGAGGAGAGTGTGGGGTTAGTAGAGAAAAACAATTTAAGCTGGCACAGCTGTTTGGAAAATGAATGTTTACTTAGTGTTTCATGTATAATTTAACTGTATAGTCTGATTTTTCAGCTGAACATTAGCATGTGGGTGAGGCAAAGTCATGACTGTGGATATTTAATAAGCACTTTTATCAGATTGTTAATTAGATTACAATTAAAGAACAGTTCTTTATAAACAGATTGTCCACTTGAGGTTTGAGTTCAGCTTTCTTCATTTGTTGTTTTTTTCTATTTTTATTCTCCAGGCTTATTTCAGAAAAGCCACCAGGAAGTTACTGGGTTGAGGTTTCTGTTGTAGAAGTGTATAATAACGAAATTTTTGATCTTCTGGCCAAAGACAGTTGTGGAAAAGTATTTGGCGTCAAACGTGATGTTGTCACAACCAGAGAAGGAAAGAGCAACGTTCCATTGCTTACATATGAGTGAGTGCACAATTTGATCTTTATCATCTGATCATGATGCAGTGTCTGTGTGATGCACAGCTGTCATAAAATTCCATTTTAAATGTCAGGCATTGCTTCTAAACAATGAGTTCTTACCATATGGAAAAGAAAAAACTGGATGGTTCTCACTGTCTACGAGACTGCAAATGTCAAAATTCTTTGAGCATTAACAGTACAATGAGTTTGGGGTCCTTAATGCTCAGAATATCTGAAGAGAGCCGTATATTTCATTGCTGCTGGAATTTCATAAGGTATCTTGTCAGCTGTAGGAAAAGAAGGAATGACCCAATCACAAAGCACTTTCCCTTTGGTCTTACTAAATGATAAATTTTACAGAATATAATGGAAATGGGTGTACTTTTTTTTTTTAGGTTTTAAAGCAGCTGTAAAGTTAGCTTTCTCTACACAAATTGGGTTTAAAAATACTTCAGAAATATCATTTAAAGTCATCTTTTAATATAAATACCCATCTTGCACTGTCTAGTATTCTGCTTTCGTTATTGGAGGCATTAAAGTGGGAATTGAGATGCTGGCATTTGAACCTTCCCAGCATTCAGGCATATGGTAAGATTGATTCTTACTTATGTCTTGTGGCATTGGAGGGAGACCTGAAGTAATTAAGGCTACAGCTCTACTTGTTGTATTGTTTCCTTGTATGTCCTGAGCATTACAAAAGCTTGTCCTAGTGTATGTAGAAATGGCTCTTGATGTTACATGTGTGTAGCATACAAAGCAAATATATAATTCTTGTTATATATAACACACCTTAACTAAGTAAATGATGAAAATACCATGTTGATAACAATTCATATATTAACAAGAGTAAGTCTGTTTCAGATGCTTTATTTTAGTAACAGGGGCACTGTTTATGCTATTATTAAATCAACTTTAATAAAAACAAGTGTTGACAAGCAGCACTTGTGGCACCAGAGTGGTACCAGATGCTACCCAGTGTAATTAAGCTACTGAACATCTCACTGTGAGCGCCCAGAACATGAACAGATTCCACAAGGAACATTTCTGGTTGTGCATGACATGGACGTCTAGCAACTTTAAAAAAATGTTGTTTTTTGGGCAGATAAATTTGTATAAAGCATCTTGCCTTATTGAAATGTTAAGCACAGTTTTGCAGCATTCTATATTTCTGAGGGAAACAAGATTTTTTTCTTTACTTCTCTATCATAATACTTGTCACAGTCTACTCCCTACTTTTCCAGGAGGAACTGGAAGTCAGATAAGAGAAGCATTTTCCCTGCCTGAGTTAAAACAAAATGCATGTTCAGTAGAAATAACCAAGGGCAGTATTTTTATCTTGTGGGACTTAAGCCACATAAGCAGACTAGTTGTTTGTCCACTGGGTTCATGGTACTGTCATAAAGCCTTGATAAAAATACACTCTCACTGGCTTCTCCATATGTCCAGTAAAGTACAGAGTAGTCTCTTTTCTGTTAACGTGAAAAGAAAATGAAAAACTCCTTCAGAAGTGATTGGTGTGGAGCCCAACCTGTGTGTGCCGAATCCTTCTTGAAGGAGCTAACCTTGCACATTTGACTAGAGAAGGAAGGAACTGTACGACTTGGGAAATGCAAATGGGTGCACATAGATTGGGTATGATGGAAGTGGAATACTTTTTCCTGCTTTGCCAGAACCTCCAAATAATTTTTAGTTATGGCATTTCAAGATGCTGTCCTGAACTCATTCCTGAAAGTAGCCAACCCCTTTTCTTTCCCAAGGGAAGCTTTGTATAGTTAGCAGGTGCATAGAAAAGAGAAAGGTTCTCTTTTCCTAAGCTTTGGAGAAGGGAGAGGCATCACTGGATTTGTGCCACAGAGATGGGAGCTAGAATCAGCAGAGAGGTTTCATTTCACTTTCTATTTCATGAAATGGCTGCCGTGTTTGTTTCTCTAAATTTTAATTTATAGTTCAAGAACCTGGAGCCTTGAGATAAGCATCTCTTAAGAACACATCTCAATCACTTGGTAAATACTCAGTTCTAATGCATATATAAATAAGAATATGGACTTGTATCTCAATTACAATGCAAGCAGCAAAAAGTCCAATTGATAAACAAGCTATATCAATAATTACACAGAAAGGTTAATAAGAAAGGGCAAAGCCAAACAAAGTTAGGGAACCATTGAATGAAGCCACCCAGCTGCCTGAAATCTCAAGTAAACAGATGGTGCTTTGAATAAAAACACACCCTCATTTGTGATAATATTTCATCTAGAATATATTGGCCTGCTGGGTCTCACTGGCTTCTCCGTGTGTCCATTAAAGTACAGTAGTCTCCTTCCTGTTAACACGGACATCCTACCGAATGACAAAAACCTCAGTCTCTTTCTTCTTTTATGACTTGGTTGACTTTGGAGAACATTCAGCATCAAATTTTTAACCTAACCGCAACAGGGCTGTAGGATCTGGTTCAGAACAGGGGGTGCACAGAGTGTGATAAAGTAGCAGAGGCTTTTTTTTTTTTTTTTTTTTACCATTGCTCCTGCTGAGAAGCTGCTGTGACAGGCACGCAGCACTGGGCTGGGGATGCTGCTCAGCCCCAAAGTCAATCGTGTTTTCCTAGTAGGTGAGCAGCACTGACTGCATGCCCCAGGCTTATCTTCTGCAAACTGTTTGGAGCACAGCAGCACTGACCACTTGCCACAGCACAGCGACAGCAGCTTGCAGAAGCCGACTGCCTGTTGGTACATCCTCGTGAAGGCTGCTCACCTCCCCGGGCATCCAGTCCCGGCTGATCAGCCACTGGAAGATGCAGCTCAGAACTCAGGAAGGCAGGACCTGTCCCCTTGGACTTGAGGCACCAGTCAGATCCCGCAGTGTGAGGCTCTGCCCCCTCTGACGGTAGGAACTAGAGCCACAGTTTCCCTGCTGCTGCCAGCTCAGCTGAACCAGGGAGACATCACGGGCACAGGGGCAGAGCTAGTGCACGGGATGCCAGCACACATGGCACGGGACTGGTAGACTGAAGGCTGCTGTGGTCATTTAGCTCCTGCAGCCATATTTTAGAGTGTCACTGGTTTACAGAGGGCACTGGTTTTAAGTAGCTGCTTAAGTGTGTGTAGGTATGGTGTAGCTAAGAGTTTTTCTCTTCTTCAGATGCCTTTGCTTTATTTTTAGAGCAAATTGTTTTATCTGAATATAGTTCTTTTTTTACTTTGAACTCTTCAAGCAGTGCTCTTCATATCACAAAGTATATTTGTGCCCCGCGTGACTTTCACAGCCAAATAAAGGCAAGAAGGTCTTGCCTTTTATCACATGCTTGCTTTTGCTGATTGCAGCGATGTGGAACCAGGTCTGTAGCGAGCAGCCTCTTAGGAGAGTTATTAAGGTGTGTTATATCTGGTGTGTTTCAAAGTATTCAGTAACCAGGCTGTGCTGTGCAGTCATAATAATTTATATCCCCATCTAGAATTTCTGATGTTTATGTGATGCAACTTGAGTGATTATTGAAGGAAGCAGTGCAGCAAAAGGAGAAGGTAGGCAATCTTGACTCATTTGTTTTTAACACTGAAAATCTGGGGAAAATCATAGTGTCTTTTTTACTTTGCCTAATCATTTGATTTTACTCTCTGTGTCAGGTTTTCTTCCCTACAATTGGTCATATTTGCAGTATTTCAACTGGAAAATAAAATGGATAGTATAAGATAAAACGGTCTACAAAAACTTCTGACACTCTGCTGGTCTATACCACAGCTGCTTGTGCAGCTCAAAACTGAGATTAGTTCTGGGGCAGAATTAAGAAGAGTACAAGGAGTTAGAAGAGCGAGAAGTGGAAATGCTCAAATTCCAGTCTGAGTTACCAGAATCACAGAATCACAGAATTTCTAGGTTGGAAGAGACCTCAAGATCATCGAGTCCAACCTCTAACCTAACACTAACAGTCCCCACTAAACCATATCCCTAAGCTCTACATCTAAACGTCTTTTGAAGACTTCCAGGGATGGTGACTCCACCACCTCCCTGGGCAGCCTGTTCCAATGCCTCACAACCCTTTCAGTAAAGAAGCTCTTCCTAACATCTAACCTAAAACTCCCCTGGCGCAACCAGCTTTCTCATGTCATTTTTACTGTGAATCAGTTCAACCTTCTGCTTGTTTCTTTACTTCCTAGGACTGTTGAAAATGCATCTGAATTTTTGCATCTGGTTATCAAAGGCCTACAGCTACGAGTCAGGCACCCTACGCTAGTGCATGCTCATTCCTCTCGTTCTCATCTGGTTGTTACGCTGACCATAACCACAGTTGTCTCTGGAGATAGCTTTGGTAAGGAGGATGTTACTAAAACACTTTGTGAGACAGTTCTTTTTGAAAAACAGCCTGTGGACTTTGACATTTTCATAGTGGTTTTTCTTCCTTTTTCCAGTGCTTAATATATTCCCTCAGTCCTTTAATTTATAAATACCTTCTTAAATAACTGACCAGTTTGATTTCTCAATGCTAATGGTTTTCTTAGAAGCTTTCTTAGAAACTTTTAACTTCACATCTCTTGACTTACAGAATTCTTGAAGCTTTATAGCGTGAAACAACTAATTAAATAAATAGTATCAATAAGATAGATGCTCAAATAGAGTGGTTAAGTCCCTTTGTACGATGTATTGTATTATCCATGCAAACCTAGCATTTTTCATGCAAAGTTTGAGGTGAAGCCAACCACATGTTTTAGGGCTCAGCATAAGCTGTTGGTGAGAAAATTATTTTTTACCTGCTGCCTTGCAAAAATGTCCATTAAATTCAGAATCTCTTGAACTGTTAGTAACAGGCCACGGTAGGAACAGACAACATAGCTGTCCTATTTAGCGCGGCAAAACCTGTATTGCTACTTTTCATTACCACACCAAGACTTACCAGTTTATTGCTTTAGGAATAACTTCGGCTTTGGGGGATTAACTTTGTTTTCTTTTGCTTATGTTGTAATTAGACTCTGTTTCCAGTGCTGTGGTCCGTCTCCTTCATACTCTGCAACAACAATATGGTTTTAGAAAGTGGAAAATATTTAACATTTTTTCCCCTAGATTGCTATCGGAAATTAAACCGACAATATTAGCAAAACAGAACAAACAGTACCCTGGCTTACCTATGGCCCTTGCCAAAAGACACAGCTCCTTCACATGCTGCAGCTCTATGGTTCCAGATGTTAGCTCTGCCCAGTTCCAGATTCTTGTCAATCAGAACGATGTTCAAAACACAGCGTGTTCGCACCACTGGCACACCAGCCATCTCGTCTAGTCCAGGCTTCCCTTTGCCCTTTCTAATTGCTGTCATCCTACTGCATCTGATAACAAAACTCCACAGACACCTCTAGTCGGTGGTGAATGCAGACTCAGGCTTTCAGCTTACAGTGCATGGGTGCAGGTGAGCAAGGTGAGCAAAACAGGGGAGGAAAGCAGCATTGCAAATGGATCTCTGTAGCAGTTTGACACTGCATTCTGTCTATTTAAAAGGAGCAATTCCTGGTTTACAATCCAAGTGCAATTGTCAAATATCTCAAAACTGGAGACCTCAGTCACTAAATAAAAAGTCTCTGATGAGTTCTGCACTGAAAGCCAGGTTGACAAGCAAGCACTTTCTCATGTTTGATGAAGGTCTTCCAGCATTTTGTTTCAGTAATACCTATTATTTGAGGAGAGCAGTCAGTTTTTTTCTTCATCTCAAACTGGAGAGGACTGAGAACACTTATTTTTACACTGATTGTCCTGAAGCCATTTATTTTGTGTAAGCCAACACAGCTGCCCATTCTACAGAGTGAACAGCTACACTGGCTATTAGCAACAGGCGAGCTGGAGAGGTACAGAGCTCTACAGCCCAGTTCAGTGTCCTCTTTATTCAAGTTTTGCAGCTGTGAACTTTCTACTTTTACAAGTAGACTCTTAAGTCCTCAAGAGAGTTGCTTATCTCTATTACCTATAGCAGAGTGTGTGCCTTTTTTCTTATACGTCTTTCTTCACAAAAGAGAAGGGTGTGGATGATTAAAAAAAAAATGAAGAAAAAACTTTTTTTAGGGAAAGCCATTTTGTACATGTTCTTGCTAAGCTGATGTCACAGCAGCTTTTCCAGAGAACCCGTCTTCCTCCTCCTTCCCAGCAGACAGAGTAAGCTAGATGCTGCTACTAAGGAAGAGGAAGAATATGAAGATGCAGCAGTGGGCTATGATGGCTGAAGGAGGTCCAGCAAAAACAGCAAAAGACAGAACAGAAGAGGCAGGATGAACTTTTTTCTTTTTTCTTTTCTTCCCCCCAGAGCACCAGCAGAGAATGTTTCAAAGGCTGAGAAACAGATTTCAGAACTTACTGCTCCCAAGCACCCAAAATCACACTTTGTTTGCAGTCAGTCTAAAACATGAAAAAAGTGCCTCTTTAAAGTCCTTACTGGACTCCTGTTCCTTGTTTTCCACATTGAAGTGCAAACAGTGAGGATGTTACATACAATACAACCTACACCGAGTCTTGTTATCAATCTGTTCGATACGGAAAACCTTAATTAAGATAGAAAAAGCTCTACAGCTTGCCCACGCCATTGACTCTGACTCATGTAATGCTTTAGTTAGAACAGCCTGATATTGTACTTCTCCCGTTGATGCCCCACTTTTTTCTCCATCTCAATTTCCAGTGCCAATATGAAGCTCTCATTTGTTTTTTCCATTAACCAGGTACTTCATGGGAAGATGAACAAATCAGTCAGAGACTAAATAAAGAGTTTTCCTGCACCTATCCACAAAAACCAAGAGAGAATAGATCCACCTCTTCTTCCAGAGCCTCTTCCCCAGCACAGCTTGAAGCAACTGAGAAACCAAAGCAAGTCAGAACCAGACTGCAGCTGGTGGATCTGGCGGGCAGCGAGTGTGTCGGTAAGCAAACGTGGCCGCTTCTGACAAAGCTGTTAGGAATGATGGGCATGGATCCTCCCACACGGGGATTGAAACGTTTACATTGAGCTCCTCGTGTAGAAATATGTGCTACCCTGCCTTCACGCAGGGGTGGTTTAAACACAGATCCTGAAATAACAAAGTTTTGAGGCCCGATTGTTCCAGTTTTACGCTGATACAGTTTAACCAAAAAGCTGGCTGCATTAGCCTGAAATAAGCCCAGGGCGGTTTCCCCTATCATAAGTATATTACTGGTGCAGATTGGTTTTATTTAGGCCTGTTTTTCTACTCTGAAAATTACCATGTCTTTGTACAGGAATGTTTAAAGTGCAGAAATTATTTAAATATTACAAATGTCTGTAATAATTGATATCACTATTTTTCTGCCTTAGTGCAGAGAAAGTCTTGAAGGAAGTTAGTGTTGAAAAGATAATATTGCTTTTGTTGTTTCTTCAAAGCATTTTCTTCCTCCCCCTTCCTCTAGGCACACAATAATTTCAGAAACTTGATTATTTCCTAAAGGACAAGCTTTCTTACCAAGAAAAGCCATGCAGCCAAACGCACCATTCCAGAAATAATGTTTTGAAAACTGAACTAGCATTATGAAAGAGTCCTTTACATTACTGCCAAGAATTCTTGCTGCTCCTCACTGTTAAACTTTTGTTCTACAGAAAAGCCTAATATAATACATTATTTTTTCATTTGCTCCGAGTGCTGGAAATTGTTTGGTAAACATGTAATTGAGCAATGTTGTGTGGGTTTTTCTTCTCTCAGTTCAACCAGGACAAACATTTACTTGGTTTGGGGCTCGGCAGGCTCACTCTCATCAGTATTAGATGTGGACCAGCACATGCGGTAGACGAACCTCTGCCACCGGCTGCACTGGTGGAGATTTGAAGATGCCAGACTTACTCTGATAAAAGCGGGGGCAGCTATTAACTTGTAGTTGTTTTTAAATGTAGACAAGTCTAAGTGAGCAGAAGTACAGCAGCCGTCACGCACGTTTAAGATGTACATCAGCGCTTTGGCTTGCTGGTGCCACAGCCGTCCTGAGCCCTTACACCAGTTCCAAGCTAAGTCATCCCTTCCTAGCAAACAGCCTCAGTTTGAAAGCAGCTAAATGCTTTGGGGAAGTTCATCTGACCAAACACAGATACGAGTGGTTTAAACGTGTACCCCCCTGACCTATTTGCAGTTTTTGCTTTACAGTGATAGCTGTTCTCTTAGGAGCCCTTCTTCAGCCTAGAGATAGCTGTAGACAGAGACCCAAGTCTACAGTTAGTCTGAGATGCATTGTACATATATCTCAGATTATTGTCCACCCTGTGGCAGGGTTTGCTGAGTGGTTTTGCTCTGTGCCTCTCTGCCAAGAGGCTCTACCATTCCAGCCCCATCCTGCCCCATTTCTACAGCCCTCTGCCCTGGCTTCTGTGGTTATTTTTGTCCTAACCATACCTTTCCACATTTGTCTCCTGAACACCTCTCTTGTTCTCCCAGTTTGGAAAATGCTGCTCTAAAGGGGCAGCAAGATCCCTGGCCTCTCTCTGTGTCTGGAGGCGGGACAGAAGACAGTTAAAGAAACTGTGAGCCCCTTCTGACCCCACCATCAGCTCTGCCTAGCACAGATCCTGTGCTCTGGGTAGTGATAAATGATTGCAGATCCACGTGTAGCTCTTCCACTATCCTGAAGAAAGGTTGAATTTGAATAGTAGGATGCTAAATGCTAATAGCAAGTTTCTCTTCCCCAAATGGTTGAGTTAAGGACAGGAGAAGTTACTCTTAAATGGATGCTCATCCAGACTGATCAATGAGTTGAGATCACAGTGCCTTTGTAAATTGGTGCAACTCGGTGAGCAGACAACACCCTTTCTGGTGCTGTTTGAGGTCAGTGCAGATAGTTACAGACCACCATGCTGGGTGGATGGTAAAAGGGCATCGTTTTCCTGTGTGACCAACCATGACAAATGATACCGTAAAGAACAGCATCTCACAGACTTTGGTGAGCATAAACCTCTCACACGTACGGCTGCTGTACAGTTCTGTTTCTGCAGGTAATGCTGTCAGTGCCACTCTTGTTCCTCTTAAGAGTTACAGCATGGGCAGTTAGCTGTTATGAAAATGGTGGAACACACCAGCCTTCTCTCCCAAGGTGCCGTGGCCTGCTGTTTTCAAAAGCAGTGCTGTCTTGTCCGACCTTACGGTGTTCCTACTTTCTCAGTTCCCTGTTGTGATACATACGGAGACAAGATGCATTGTACAGCTGAAGGGATCAGCTTCAACACGAGGTACTCTAAACCATCTGCAGGCACTGAACCTTTTTTAACCTTCCTTCAGACGAGCAGAAACGCTGCACAATGGGTTTGCACTCTGCAGTAAGCAACCGCTGCATCTTGCCTTTGGCATGGCTGGACTGGAAGTCACAGCTGAGAATCTGTGTTTAAAAACATCGTGTCTGAAGTGTGTGATACAGCAACAGAATTTCTCACAGATTACAGTCAAAGCAGCTTTACTTGCTCTTACCATTGCCTTTTTCTCCACATGTTAGGCATGTCTGGAGTGACAGGGGCAGCACTGAGAGAGACGTCCTTCATTAACCGCAGCCTGTCTGCCCTGGCCGACGTCCTCGGAGCGATAGCAGAGCAAAGATCTCACGTCCCCTACCGAAACAGCAAACTCACGCATCTGCTCCAGGACTCTGTAGGTAAGGAAGTATTCTGGCTTTCATTTAACAACATAGACTTAATTTCCCAGTCTTTTCCCCTCCTTTGTTGCGCAAAGCCAGAGGAGGATTGTGCAGTGACACTCCTCCTACGTGCGCCTCTGTTTGCAGGAGTGGTGTGACTACACAGCTCCGGGAGTACAGGGAGAGCTCTGAATTTGGCAAAGCCCTCCTGTTTGCCAAGGTTCAGTTTATGAATGCATTTAGAATAATCACATCTCTATCAGGATAGCGAAGGGTAATGATTGTACCTCACTGGTGTTTCAGGTCACGTACACTCTCAAGTTAAGCTTCAGTCTTTACTACTACAGCATGCAGCCATGCATTTGCACGTTCCTTAATATTGGGCCCTGAAGCAGTAGGACAAAGGAGAGAGACTCCAGAACATATGCATGGTACTATACTATGACTCTTTGTATCTGGGTCACCTCTTCCTCTCTAGCTCCTCCTCTGTGCAGAAATAATTTTAAAGCAAGTGGAATTCCCTCAGTACTGTTGAATCCGTGTCAGTCCATGGGGTAGTCCATTCTTCTTCTGCCGGAAAGCATCAGCCCTCGTGCTTTTAGTCTCCAGTTCAAAGCTTTGGCAGTGACTCAGGTAATAGCTCTGCAGAGTTTCTGAAAGACTATGCACTGTGCTTGAACTTCTAATTTCATCTACTGCTAGAGTCCATCCTGTGAAAGGGGAAAGCCAAAGAAACAAGTCCAGGAGCTAAGCTGTGTGGGCACCGAGCCTGGCTTTAACCACGTCTGTCTGGTGCATGACCTGGGTGACACTGTTTACATAAAGTGTTGAAAGTGGTGATTTCCTTGTTTGCTTGATCATTCTCTGAACTTTTACTAAATCTGTTTTGCTTTTTTGTCACAAACATGATAAAAAAATGTCACACAAAGAAGATCCTGAATTTGCAATCATTTGACAAAGCTTAATGAGGTGTCCAGACCTTAAGATACACGCAGACTAACTGGTAATGCTGTAAGGGAAAAAAAAAAATCTATATTACAAATTACGAAGTGTTTATCCTACTGAAAAAAGCATCATATTGGTAGACATAGGCTTCATTTTAAGGAGTTGCCTGTTTTCCGTAGCCTTCCTCATGTTGTCTTCTGCTTCATAGAAGCACTGGCAGCCTATACTGGTCACTATGTACATCTGTACATTACTGGTGCATAACTTACTGAAAATAACAAGATAAATGAGCATGTTTGGGCTTTTTCCTGCTTCCAGGAGGTGATGCCAAACTGCTGGTGATGCTGTGCATCTCTCCCGACCAGAAGTACTTGACAGAATCTCTGCAGTCTCTGGGATTTGGAACTCGTGCTCGGCAAGTTCAGAGAGGACAGATCAAGAAAAAAAATCTCCCAGTGCAGAGTAAAGCAAAATAAAACCTAAGACTCCCATGGATTAAAGTATTATTAATGAGTTCCTCAGGCTGAAATGTATATCGTTGTCCTAAAGCCATTCTTTTAGATATCAACTGCCAGATAAAATAAGCAATCCTCAACATGGCATTAGTAAGCCATAAACCTGCTGATAATGTTCTAGCTCCAAAGATAATAACAAGAATTGACAACAGCTACCAGCCATGGTGGACTCTCATAGAAATAAATCAGGCTTTCTTAGGAAAGCTACTTCAAGACATAGTTTTGGCGATGTGTTTCCTCTAGGCAAGTAAGTAGAACTAAGTCAACAGACCCCTGATTTAGGATGGCTCGCTTCTGAAAGGCCAAGGCTGCCTTCTGTTTTCTCAGTAGAAGGCAGGAGTCTGAACAGCATTCCAGTGCTTCAGAGCAGCAAATGAAATACTTCCTCACAGCTTACATTAAAATGAGACACACCATCACGGCTCGCTCTTCTGTCTCGCGTGGATGGGGTCATTCCCAGTGCACTGTTGACAGGTAGGAGGGTAAAGGAGCCCATCAGCTGTACTGAATGGAGTTTTCTCTGGTTTTAGGTATGGAATAACAGCACTAGTGAGATGGAGAAAAAGGAGTAAGGCTACAGCTGTTACACCTCTGGAATGGAGTTTAGGAAGCAAGTGAGGGGTCACACAGCTTTTTAAAAACATGTTCAGGTTAAGTGGAAGGAGCGAATCCCAGCTCTGCTACAGCTTGCCTACAGCTGTACATGACTACAATGACTACAGCTTTGCCTCTTGTTTGTTTGTTTGCTCACTCCATGAGGGCTGAAGGACCCAGAACTACAGCTCCTAATGGCTAACAGGACCTAATTCCTACAACCATTTCAGTAGCAGTCCTGCTTGTTGTTTCAGTTGCATTTCCAAAGTTAACCACACCACAACATTGAAGTTGTCCGCACACTCTAACAGCATAAATACACGCCTCCCATCTATCAAATGAATAAAACACCAAGAACCCAGCTCATGATATGATGCTAGTCATCCTCAAGAGGCTTTTACACTCCTTCACCAATAGTGAAACGACATCGCACGGGGTTAGTGAATGAAGTTATATGGACAGATGTTTCAAGGAAACTTAGGCAAGGTGAGAAGTGATTCTGAGATGAGTAGATGCATTCAAATAACATCTGATGCATTTTATGCACTGCTTTATAGCTCAGCAGAGGCCTCAGGATTCACTTTGAATTTTTACCTCCAGCAATCACTCTGCCTCTAGCCTGGGAGAAAGGTCAGCACTAGGTCACTGCAAGAAGGCTTAAGTTGCAGTGGCCTGCCCCAAAGGCTGGAGTTTATAGTACTCCAAGTCACTTAGCCTTCACAAGCGTAAATATTTATCCAGAAATTATATAGCATACTATTATTGGAATTTCACCCTTGAATATGTAACAGCTGCTGTGTTGCATGCGGTGCTCTGGTGCTCAGAACATTGGCATTGCAACTTGGAGAGCTGTAATAAGACTTGTTTTCCTAAATAATGTCATGAGGTTAAAAATGCCTCAACTTTACCCGATTCCAGCAGTAACAGACGGGTAGAAAAAGAATCTGGACACGGGACCTTATAAAGCTGAACGGTCACTGAAGGAATCTCAGATAAGAAAGTGTCAGAGTGAGGAATGTCAGCCTGTTAAGCGAAATGCAGGAGCAGACAGCTTCAAGCTTGCCCTAGTCCGATGACAAGGCTACTAAATCAGCCACGATTAGAGCTCTGAAAGTGGTTAAGTGACATGAGAGGGATGAGAGGGCTAGCTGAATCCACCAGCATCTTTAAGGCCCTCAAATATTTTTGAGGATTTTGCACTTTCTAAGTGTTGCATGTAACTTGTTATGATCCGTGCTTGCTTTTCTGGAGCTGCTCTCTAAAACTTGGCCTTTATCTATCATCTGTGTGACAGGGAAAAAGCAGCAATGCCTATTGTTAAAGCTGAGAAATAAAACCTTTAAATATCAGCAAATACCAAAAGTTTAAGTTTCTACATTAACATAAACTCTGCCAAATGGTGCATATGCAGCATTCCCTATTCCTGTTTTCCTTTCCAGTGTAGCATATTACTCCCTGGCCTACGCAGCGAAGCGTACAGGCTATGCAGGGCAGCAGGGTTAACATTTTGCCCTAAGAACTTTCAGTTTGGGAATTTCCTGGGTTACAGACACTTGATTTCTCAATCCCAGCACCAGCTTCGATGCACTGAAGGAAAGAAGGGCAAAAGTTGCAAGGGCGAAATGGCTTTTCTCTGGTACCTGCGTTCTGCATCGCACCTTGCCCTGTCCCCTTGCCAGCTGCAATACAGACTGCAAAATAGGCACCACGCAGCTGCTACCCGCTGAACCAGGCTTCAGATGCTCCTCTAGAATTTATTCTGCCTTTTGCCTTGCCCTGCCCATGAGCTGAGCAAACTACACGTGCAGTGGCAGCTAGCTGCCTCCACCTCCTTCTCAAACCATTCCACAAACCACAGGGCACACCAGGCAATTTGGCCCTGGGAATATTTCAGCAACTCGGTTTAGCATCAGGTTGGCCAAGGGGCAAATGCTGTGTAGCCTGACAAGCGCAGCAGCTGCTGGGAGGCCACTGCTCATGCCCACGTGTCCCCAAGCACCTGGTGTGAAGGGAAGCAGCTTCCAGCCCTCACCTCCTCGACCCCTGCTTGCACAGCCTCTGACTCACCACCGAGTGCCCTCCGTAAAAGCAGAACATCGGGATCTGGTCTGGAGACAAAGAACTGGAGCTCACGTCCTGCCCCACGCAGGAAGTTGTCCAGATCATAGGACATTCACGCTGGGGATCCCTATGCCCTTTGTGCAGAAGCCGCTGAGCTTCCCCCTGACCTGGGAGCGCTCTGAGCAGCAGAGAGCAGGGAAGAGACTTGATTTGCAAACGAGCACAATTGCTTAACAGTGCTGCAGCTCAGCACAGGGTTAAAAAAATCAATCAATAAATAAAAGCGGTAATTAAACCCGCCCACACCTTTGGCCAAGTCTGAAACAAAACCCCGACCTATGCTGAAGTTTGAATGTTATACATTCAATTTCCACGTGTGGCTTCATGCCTTGGCAGCAGCCACACCGCAAAGAGAGGCTGCTCAGGCTAGGAAAACCATAATTAGCATTGGAAGGGTCACAAAAATGCTTAATTTGTTATTAAACAGTCATCATCGCCGACTCCATTTGACAAAGAGCTTTTCCAAACCTCCGCAGAAGGCGCAGGCAAGAAGGGGGGGAAGTTTTGGGAAAGGCTTTCAGCTCCTGCTGTGGGCAAGCAGTCACAAGCCGCCGGGCCTGTGACCCCTCCGCCACCAGAGCAAGCAGGGGCAGCGGCTGCAGAGGGAGAAGAGGCAGGCCCAGGTTGCAGACAGGCTGAACGTACCCAGCCTCTCACAAACCCCGCGTGGCTTTTGAGCAATGCTTTAAAAATAGCCCCGCCAGACAGCACCGCGAGCCACGCGCTGTCCAGAGGAGGGCAGAGGGTGATCTAATTGAAGGGCGTGAGCGAGGGGAATTGTTGCCTAGGATGTTTTTCTGTCCCTACATCCCTTTTAACAAAGCAAGATTTTAATCTTGCAGCGTATTCGGTTTCTAAATGAGAGAGACACAGTCTGAAAGAGAAGTTGAGTGTTTTTGAGCTCACGTAGGGCTCTGCCTGGGGGGAGCCGACAGCCGCGCTCGGTGCTGTTTGTTCGGATTCATCTTTAATAAAGGGCATGGTGCCAGTGGTCTTGACTGGGGTTGGCAACGTGTCCAAACCATCAGCGTCCTAAAACTGTGCTTGGCTGGTCTCTGGTGACATTTAGGGGCAGGCATGGTGCAGGGGGCAGGGGACAGCGAGGGAAGGCCACAGGCCTTGGGGCACCGCAGCGCCTGCCCGGAGCTTCGAATGTTGCAGGAACCACGCGGGCAGCGTGGGGAGTGCTAAAGCCAGCTGATAACACACCTCCGTGCTCTACTGCAAATCCCTCCCTGAGCTCGTGGACGGGTTTTATACAGGCTGTTTAACAGCCTCGTTGCCTCACAACAGGAATCCTTTCCACCTGTGCTTTTACCCAAGCTCTCCCACAAACAGAAGGGTGATCCCCTTCCCCACAGCCAGCAGCCTGAGACGGATCAGACGAAGCATTTGGAAGAGGAGTCTCAAACACAAGACTCGAGTAACTTTCTGTAGTGCCCCAAACCCACGTCGTGTGTTCAGTGTGACATCCCTAAAGACTGGGAGACCAGCCTCAGAGGTCCTGCCGCAATGCTGAAGTGCCCAAAGACATCCACACGTCAGTCCTAACAGCGCGAACACCAGGGCCTAAACACGGCAACAGGAGGAGAACTGCAGAGCTCCAGCTGTAACAAGTATTTAGCAACAGCCTTGATAAGAAACGATGAGGGAAAAATCCAGGCCATGGTTAGTCACCAGACTCCAGGAACAAGAGATCTGCACAGCCTGTCCAGACTGCAGGCCAAAAACGAGCCCTTTTCTCATCTCCATGGGGAATCCAAAAAGAAGCCAAGTTATCAGCCCCTTGTTCCCCCAGCTCCTCCGGCCTCATGCTTGCCAGCACCTCCTCCAACACGTGTCCCCTCTCGCCCTTTTTCTGCAACGTGAAATTATTGCCCTGGCAGGGCTGAGCCACTGCCCAGCAGTTCACTTGGAGGCAAGCACCAGAGGCGTGTTATTCCCTCTCATTTTCCTCTGGACTGCACTAAAGAGTTTCTGCCCTCTTCTAAACAAAGAAGAATAAAAAGAAAAAACAACAACAACAAAAAAACAAACCATTGCTATAAAAAGTTCTGGAAGCTATGGCAGAGGCTTTGAAAGTCCAAAATGCAGAAGATGATACTTCCTCCCTCACGTAAAGGGGCAGGAAGAGACGGCGATGCCTGACCACAGCAAGCTGCACCCGCACCTTCAGCAGCAGCACATCTTGCATTCCCCCCAGACAAGGAGAGAGGACTTGCAACAGATGAAATACTCCACGGAGCAATGCACAACAGCCACTTTCTGGAGACAACCAGGCACAACAGCACACGGGAAGGGACAGGATGGGACGGGATAGGATGGGATAGGATGCCCTTAGCAAGCCATGGCCCCCAGGCAGCTCACCCACAGGGCCGCACCACCAGAAGCTGCTGGTGACTCACCTGCTGGTGGGTCTGCAAGGACCTCTGCCTTTCCCCAGCTCTTCCCTGCAGAGGAGAGATGTTTTCCTCCACGTTGATTGCACTTGTCTGTGGCACCCTCCTTGTGGACCTACTCCCAGCTGTGCTAGGGCATCAGCTGAGCTGCCCAGAGCCCTTCCTGCCCCTGCCCCTGGGCAGCAGGATGCAGTTCAGGGCCACCAGCAAACCTCGTGCTTCTCCAGGCCCAGGGTATTACCTCTGAAGCATCTGTCCCCACTGTCACCATGCTCTGTGTTATATCTGTATGTTCTCTGGATGAGAAATTGCACTTGTAGCTGTGTGGGCACCTGCCTGGAATTACCGAGGCAGCCCAGAGGCTGCAGGACTGCAGCGATGAAGCTGGGCTGGAGCAGTGGTAGCAGCACCTGGGGCAGCAGCTTTGGGGCTTTCTTAAAGCTTGTTACCCTTAAAGGCGTGGGGTTGTCTGAAAGCTCACCCAGAGCTCTGGCAACATCCATGGAAGGCCACCCACATGAGCTCCTACTCTCTTGGGCTGCAGAACCAGAAAAAAAGGATAAAGCCAGCAGCATGGCTGCAGGGCTGTCCCTTCACATGCTCGCCCCCACCCCGTGTTTTTCAGCAGTAATTCTGCTTCAGCAGAATTACTTCTCTCAAAGTGGTTTGTGTTGAAGCAAATTGAAAAGTTTTGTGCCCTCCCTATTAGTGCAAACGTTAAGCAAAATTGCATCCAGCTGCTCCCACAGCAAGTCCTACTGCTCGGCTACAGCTGCAGGACAGGGCCAGCTGAACGCCTGGGTGTGGAGCCAGGTGGGGACTGCAGCTCTACAGAGGTGAGAGACAAAGCCCTGGTGCTCACACACCTGACCTCAAGGTATTCCCTAAGCGTGAGTTTGGTTCTTGATGTCCAAAAATACACACAAAAAATACATTGGGCTTCTGGATGTTCTCTAAACACACCTCAGTGCATCAGTACTTTAAAAGCAGGATTACGGGAGCCCTCTCTTCACATCTGTCTAGAAAGACCATGAGCAGAGCATTTGCATTAGCCATAGACGGATCATCTGGGCAGAAAACCCCTTGTGGCCCCAGCAATACTGGGAGGAGGGGATGGGGCACTTCCAGTGCCGCTGGCCCCGCAACGCAGAGCAGAGCACTCAGGAGTTGCTTCAGCAGAGGCTGCGTGGAGCCTGGCCGCAGCTCCTGCTTCCTGCCATCAGACCTGGGGTAAAGCTCCCGCACACCTACACCAAGCGATTTAACGCTAAATATAGGAGCGCAACCCACAGGCCAGGCAAGAAAGATTTCAATACCTCAGCCAATACCTCAGCCAGGAGCAACAGCAAACTGCACTGCCTCTTATTACCAGTGGTCGGTAAGCGCGGGTGCCACAGTGGTAGGTACAGAGCCGTGTCACTGTCACCCCTGGGTGCCGAATTATGCACCGAGGGCAGAAAAACACCCATCCTCCTACAGCGTGTGGTGTTGCTCACAGATCCCCATCGCCTGAGCACAGAGCAGTGCATCCTCACCACACCGGTGCCTGCAGCAGTTGTGGCAAAGGGAACCGGGAGGTGTCCCAATGGCACTACCCTGGGCTGAGGTTTGGGGACACGGAGGATGCCTCTGTGTGTGCTCCTAGAGTCTCTGGAGGGGATGCTTTTGGACACATGTGTGACAGTCGGGTCTGAGGTGGCCCAGCAGGGAGGGCAGCACAGCCTGCACCCAGTGAGGAGCAGGGAGCGACCGCTGTCCTCCCAGTACTCTGTGGCGTTTTCCTCGGGGGGCTGAGACTTAAGACCTGTAGCACATGCCGCACCCAGTTATCTCACTGGAAAAAAAAAAAAAGGCTGGTATAAACCTGTTTGTGAGATTTAAAATAAAAACGCGGGACAAGGATTTCCAGGAATAAAGATCAAGCGGAGTTTTAAAATCCCACAGCTATGCCCTTCACCAGCGCTCTACCAGGAAGGCTAAACGCCACCTCCAGAGCCGGGCTCGGGCACCGGCCGAGGGGGCAGCGGAGCACGGGGCGGCGCCGCCAGCCCCTCCCCAGGCCCTGGGCTCCGTCCCGGTCCCGGCCCCGGCCGCCCCCGCCGCGCTCCTCGGGCGCCGCCCCGCGCCCCGGCCCCGCGCTGCCGCCTCACGGCGCCGCCTCGGCCGGGAGGGGGCGGCCCGCGCCCGGCCATGGGCCCGGCCCCGAGATGGCCGCCGGGCTTGGCCCCGGGCACCGCGGGCAGCGCTTCTCGCTCCGGGGCTGCTCTGCCCCTCGGAACGCCTCCAGCTTCCCGGGGCTCACTGCTCTCACTCGGCCCAACGCCCCCCCTGTCAGCTTCAGCACAGCACGCTTTGCTTAAACGTCCTCAGGCCGTACCTCCGAGGACTTACTGCACTCGGTGTGCCTCAGCACCCACCGGGTGCCGCAACAAAGCGTCCCCATCCCTCGCTGTGTCACTGCATTCCTCCTGCATGTGGGGTTCACTGGTGCCACGAGAAGTCCCGTCTTCACAGACCAGCTCATCCATCCTACGTGTTCCAGGCAGCAGCATCCACGTTAGCACCTTCTTGCCTGCTATCACTCCATTACTTGTCCAGCAAAGCAACAGAGAAATGACAAAGCCCTTGTGAATCAGATTGCTTAATATATTGCTTTAATATTTAATATTAAAGTTTACTTCTATAAAAAACTCTGTTACCAACCCCCTTAGCCAAAGTTGTGTGAGCTTCTCGTCCTCAAGAACAAATGAAGCAGATACCCAGCAGGTCCTCAACAGGGGTGGGAAGTACAAAGGGGAAAAATGTCAAGACTAGGAGCAACACTATACTATTGAAGCACATTTTTAAAAATACCTTTTTTAACCAAAACAAAAACCAAAACACTATCTTTAGCAGTCTATAATACAGCCAGGGAAAAGGAGAAAAAGAATTTATACAAACTCCTGCCAGCGAGCTCCTTTGAGAAGAGATATGAGTAGCTATACTGGGGCACTCCTTCCGAGATTTTATGTCCCAAGAAAAGCAAAACTTTCCTTTACCCACGCCAGACACTAGGCCAGCAGGTTAGGTGACTTACAGCAGAGCTCCTCGGCAGCGCTTTGCATGACATGTGCTGGTGTGCTCGTCCCTGATGCAGCCCCCAGGGGGATGCTGACAGGAGCTCTCTACACCCCTGGGAGTTGTCCACACGCTGTTCTCTCTACCAACCACCGTGAGCAGCTTGTCCCATGTCTCATTACTTAGATTCAGCCCCCATCAGCGCTCCAGCTGACTCCAACCGGCTGGACTGGGTCCTCAAGGTATGACAGAGGCCCCTCTGGCAACTTGCTGCCGAGGCTGGCAGGGAAGAAAAGGAGTTGTTCCAGTGACGGCAGTGTTCATGGTTTTCCACTGGAAGCTGAGCTCACGCATGGGTTACAGCCCAGCAGCACATTCATTTCCAAAACCTATCTATCTCAAATGGAAGACATCACTGACATCCACCTCTTGGAAGGAAAAAAATATATATATACAATTACTTTTTTCTGTCAATACTTTATTGCAGGTGTACATATACTTTTTTTTTTTTTAACAAAAAATTCCTTTCATAGAAAGGAGAAACTTTTACCATTAAAATAGAGTGATTATACCACAAGTATATTACAAATATATACAAATATTGGCAGCTAGTTTCTAACATCAGCTGATAAATGCTTACAAGTTACCCTCTACCAAACTAATGAAACCAAAATAATAAGACATTCTAAATCCAAAGACAAAAAACATCTATTACTAGCAGGAACTTTTTTTTTTTTTTATATGAATACAAAAACTTGCATAATAGATATTCACAGTGCTTGTAAGGTATTCACTGATTCACTCTCAGTCTGTACACATAAAAAAAAGTGTCCAGTCTCCCCTTCATATGCATTTGTAACTTACAGTACTGGGGGAACTGCGTAGACCACTGAATGAAGATTTGGAGCACTTGCCTTCCCCACCAGCCATGAACAAATACAGGGAACCCCCATGTACATACAAGGCAACAGAGACTTGTGCAAGAGCCAATTACACTGCTGTCAGGCAGTGGTATATTTTGTGAACCAGCAACACCAGGACTGCAGCATTTCACCAGTTCTAGTTAATGTTTGGTAGCTGTGAAAAGAAAATACCAAGCTGCTCATTCTTAATGGTTAATAAACACTTCAGAAAACTGGTCAGGCTGAGGCAGGTATGACTGTGATTGTCTTTGAGACAAGTGTGCATGTATGCGAGCACGTGGAACACATGCCTGTTTTGTGACACCCTTCCAAATAACGATACCTGCCGTATTTTAGAGCTGTCCCTCCAGCTCTGCAACAGGTGCAAGAGCAAAGCTGCTCCCTGCAGCACTGCCACCTTCCTCCTGGTTCTTGGAGGCGTACAATCTCCAACAGCTTACGGCCAAATAGGTCCCAAGTATCAGGGAAGGCTTAACTGGACTGTCCACAAGCAGCCAGATGCCCTTTCACCATTTAGGTCCATTTAGGAGAGCTTTTTTTTAGATACTGTAAATATGCTTCAGGTACTCTAAAGGTATTTTGGCTTTGCTTGGAAGGATGGAAAAAAGGCTACAGTGAACACACATATAATTGTTCATTAAGAGAAGAAAGAACAGCATGATCAAAGAGAGCACAGTCAATTAAGTTGTGGTTACAGTGAGTTGTGTCCATCATTCATTCATACATACGGCTAACAGTTTGGGCTAGATTTGTCTACGAGGATGTACGGCCACTGATGTCACTTCAGCAAATGCAGGTGCATCTGGTGGCCTGAAGTGGTCTCTTTACACCACATTGACTTGCATAGAAACAGTGAGCTTGCAGACTTCACGGATTTGCTATTTTGACAGAGTACAGGAATGCAATTCACTGGACAACTGCTAAGCCTGTCAAGGCAGCAGCATGAACCCTCCCTCGTTGTGGTTTGACTTCCTTCCTTTCCCAAAGCAGCCATCTTCATCTTCCGATTGATCAACACTGTACAACACATACTTCCCAAATCAGCACAACAGCATCATTCAGCTTCTAAAGTTTGCCATGAAAAGCAGTTAGTGTCCACCTGCTGTCCAAAGCAGGTTATGCATGATCTAAGTACAAGCTTCACAGATGTTGGGAATTGATGGGGAGGGGGTACTACCAGCGGGGGAAGGCAGGGAAGGAAATCAAAAAAACTATACATTTATTTGGATGTAACAGGGCAGCAGTGTGTTTTCCACACCAGACAAATCCCTTAATCAAACAGCATAATTACAGCTATTTTCCTGCCAGGAGCCAGCATGGCCAGCTCCACAGGACTCAAGACCACCCAAAGTACCCCTGGTTCCCCCCGTGCCTCCATCATCACATCACAGGCCCTACAGCATCGCTCACGCACACTTCCGTGACCTATGCAGGATGAAGTTGAACACAGCCACTGGGAGCTTTGTCTATCCAAAGCGACTTTCTCCAGTCCACATCTGCCCCCAGCAGAGTAAAAAATTCTAAGGAACAGTTCTATGAAAAATAAAGAAAAGAACAACATTAAAAGTATGATGCAACTTAAGGGGTGATCATGCCCGGACAAATTCTCCAGTCACACTCCTGTCTTCGAGAGCCAGTCATTTACTGCTCTTAAATTGTCCTCTGTATGCTCAGAAATGGCTATTTGTTTCATCCCTTCCCCCATCTCTCTCCCAAGGATATAGGGATTTATTTACCCATCTATACCATGGCAGTAGTAGTGACAGCTGACAGACAGTTCCAATTGTTGCATTAAAAAAAAATACAAACACACAGAACCTACATTGTATTTGGCTGGATGCTTACATCAAAACAAAACAAAACAAACAAAAAGCTCAAGGCAGAGCAAGTTTTGCTCCCAGTAAAGCAAACAGGCAACTTCTGTGCATTACAATCAGAAAAGGCTAGACTTTTCCATGCACAGACATCCAAATATGCTGAGAGTATATCCTGACCTGACAGCCGCTAGCAGTGCTGCAGCAGCACAAGCTCAAGACAATCAAACTACTTGTATAGTAGCATTAACATAAATGGACCACAAGAGAAAAGCAGGAAGCTAAACGGCCATGGACTTTGTAAATATCTTTCTGATAAATCAATTTTGGTCCAGTTTTGGGTTGTGTTTTTTTGGTCACTACTAATGGTGCAGCCCACTTCCATGTTCTGCTCAGCAGACCCTCCCAACGCCAACGTTAAGTGCTACACTCCAGCTGATTTGCCCTGTAGTCAGGTCTGCAGAAGCGATGCCACTTGCTGATTACGGAGTTGAGTAACAAAGCTGCTCAATCTCCTACAAGACCCAGTGACATCACACGTGTGAATGAGGTATATATTTCCATGCTGTGCTGTTTCCTGGTATGGAAGAGCTCCAATCTCATTACACCACGAACTCCTCTGGCAGCTGGTCCTCTCCCAGCAGATCCAAGGAGAGGCAGTTCATAGATCGCTTCCCGTAAAGGGCAGACTTGGTTTTGCAGTCCGCTGTGGAATAAACGCAGCCGTAGACAGACAGCTTATCCTCCAGGCTGCAGCCGAACGTGTAGCTGTGGGACGTGTCCGAGGACAGCGTGGCACTCAGTGGCGGGTGCCGGTGCTTGTACAGGCGGATGTCATCCAAACTCTGGCTGTGCTGGTCTGTGCAGCTCCTGCCTCTCGGCGATTTGACCTGCCAGTTCAGTAAAATGCACGTGAATAACAATGATGAGCTCAGGCACTGCCTAAGGATGCTGGCTATGCATGCTTCAAATTTTCCAAATTGTTCTTCCACTCCTTCAAACAGCCCCACCAGCCTTCTGAAGGATATCGGCTTAATGAAGAAGTTATGAAGTATTAAGAAATTACAAGTGTGTGCAGCCACCCTGCCTCACTGCACCAGATCCTAATCTCTATGTACCATGTCCTCTGCGTCCAGTACAAAGGACAAAACACTGGGCAGGTATTAATGACATCTGAACAACCTGACACTTGCACTGACTGCATGGTTCCGCTAACACATGCATTAAAGAATCACCCCAACTGCTTGAACACACCAAGATGAAGCTACTTAAAGTCTTTTAAAGTCTTGGGAGCTGAAAGGAAAGTTGGTAACAACCATGCAAATTAACGGGTTAGTGTCCAAAATTCACTAAGTGCAATATATACTTTTGTCTACATAACATTGCTCAGAAACGAAGTCAAGAGCAACAAAGCAGCAGTAATTCCCAGAGGAAGATGTCATGCTACACAAGCTGTAGTGATGTGTCCTCTTTGGAGGCATTACTGACCACACAAGACATTTCCAACTTCCCCACCTGTTTTTTCTTGCTCTCTGTCTTAACAATCAGCTTCTACATGCTGATTTTAATATTAAGCTGAGACATTTCTGTTAGCAACACAGAGAAGCACCTCCCAGTACTAAGTCTCTCACCTACACTGGATGGGAACTAGAAAACTACCCTGAGGAAATCCGTGTTGGCTCAGCTGTGCTCCCAGAAACAGGCATACATGTATACTGCATGGTCCATCCAGCACTAAGCAAACACAGTTGTGTACAAGTGCCATCAGGGTGAAGAGATGTCTCTTAATTGCTTAAGCAGTCCTGTGCTGATCAGAAACACTCTTATAAAACAGATGCCTCCCAATCAATTAACGGCCTAAGTGTGTGTTGGTGAAAGTATTAACATAAAACCAGTACTTTAAACCAGATACCTGCTCCTTGCCTTGCTGTCTTCAGTCACTCAACTCAAATTCAGAAATAAGTACATTATGATTTGTACTGCACAGCATTCAGCTTATGATATAAAAGCTTGGTTATTTTTTCCATCTCTCACAGCACTTAACAGAGTACTTTGCTGATAAGTGAAATCCTTATCACTTTTGACTGGGTCCAGTAAGAATCATGAGAAGTGAAAAGAAGTTTTAAAGTGATTTAAGTCCTTGTTCAGAAAAAAAATCTGGGAGTATAGGGCAAAAGGGTGAATAGATTTTTTAAATTCTTTTAGCAGATAAGGATAATGTGGATCAAGAAAGAAAACTAGAGGCAGAGGCTTTTTTTTTTTTTTACATAAAGAAACTAAACATTTCCATCCCTGTGGGTACAAGCTGAAAAAGATATTGTTTGGCCTTAAAAAGACAACTTCATAAACTTTTCCCAAAGTCCAACTTACGATATGACATATTTTACCATATATAGTTGTCTTTTCTCAAGGGTTGGATGAAAATAAAATGTTGACAACAAAGACTTCAGCATACACATAGTATAATCACACAAATGATAGCAATTAGAGCTTGAACATCTGGTTTTGCTCTGATGTGAGCTCCTTCTGGCTTCAGGAGCAGGAAGATGATCAAGCTTGCAACCCACATCCAAACTGTATGGATGGTCTTGGCTCTACATTGTGCTGAAAATTTGCAAGTGGTTTATTTTCCATTTCCTGTCTGGAAGCTTAAGGCAGATGATGGCTGGCTTGCAAGATTTCCACACTGGTCGCTCCAAACCTCTCTGTACTTTTCTGGACCCAAATGTTGCTCTCATCCTATTCCCAACAGCAGTCATTGGCCAACAGCTGTTTTCAGTTAGACCATTTCAATCAGTCAAATACAGACCTATCAAGTTCACCTGATTTACAGCTGTCTCCATTACACTAGACTTTGGTTCAACGCCCACACACAGACCTTCCTGCCAAGCACCACTCCTTACCTGATGAAGGGACTCCACACTTTGACCTCTCATTTTTATTAGCGTGACTTGCACCACAGACAGCGACTCCTGATTTACAGCTGCAAAGGAGGAGGAAATAAGAAGCGTTACAGGTTTTAGTTTTTATTGGCAGAAAGGGGAAGTTGTCCTCACAGGCTACACACAGACAGTGCTATCCTATAAATACAAGTATACATCACTAAGCACCCTCAATATTCTGAGAGTTTTGCTCACAAATACTCCTGTTTGTCCCTAAGAAGCAACATTTAAAAGCTCACAAGAAAACAGCTTTTCACCAACTTCTCCCGTATTTGCCCATCTTGATTTGCTACGAAGCCTGTTATGTCTTAAGGCCAGACAGCTCCTGCATGAACCCATTGTCTAGCATTCCCCATAGCATAAGCCACAGAACTTAAGCTATTAATTCCTGCAACTTGCCCATTAATCTGTGGTTGAACCCCTTGGCTGTCTTGTGGTATACAAGATTTTAAATTAAATCCTTCACTACAGAAGGTTTGCCTCAGTTATCTTTTTGTCGTTAACTGCATATAAACACAGTAACTTGCTAAACTGGGAAAGGGGAGACCTTAAGGAACAAAGGGGAAAGTAACACTGTACAATATAAGGTGCTGGCCTTTAAACTCTAGAGGAGCTGACTTCAAATACTGCTGCAGTATGTAGACAGTAAGTAGCACTTTGTTTGGAAGAAGACACAGCTTTCTTAGATCTCTCAGATTACATCTGATTGCCCAAACATCTTCCTGATGTTACAGCCTCAAGAAAAGCACTCAGCAGTAGCAGAAGCCATCTCACCTTGGCAGCTAGCAGCATCTAGAGGAAGAGATTCAACAGCTTCTTCCACAGTGGCCTCCTCTAACTCGTCTCTTCCTAAAGGCTCATCTACAGGCACCTCCTCTGGCTCATCTACTGCCAGCTCAAGATCTAGGAGGAAAAGAGTGGCAGGAGAAGGGTTAGCATTATATGCCTGCTCCGAGTTGCTTCATGTTTTCTTATTCTCCGTTCTCCTGTAGAAAGCAGAAGCAGGCTTAGAAGTTACTCTGCATCTCCAAATTCCTTACCATCATCCTGAGAGTCATCTTCAGCCCTCCCCTTACTGCCGCTGTCAATGCCAGAGCTACCATAGCTGATGGTTGAGCTGCAGGATTTCTCTTTCCTGTGCACTCGGTCGATGCCAAAGGGCTCATCCACCGACATCTCCACTGACACTCGGTGCCTCGAGTCAGCCTCAATGCCCGAGGTGTGAGAGCTGCCGTGGCTCCCTGTGGACTGGCGCGAGAGGCGGTTATCCCTCCGGCTGCCCACGCTGCTCCCGCTGCCGCGCGAGTTCTTGTCGCACGGGTCCAGGTCCATGTCCAGCGTGTCGCTGATATAGGACTCCCGGTAGCGCTTCTTCTCTGAGAAAGAACCAGGAGAGAAGGCAGGGGAAACTTTAAGCAAGACTGAAGGAAGGGTAACAAAACTGGTAAGTTCTGGGACAGGCACAACCTGATGGTGAAGAAAATTGCTGCAGCTACTGAACAAATAAATGAAAAGCAAGTTTTGTGTTCTGCTTATTCTACAGACAGTGGGATGCCCAGCAGGTTGCAACAGAACCACAGTCATACTTTACAGTAAAACCAGTATCTGCTGAATTAGGGCAGGCAGCTAGAGGCAGTTACAATTCAGAAATACTGCCTTCCAGAATGAAGGAAATGCAGCAAAGCAGGAATCGCGTACCTAACCTAAGTGTTCAGTCTTTAAAATAGAGTACATCGATCATTTCTCAAGAGAGTCACCAATGTATGGAGACAGCTAAGAATGGGATCTCCATGGCTGGCATTTATTAATGATTTCTCCCATGGCTTTTCTGTTACCCAAAAAAGAAGCATGCTGAAGGTGGACAAGAAATCCACAAGAAGCTAGGAGATACAAAACAATTTAGAAGAAATCTGTCCCACCCCGAAGTGGAAGCTAGAAAGCAGGGGGGGGAGGTGCACAGGGGCATTTCAAACATTTGTGTCTGGGCACCTGAATCACATCCCCAGGTATTACCACAATGTTGTAAGATGTTTATTTAAGCTCTGAATTGCAGGCAATAAAATGTTAGCAGAGATTTCCTGACAGTGTCTGGCAAGGAACAGGATTTCAAAATGCCAACAAAGACAGGGCAGCAGCTCTAGCACAAGTCCAAGGAAGCCTTGCTGTCTGCCATGCCTCTGCCTTTCTCAGAAGACAGAAATCTGTTCTTTGAAGAACAAAGCCAGGAGAAGCAAGTACTCACATGAGCTAGCCTCTAAGAAGGCCACTACCAAATAGGAAAAACAAATAGCAGCTAATCAGGTGCCAGGATATATGCCAAGCAAGAGAAGCAGTAGATCCCAATTTGACTCTGGAAATTTTTGGAAACATTTTTAATAGTGAACCTGTTTAGTTGCAATTTTTACAAACACTGCCATGTTGCTATCTGACCAACAACAGAGTAAAAACAGAGTCACCAAAAAGGGACTTCCAAGAATGCAAAGGGTTTGTGAAAGCAATCTGAGCCTTTTGCCCACATGCACTTGATTAGTGAGCCTTTGTAAAGGTTGCTGGCACATGGCACTAGTTGTTCCCACACAGCTCCATGCCACTTTTATATCCCCACTGAAGGAAAAGACAGAAATAACCAAGGTGGATGACACCAACGGCCACCTCTCCTCATACACTGATTCCACGTAACCATGCGCCACCACTTCAGAGATGGATGTGAACTCCTTAGAGTTGACAAGATGGACATGGAGCAGTTGGATCCCCCATCAGAAAGTACAAATTCGAGGAGTTCTGATCTGCTCTCAGGTGGGAGCTGCTGGTGCCAGAAACAAATATCAAAGCCTAACATACTGTATGTACTCTTCCCCTTACCAAAGCCACCTGCTCTTCTGCCACATACCTTCAGCCTCCTCCAGTTTTTGGATTTGCTTCAGCACTGGCTGGATATTCAGAAAGAGCCGGTGGCTGTTGCTGAGGAGCTGCAGCAAGTGCCGTGACCTGAAGGGGCAACCTGTGTAGTAAACCAGTTTCCGTGCAGAGGGCAAACCGTCTGGCTGGATCTCAAATTTTTTCCCCTGCATAAAGAGGAGAGATGCCAGTGAGTGAGCACGAACATGTCTTTGGCCACATGGCTAACTGAGGTAGCCGCAGTCTTGTGCGTGTGAGTTACAGGACTTGACATCGAAATTTGGGCAGGCCGACAGCTTCGCCAGGTCCCAGGTGGGCAGCTCGCTGCCAGATGGCATCCGTTCTGTCACACTCACCAGAAACGCCAGCTTCCCGATGTGCGACCAGGGAAAGTCGTAGAGGAGCTGACGAACGTGGTTCACCTCCTGCAACACATCAAACTCGGGGTGACACAGGAACTGGCAGGTACAGGGTGGAGTCAGTGATGTGCAAAGAATTTGCAAACAACCAAGAATGCAAGATATGCGGAGCCTGCTGCTCACAGGGGAGGCAGAGGAGTGCTGGTGGGGGGAGGACAGGGGAGCTAGGCAGAGTTAATGCTACACCAGAAGGCTTTCATGGCAGCCTGTTACCTGATAGATGTGCATTCCTCTAAGGGTCAGGCCCAGGATAACTGTTGGGCGATCCTCCTTCTTATCCTAAAAGGACAGAAGAGCCTGGAGTCAAAGGTTAATCTACAAAGACCACGCTCTTGTTCTGGCACCTACTGCAAGAGAGGTAGCAGGACTGCTCATCAGACAGATGCCATCAGCCCATTTGCTTTTTATTGTTTCTAACAAGCATCTCGTCTTGTTGATCCCTGAAGAATTCTGAGATCAGAAACACCTACAAATCCCCCTGTGCTGGAAGTCTCCAGCTTTTCACCAGCAGCACATGCCCCAAACAGCCCCAGAGAGGGAATCCTGCAGCTTAAGTGATCTGAGGGCACAGACCATTACTGTCCTCAGAGGCAATTTGTAACAGACTCACTACCACCACCATCTCTGCTGTTAGCGCAAACATTCACATCTCTCACTCTCCAGGTGACAGAGAGCCCAAAACAGAAGCGATGTCTGCCCCTTCCCCTTACCACAGCATGGCTGTTCTCACCCTGGGACGTGCTGGACCTCAGGTGTACGTTTGCCAGGAGAGAGCTAATCAGTGCCCAAAGTTACAGGACTTTTCTCCTAACCTTTTCATCTCAGTGTTGGGAACAGACAGTTTTATGTGCTTAAGGCTGAACTGGAAATTTGCCTTGTTTTTCCTCGTGCTGTACCTTCATACCACATAATCTCTCTCTAATTAGGAGATTCCTTTGCTTAAAGATTGAAAATCAAAAATCCCCGAACTGTCCAGCACTAGTGCACTCAATCTCTCTACTGGCATGGTGGAGTCAGAGGGGGACAACACAGACTTCTCTTACTAGGAGGAGCGGGAGGAAGAAAATCACTGGGTAAAAATTTCTGGAGTCACAGAGCTCAAACTTCACACCAAGATTTTCTCACCTGGCTTGTCAAGATGCAAGCCACACAATGTCACATCTACCTCAGCCTCTGCCCCTCTGTTAACACCCATATCCAGCAGAACTCCAGCTGAAAGTCACTAAGAAATGCTTTCTGCCTCCTAAAGTCAAAGAGCTTTAATAAATCAGTGCTGGTCTGGAGGAGGGATATGGTGCTCAGTGCTGCCTGTTGTCTTTCAGAGTCCCCAACCCCAGCAGCAGCCACAAGGAGGGAGTAAGACAGAAGTGACTGCTATTGACATCTCATGGCAGCCAGTGTACCAACACCTTCACCCAGCACCCCTGTGAGCTCGATCAGGAGCTTTGTGGCCCAGGAGTCATCTAGGAGGAGGATGCCTCACCACGAGATCCCTTGTGTCATGCAGCAGGAAGAAAAGCATGTTGTGGATACAACAACACAAAGGAGTTAATGCAGAAAATATGAGTTCAAGTCAGACTCAAATTTAGATATTAAGGGCAATCAGTTTCACAGCCCCAGTGCCTTCAGATACAAATTATACCATGTCTTGCCAGCTGGATTTCTTATGGCATTCAAGTGTAACCAACCCTCTTATGACTGCATCATTAACAGCATTAGCATCAAAACGGAGAGGACAGAAGGGCAGAACAGAGGTAGGGGGAGCAGCTAGTTTGTGAAGGACTGAAACTAACCCTAGATTGAAAACCAAAGTGGAATTTATCTCCTTTGGAAAATGCAAGGCTCTTCTCTGTGTTTCTGCAGTAACTAGAGCTGCCACGTTTGGTCAAAGGAAGCAGAAACTTTCCAGACTGAATTCTGACCCAGCACAAACAGACAAGATGTTTAATCATGAGTCTGACAAGGTAGAGCAGCTCCATTCGGAAAAGTTCATGCAATTCCTAATTGCTTGAGCAGGTTTCACTCGCCTAGGTGGAACACCAAACTTCTCTTCAGTCCTATTTCTAGACTACACTTTTAGCACATCATAGTGAAGCAAATCTGGTTAAAGCAGGCTTGGGTGGAAAGGCAAAGACTCAGGGACAAGCAACAATCAAGGAATCCAAAAAGCTGAAAACAATACAGCCAAAAAAAAAAAACAGCACTCCAACAGTGTTGAAGGGGGGTAAGAAAGGTGGGATGACTCGTGTCACCTTCAGTTATTATGTGGTGTCTGTGTGAAAGCTGACTGACCTCCTGTCACCATTTCAGTGGACTGCAACAAAGTGCAGCTTCTCAGTGATTTCCCTGGTGCGAGTACACTGGCAGGCAGGGACAAAGCAAAAATTAAGTTTTGCCATTCCTGTGGCCAGTTTGTTGGCCGAGGGACAAAATAATGTTCCAGCTACACTAGCAAATTGGAAGCAAATTTGTTTATGGGGACAGGTCTCACAGCCTGGATATTTTAGACTTGTTTGTCCTCTCCAAATCAGAGGCAACTGTTCTTCAACTACACAGAAAGTGAAAAACAAAACAGTGACCCAATTAAAAAGGAGAAAGATGTTTAAAATAAGCTCTTTGTTTAACCTTCTGCAGCCTGTAGAAGTGGACGGGAACATCTTCCAACAAGCAGGACTCCTTAATGAACTTCAGCACAGCTTCCTTTGCACTCAGGCCTTGCTGTTCTCGGTGCATCTCTGGGGCATGTTTCAAGATGTAGTCGCTCCCCCTCTTTGCAATTATCTAAACCACAAGGAAAACAAACAAGTCAGCAACTCTTCAGTAAAGCCCACGAGAGGCAGCTGTGATCAACAGCAAAGCCAAGACTGGAGGTGGAGGAGGTTCATGCATTCTCCCAAGAAGTTAGCCCAGGTTCACCTCTACCTCCCTGGAGGATAAGCATTTAAAGCAGCTCCGATGATACCGATGTCTCCCAACAGATCATAGATGGCAAAATCATAACAGAGACTGCAGAGCTCGTGTCAGCTCTTTTCATTCTCAAGCGCTGGAATTAGTTTCCCTAACTCCTGGCATCCCTAAATGCTTATGGGCAGATAACAAATACAGGTCTGCATGCCAACACAATCAGCAGCAACATCTCCCAGCACTGCAGAAACGCTAGAGGGTTGTGGGTTTTTTGGTGTGGTTTCTTTTTTTTTTTTGTGCGTTTTGCTTTGTTTTTACTTTAAAGACCAGAAACTACACATTAGGCTTACTTAGCATTTCCATAGTCAAAGGGGAGGGTAACACTATCTCAAGGTATTTTGTGTCTGTCTGGAGTGGTTGGCAGGCATGCAGCTTTGCTAAGTAGTAGAGAAACCTGCACTGGACCTTTTTTTACTCTTGCCCTGTGAGTACCCAGTTCCTGTGCTTGGCCACATGCTCTCTCCAGACAACACTACAGGGCAGCCCAGCCAGACTGGCCCCTTCCAGGCTGTGAGCAGCAGTGACACATAAGAGGAGTGTTGGCTGAATTCACTTCACAAAATCCCTTGCCATGCAGGGTGCTTAAAACTAGACCCCACCAGGTACCTGTGAACATCCTGTCAGAAGCAGCCTGTCCTGACCCAAAACAACCGGACCCTGTCACCCAAATCCCACTTCCATTTTAAATTCAGCCCCTTGTTTACTCTCTTTGGTAACACCTCTGCTCTCCTTGCATGCTGTGCTAGATAAACTGCCCTCCCGCGAGGAAGGCTGGGCTCAGGGAAGAACAACATCGATGCCATCAGCTGTGCAGCATCAGCAGAAAGAAGTACAGCTCCACAGTTCAAAGCTGGGTTGCTCACCCCGGGGCAACACCGCCTCTCCTCACTAGCAGGAGGCTTGGGGCAGCTCTTGGCCAAATGATCTCCAAAGGTGATCTCCAGCACGTGTTGCAGGAGGACATGTTGGAGGAGGAGTATCTCCCCCACAGCAGCCCAGGGGCAGGGAGAGAGGCGTCCCTGTGACTGCCAGGTTTTGCTCTTTGTAGTGATAAATCACCCACATACTTGCTTGGGGCTGTGGCTCAACGCAGGTGAGCCAGGCTTTGCCTTGGCCTTTGCAATGTTTGCCAGATGAGCAATGGTCTACGATAAGACTTAACTGCCCCATAAACTGCACACACCAGACTCAGTTTTTCCAGCCCTTTGTTAGCTACCTTGTGCCAGGTGCCCTGTAGCAAGGAAGGGCACCCGATGAAGACCTGCTGGTGGAGAAAGGAGCGCTTCTGCACTGCACGGCAGGCAGGCTGCGACTTGTGCCTGCAGACTCCACCAGCCTTGACTCCCTGATGCAACCCCCGCCACTGTTCTGAACATTATCCCCAAAGCAGGTGACAGAGCACAGTCAGGCTGCAGAGGAGGCCATGTCCACATTCTGGGAAACATCCTTCCCCAGCAGGTATCAGCAACGGAGGCATCCATAACATAGCTAGCTTCTTTTCCTATTGTTCTGGATGCTGATGTGCTTAAAACAGTTTTCTTGACCATTTCACAAGAGAACTCCCTGCAGGTAACCAGCTCTGACAGACTTTTTTTGTTTCAAACTCTTTTTTCTCAGCTAATTTGCCTTCATTCAACAATAAAAGTAACTCTTGGCGTTCCAAGCCATTTGTAGGTCTTGGAGGGCACGAGTTAATGTACACGTGCTTACAAATAAGCATGTAAAACCATTTTTAGGCCATTCCCTTTTCCCTTACTACGGTTCAGCCTCAAATGAATGACAAAGCAGGAACCAGAGGCGCTGCACAGCAGTTACTACTCCTTGGGGTCCAGGTCTCTTCATCCCAGAGGTAAGCACTGCAGAGCTAGGACCAAAGAGCAATATACTTGGCATTGCAGCCCAGAGGTTTTCCGTAGAGCTTAGCTTGTGCAGATCTTTCAGATCTTTGCAGATCAGCAGGAGCTGGGGAAGTTGTGTGGCTGTAGCTAGGTACCAGCTTGACATAGTTCCTGCTGCATGCAGGTTGTTGACAGAAAGATCCTCTCAAACTTACCCATTGCGGGAAATATGCCTGAGGTTCAAAATATTTCCCAGTGTGGACCTCCTCCCTGTAGTTGCCCAAGTCTGCCTGCAAGCTGTAGGCAGCCAGCAGGAAGTAGATTTCTTCTTTGTGGTTGCACCGAGACATGAGCACTTGCTCTTTGAGATGACAGTAGTAAAGCTGCCTCGCCACCTTGTCACTGCAAGACACAAGGGCAGATTTGTGTGAGGAAGAGAAGAAAGGTCAGGATAATACAGGGACTCTCAAACGCATCTGCCTTGTGAGAGGAAGGCTTGAACTGGCATCCCTGATGTTTGCCCATGCCACCATGACACAGTTAAGTGCCTGTGGGAAACCCCAAGCCAAGATCAAGGTCTTTGCACACAAAGCATTGTACAAACATGGGAAACAATAGTCTCTATCTTGGGGAGCACGAGATCTAAGAAGTTAGGGCAGAGGGTAGATGAAAGAAAACTCGTATCACACCTGTTTTGGAGACTGACTACATCAAGCGCTTCTGTGTTTCTGGAAAGCCTGTAGCAGGCAGGAGAACCAACTCCCTTGAATCTCAGTCCTGCTTCTTGCACACCTGTCCTCCTTTCCCCTCTAAACCTGGCACTGCTTTTTCATTTCACCTTGCCTTAGGCTTAAGGTGCTTTTCAACTGCTAATTCCCTGCAAGGTAGATCAAAAGATGCAGGAGCCCTGGGCTTGTTTTAGTGTTCTTCCTCAATCTGCTAACCAGGCACAGTCTGATAAGGCATTTGTATCCCTGATAACGTGTACACACACCCTCACAAGAGCTCAAGGGAAGCAGGCTGCTGACATGTACGTACAGACAAAGTGCTGGACACTACAGTCTGCTCATAAAAACATGCACATAGATTGAAAGGGCCCTGTAACTACCTCTACACAGCTCCACAAACCTGTCCAATTAAATTACTAGTGCAAGAGAAATTTGCATGTGATGCTAGAGGATATGTGCATAGGGGGTGGAAGAATGCTGTGCAATCTTTGTACCTAAAAGCAAAATTAAACAAAAAACACTGAACAGCCAAACAGACTCCAGAAGACTTGCCTGCATTCAAAAAGAGAGACTATGGAGGACAGGGTGGGGGGAGGAAAAAGAGGGGAGAAAAAAAAAAAGCTTTGTTCAAGAGGAGAACAAATGCCAAAAAATTAAGTAAAGATTTTAATCTACTTGAATTATCCCAGCTCTTGGCTTGCCCTGGGGTCACAGCCACGCCAGCAGTGCTGATGCAAATTAATCCTGTCAGTTGTTCATTTTCAACTACCTCATCCTTTGTTCTGTACCATGCAGCCAGTGCGGCTGTGTTTTGAGTGCAGCCCATATTCCACGTGAATGGATCACACTCAAATGCAAAACTCTTTAACTTATGAAGTCATTTCTTTTGTCCGTTTACAAAAGTCCATTTCCAGGAGCAGACTGCACAGAGCACTGTGCAGATACAAAAACCTGAACCAGAACTGCTAGCGTGTGCTGTGGAGTATAAATACCTATTTTTTGTATATTCATCTGATGCTTTTCACACGACCAAAAGATGCAAACAAAGGCTGTTAACCATATTTCAGTACTGCTGTAATTCAACCTGCTCTCTAAACACAGATGGGAAAGCAGTTACCATCCTCCCAGGGACCTAGGGATAAGGAATGTGATACAGGGGGAAAACATGCACTGTTCATTGTGGATATCTGGGTAGTTCTTACAAAAACAAAAACAAAAATGCAAGCTGAATTTTTAAGGAAGTGTTAATAAGGAAACAGAAAACAGTACCACAGAAGTGAACTTACCTTATTACCCTTCCATTTTCTACGTAGTATTGTACTCTAAAGAATGCAACAAAAGGAGGGCTGAATTTCTCTGTTCCCTAGAGCAGAGACAGAAGATTTGTTAAATAACATTCAGCATTCAAAATTCCTCTTGTAACATCCTCTTCTCTCAAGCTTGCCCCCCATACTGCTTTTAGTTTGCTAATCTAAGCTCTTCATCAGTTTTGGGGAGGATCTGACTACCACCAAGGCTCACATCAATGAGGCATCATAAAACATTAAAACAGGCTGAAAGGCAAAACATCCCAGGGAGAGCTGAAGAGTCTGGATGGGTGGATAAGCCGGGTATAAAAGAGCCCCAGAACAGCCTGGGGATGCCCAGCCTGGCTCAAGTTACCCAGCTCAGCACCTGGCAGCACCCTGGACACACTAGTGCTGAACACTGCAAGTTTAACATGGCCTTCCCCAGCGTGCCAGGCAGGCAGGCACCAGGCAAATACCGCTGCAGCCCCCCCAGCACACACCCAGAGTTAACCACACACCCCAGCTCTGTACCACATCCCACAGCGGGGACGCAGGGTGCTGCAGGAGCTGCTCAGCCAGCCCGTGCTGCCTGCGGCCGGGGCGCCCCAGCCTGATATTAACTCCTCGCCTTTTGTCTGGCAGGGCTCCTGTCTAGCTGTTCACAGCTTCCTGCAGTCGGGGAGCAAAGGGAGACACTGCTGTCTGCTTTGAGTTGTCTGTTAGAGGAGAGCCAGCAGGAGTTCTCTTGTTTTAAGGACAGCCTTCCCTTCACTTACAGGCTTGCTTGAACAGGAGGAGAGGGGGAAGAAGGAACATCTGATCTTATTAGCTTGTTCTCTCATCTTTTCTTCTTTGGCTCTCACTTCTAATGTTTGTGCAGGTAACTGCTCACAGAGACAGTCCCAAGGCTTTGCTGCCCAGACCCATCTCCCTGTGCATGGCCTGTCTGACACCGACAGCAACTTCTTGATCATCAAGCAAATACTTACTTTTTTTCCCCCTGGATCTTGTCCACAGTCACCCCATTTTAATCAACAGAATGAGACTTTCCACCTGAAGCCTCTTCACAGGAATTTAATTCCTGTCTCCTAACCCAGTCCAGTAGTTTAACCCATTTTAGGCTTCAGTACTGTCAATGGCAACTCATTTAGCCTTTGGGGATTCACCTCACATGAGAGACTCAACATTTATCCAGACTTCAGAAGTGTTTCAAGAATCCTGCCTGGTAGCAGCCACAAAGTGCACCCCACACTGACGTGGCCAGAAGCACCTGCCTTGGAAAACCCTCACTGGCAGGAGGGACAGCTCTCCATATGGCTTGGGGTTGCCTCTGAAGTAACCCTCACTTATTTGGGAGAAGCACTATCAGGTAAGGAATCCTCAAATCTTACTAGGAACCTGCAAAGCTCTGTACATAGCAGAAACAGCAAGCATGCCTACTCTGCAAAAGAAAACCCTTGAGGAAAGTGGAAAAAATTATAATGCACCAATTAAGATATCAGGGCGTAGTTGTACATTACACTTTATTCTAGACTGCAGCTCCTTCAGTAATAACAAACAGGCATTATCATGTCTCTAAATGACCAGTGCTAGACAATTACACAGGCTCGTCTTTATTTCACGCAGTTTTTCTCCTCTCCCTTGACAAGGCTGGCTAGCCTCAAAGAACTAAGGCTCTTCTCAAACCAATCTTTCCTCTTTTTCCACTGTCCTCTCATGTATATTCTGAAAGTCATGGCTCCAGCCCTCTCCCTCACTTCAGGTGGGGTGGGGTTCAAGCCACACAAGGTCATTCTAGGTTTTTCTGCTTACGTATAACAGTAAAGTCTTTAGACTTCTCCCAGGATAGCCTATCTTCAAAAGGAAGCAAGCAATTAAGCAGCAACCATGTCGTTACTATTGCTGAGGTAAAGTTGTATGGAGGTTTGGTTTATCTGTTTTAATTAATTGCATGAACCGTGCACGAGTCACAGCATCTTGCTGCTGAACAGCACTCTGCAGACCACCTTCCAGAAATGCTTTACGGACCTTAGTCTAAGAGTTTTCATTTCAGCGAGTAGCCCAACACCAAAGCCACAGTCTCTGAAATTAAACACCTCTCTTACTTTGTTGGTCTCTTTCTTCCATTCCTTTGAGAAGTATTTGCTAAGCTTCTGCTCCAGGTCAATGAAAACATACTCATTATCTGGAAGACAACAGAGAAAAGCATTTTATGTTAAAGTAGAAGTTCTTATTCACAAAGTACTTAGATGACTACCGTAACTGTTTCCAACCACTGCCCAGTAACACAAAATCTGACCAGGGAGCAAACAGAGCAGGGAAAAGAGAGGGCACTGGAATTCTCAGTACATGTGCTGCTCCAGACAGTATGGAAAAAAGCTTGGCTATGCCTTAAATCTAGGGATACTGAGCTGAAATTTCACAAACACCGTAAGCAAAAATGCAGAATCCTTGCTTTATGGAGCAGAGACATTTACGGAAAATAAATATAATCTTACCAAGCTAATCATGCTGTCGATTTAGTGGACTTTTTATTATTATTAGTGGCTAGGGCCCAGTATTTGACAGGTTTTATCCTTTGCATATGAATGGGATCCTCTGAAAGGAGGAGGAGGAGGAGGAAAAGGAGGATCAAACCCAAATGCTCACTTTAGAAATTGTGGTGTCTCCTGCTCACACCCAATTTCTTTCACAGAGCAAAAAGATGAATGAAAGGAAGGAAAACCTGGCCTATGTCACAGGACCAAAACTTGCTCTCCACCTGGGTGAGAGGGAGGGAGAGCAAGGGACAGTCTGAGCAGTCCATCATCTTGAAAGAGCTTTGTGCTGCTTTCAAAGCCAACACTTTGTAAGGCTGCTTACCAATTATCAAATCCCAATTTTTCCTTAGCCTTCTTGAGTCTCTTATAGAAAGACCCAATGAGCATTTCAGCAGCAATGCCAGCTGAGCACATTCACCTGACTAGTCAATCCACTCTTCAGTCTTGCTCAGAAAAGTGTTTTGACAAGTGACAGAAGGGCCAAGCTGAAGAGCTTGTCCCTTACAAACATGAAAGGACCGGGAAGAAGGGGGAGGAAGAAAAATAATAAATTTAACAAAACACCCTTCTGCTCCTGAAGGCCAGCCCTTTAGTTTTGATGTCAAACAAAAAGGAGGAGCATGAGAGGTAAATTTTCCCCAATGGAAGTTTAGAGCCAAACGAAGGCCCGCACTTGCACCTATATTGCCAGAGGACTGGCACCAGATAGCATTGCAGCAGGTATTGGTATGCATATTGATATATATATCTGACCTATATATATCTGAGCATCACCACAGCCATCTTCCCAAAACATTCAAGATCCTTACAGATCAGCACCAAATACTTCTCTTTTGCAATATTAAAAAAAATAAAATAAAAATCACACAAACACAACCAAAACAACCCCTATCACCATCTCCTTCAGCTCCCTCCTCAGGAGGATAAACCCAGACCTGGTGCTGGCCAGAACAGGACAACAGCCACGTTAATAGGAAGGTTTGTGTTAAGTACAAGCCACATGGGACACAAAGAGGACAATCCCCAAACAGTCATGTTTCCCTCTGCATTGTACCTATTACTGCTGTAATTTTAACATAATTACGTTTCTATTTACTTCTTTGCTTGATGTGTCACATATGCATGCAAAACAGTATTTAACAGCACTTTTAAAACTGCTGGACAGAAATGCCAAAGGTTTTAGTGGTGAGAGTTAGTGCTACAGCACAGTAGGCAACACAGAAGTTTCTTTGCTATGTTGAGATGGAGAGGAAGATGATTGAGCATTACTGCACCCTGGACCTGCCTCTTCACTTATGCATGCATGATATGGGGCCTCTGGGGGTTTATGTTGGCCCCAGCCACATGTGTTTTTAAGTCTATTAAGATCAGGTAATGCTGCCCTGAAAAGGTTCCTAATAGTCCTAGCCAGTCCCCCCACAGCAGAGACTTTTGTTACCTGTTCCCCACAGCCCCTGCTCATCTATCTTATTAATTAGGTTAGAGACACAACCCCAAGAGGGCCCGGCCACCAAGCAGCAGTTCAGGTCACCAGCAGGGTTACCAAGAGGAGCACACAAGCCCCAGGAAGAGGCCGGGCTGAAGGAGGACACCCCACGCACGCACCAGCCCTCGCTGGTGGTCCCACTCCTCCCCAGCCCAGCCCAGCATCCTCCCGCTCCTCCCTCCCTGCAAGAATGCGGCGCTGCATTCCTGCTTTAATGAAGTTAATATTGCTGGAATGCCAACCTGCGGGGTAAGCCTCCCTCTACAAAAACAAAGAGGTATTTCCCTCCCCAGCACTATGCGGGTTGTGGGGTTTTTCCTTATACTGGATTGCTGGTGAAACCCAGGTCTTTGATGCTGAAACTGGGTCTGGCTTGAAAAGGAGCTTCTCTAACAGAGAGGGGACCGTATAGATGTGCACAGATGGTCGCCCTTCTAGGGAAGAGCTTCTCTGACCCATGGATCCAACCAGGGCCAGATGCTCAGCAGGTACAAAGCATCCTTGCTTCACTGGCCTCAGCTGAATGGCAGCCACCGCAGAGGCTGGCTCGGAAGCACACATACAAGCATGCAGACCTCCACCTGCAGCTACCAGCACCGCGTCCACTGCTCTCGTCTCTGGCAGTGAGCTTAAAAACATCACACCAGCTTCTCTTGAGAGGTTTGCAGCAATGCAACTTACACGTTTCTCTCTAGTTCAGCTTTCAAGCACCCCCAAATGAAATAGAAAATTTGTGCCGTAACAATCCCTCTCCAAATTAAGCAGGCACCAGAAATGCAAACATTCAAGTGCTCCTACTCTGCAGAATTAGCTCAGCACCTTTACATACCTCAGCAAATACAGGGCATTAATTGTTGCAAATAATAAATAAAAAATTAGTGGGCCAGATCTCCAATCAGTATAAAGTGACGGTTTCACTAAGTTATGCAGAGGTACAACAGGCATCATTCACACTGCAGGGGTAACAGGAATAGAAGATTTTGACTATAATGCATGGTCAAATCAATTCTGAGCCACCAATACTTTAAAAGCCTTTATTTCATATTGACCAGAGCCTCTTTTTATTGGTTTTGTTTATAAATGATGGCTAAATTCCCAGGTAAGGGTGAATGCCAGTTATCTGTTGTCCTCATGGGCCCATTTTGGGTTAGGAGCAAGGAGAAATTCCAGACGGCAGTCGTTCAGCCATCCTACCAAGAGGATGGGCTCAGGCCCACTTGGCAGCCAGGAACATCCCACTAATATTTAAGTAATGCACCTATTTACTGTCCGTGTCCCTAACACCAAGAAGGGGCAGTTCTTCACTTCAGGACAACCTATTAAACCTGAAGTTTTCCTCAGGCAAGCTGTGGTCAAAGTCTATAGATGCTGGAATTTTGCTTGAGTAAAATCTGAATAAGGGTCTCATGATATGACCTTCAGTGACTTTATTGACTTCTTCATTTTAATAAAAATCAGCTGTGACCTGGATCACCATTCATTTGCTCATGATTCTGCTTTGTTCATAACAACAGCCTTTTAGGTTACAAAGAGAGTACTGAAGAAATAGTTAAAGTGTGCCAGAGCAGATCATTGAATTAGTGATGTAAGGGAAAACAAATATGAAATCTAGCTGGATTAAAGGAAATTGGGCACACTTAACTGATGCGTTTGGAGAATGCTTTTTTTCTTTTACATCATATGTTATGATGAAGTTGAGAAACAATTTTAGTTCCAGGAAGTACCATGAATATACTAAAATGTATAGTTTCTCAAGCATATTTTTCTGTGCCAGCCTTTATGTATGTAATGTACAGACTGAAGTCAGGAGGGTTGCTCTCAAAATAACGCACGTGCTTCTCTAGATTGTTTGAAGTTGAACTACAAATGGAGAATAGCCTCTCTGAAACACCCTTCCCTGTCCCACCCTGAAACTTGTATCCTTCTTACCTGGTGGCAATTAAGCGTTAGCATGTTCCTGGTATAGTGCTTGCTATAGAACTCCCTCAAATATTAAGGTCATAAGCAAACTGAATGTTAATTAAATGACTGGAAATCAGGAAAGCACTGTTTTGGAGTAAGGTTCTCTGATGTAAGAAGCGCTGCACATCATCCCTTATATAGCTCTAGTTTGAACTAAACAAGGTATTTTTTAAAAAGCATGTAACCTAGTGGCAGGGAATTCACAGAACACTTAGGAAATTGTTCTAAAGGCTACACAACACTGCTGTTAAGTGTTTTATTTCTAGTTTTAATTGTTTAGCTTTGCTTAACAGCTTTTTGATCTCAATATATCTTTGTCTACTAAGATGAAGAGTACTTTGTTACCAAACACCCCATCCCATATGTAAAAACTAAAACTCTGAATTAAGTCCATATATAGTTCATTGAAGGCACAAATAAAATCACATCACATGTGAAACCCAGCAAAATTTTAACACCCTACTCTAGAGATATCCAAACCTGCCTGGATGTGATCCTGTGCAATGTGCTCTAGGTGAGCCTGCTTGGCATGGGGTTGGACTAGATGATCTATCTCCAGACATCCCTTCCAACCTCATCCCTCCTGTGATTCTCTGATTAAGTCCCTTGGTTGAATCAAGTGCATTTTAATATTATAAATATTTAGACAGTCTAGGAGATTATGATTCAAATAAAATCTGAATTAGTGCAAAGCCAAGCTTCCACACAGAAGGCATTTCCTGCCTTAAAGGAAGGTGGGAGGGGAACAGTCCTTGGCTATAGCACTTTATTTTCCCCAGACACTGCAAGAAGCCTCATGGCAACTCCATTGCCCCCTTGAAAGGCAGAGGGATGATGCGGAGAGTTGGTAGTGGGAGAGATGGTTAGAAAAGAGCTGAAGTAAACAAACAAAAAAAACAAACACACACACGTGAAGCAAAAAGACAGCACACGCCGCAGATCTCATGTAACCTGTTAACTTCCCTTATGTGGAACGTGGATTTTTAATTTTTTTTAATTGAATAGAAGAGGTCCACATACTCCTTTTGAGAGGAAAGCTCTGCAAGCTTTCAAGTTCTGGTGGCCTGGGAACGTCAGTGCTCATGTGGCATCTGCTCTGACCACCTTTGCAGAACTTCTCAATGCTCCTGCCATCTTTCAAGCCAACAGGAAGAAACCTTGTCCACTCTTCAATGCCTGGTTGATTAGTAGAAGAACTTGCTTTGGGATGACCTTGCATTTTTGTCTTTAGCTGGCAAGTACACGGACACCAAGAGAAGAAGGGAAGAGTCACAACAGAGGCTGGGAACAAAGCAGGGGAGGTAGCTGCAGTCGCTTACCTGAGACGGACAGAAGAATAAAAGGAGACAATATCAAGAAGCCCAAGACAGTGTGGCTGTTAAGATCTGCTGAGATCTTAAGACTGAGACAGTAGCCCAGTCATTCCTAAAAAAGGGCAAGCTCTGCAGGAATTTTATGTTGGCATCTTACAGCTAGCAACAAAGCATGTCCAGGCAGCACCCTCTGGACTTTTGGCAGCATCACAGGTGAGTCTTGTTCACAAAAAAAGCTGCAGAACCATTCCCAGCACTCCTTACCCAGGAGCAAACAAACCACTTGCAATCCTCAGCCAGGAGAGCACCGTGCTGCATGAGGTATTGATGGTGAAGGAGAAATAACTGCCACCAGGTGTAGGCAAGAGAATGTCTTCCCAGGAAAAGACTATGGAAGCACTTCCAGGGAGCATTATATAAATTTCTGAAGACCTGAACATTTCCCCCTAGGTGGCATGTTTCGGCACACATTTACAAGCAACTCTTGTTTGAGATACTGAAATCCTTGTTGTCAGCCTTATCTCCTCCTGTTAGAGGATGGAACAATTCACTAAGGAAACACAACTATCCCAGCAGATATCTGAGGGAAGAGCAGCAGAAGCAGGGACAGTGGGGACAGACCGGGGTGCAAAAATCATCTGAGAGCCCTTTGGAGAACTTCTGTTGTCACCTGCCTGCTTAAGAGGCATCTTGGTATACCAGATACCCACATAATATAACACAACAGCAGATTTTGTCAATGAACTTCATTACTGGAGGGTACACAGATGCAGAGGAGTTAACTGTAGTCAGAGAAGTCCTGATAGAGTTAACCACCAAGCTCCTTGCTAAGCACACAAGTATCAGGGACTGGGAGGCATGCCTCCCCGGCTCTGGCAAAGCCAGAGCTGTAATAACTGAAGGATGATCCTTGAGGCAAGGGAGCTGAAGCAAAGGGATTTGGTTTTGTGAGGAACCAGCCTGACAAACTGGTACGAGCACAGTGATGGACACAGCGGCAGGGTGCAGGAGCTGAGTACTTGCTCCTTCCCAGTCACAGACTTCTATCTGTGCTTGGGTCAGGTCAAGCAAGGTCTGCTCCCAAGAGAAGCCCAAGACTTAGGATTGCAGGGATTCAGGTTATGACAACAAAGACGACCCTGGCTGTTCTTTGTCTGCTGACAAACAGTTTTGTTTCGGAAGATTGAATTGAGGTGCTGCAAACACCTTCTGATAACGGGAGGGAAAATTCCTGCAGGGCAACGAGATAAGATTGACCCTGCAGGAGGAGCTGCAATACAAGACCCAGCTGCTGAAGCCTATGGAGCTGGCATGAACCCTGAATGGACTGCAGGGTCTTTCACTGAGCAAAATACAAAAAAAAAAAAAAAAAAAACGCAGCAGAACACAAGGTATGGCCTGCTTGATGATCTGTGACAAAACTAGAAGAGCAGCATGCCCCAACCATCATGCTGGTGTGGCTTCCCAGCAACACATGCTCACAAACATAATTTTCAGGGGAATAAAACTCTTCTTACAAATGCAAGTGTTTTTCTCCCCTTTACAGTTCACTGAATCGCTTTTCATCTTGAGAATAAAAAAAAAAAAGCACAAGAACAAATGTAGTGAAAAACCCTGTCCCTCACTATTACTGTTGCCTTAAATCCTGAAGCTTGCCCTCAGCATTTGTACCATTTGTACCGAAGTGAAGGAGATCCCCCCCCCCCTTTCTTATCCTTTAAGCAAAGAATGCTGGAAGACATGCTCCAAAACCTAGAGTTCAGATCTCACAGTACTTACACTTTGCAGTTTTCACAGTGCTTAGTGCTGCTATTTTCGTTTTTGCCACACTTGGGGATTAAACTTCTGTTTATGATTAAGGAGGCCAACCTTTCCCCTCACACACATACTACAAGCCCAACTGAGCGTTAGTGTATCCGTACAACATCTACAGGTCAAATGGGCTCCTAATCCAGATAATCCACAACGTGTGATTGGTTACAGTTCTGGAGAAATCCCTTAATTTTCATTCTCTTGCCACTGCTGACAGTCAGGGTTTTGTTGACAAATTAGCAGCAAGGTAACAGATGCAGGTGGATTAGAATACCTCGTTCCGCATGTAGCAGTGCCAGGCTGCCAAAAATAAATAGACACTAGGAAGGTGTGAAACGTGCCCTTATTAAAACAGGGCAGTAGTTTCTTTAAAATGGTATTTTAGAGCTGCACTGGCAGCAGCAGAGATTGTTACCTGTTGGTCAGATCAGAGTAGGGAGGGGGTGGAAATCAAGTTGGGGGAAGGAAAACAAGAGTTCCTTTGCTACAGCTCTAAGTAGTAAGCCTGGAGCTACTTAAATAAGTGATTAAAAAAAAAACAAAAAACCTCCCCCACAAGACGCCAGTTAGCAGGTTACTAGAATTCTGTGGACTGAAGGCAGGTAACAGAGGTGCGCAGTAGCAAACAGACCACAGCTGTGTTGCACTGTCTCTCAACAGTGGGCTGCAGCTTTCCAGGTGGCTGTGGCCATTCAGACTGAGAAACTCGCTGCTGATACTTCTCTTCCTCCTGTTGTCTGGCCCCAAAAAGCCAAACAGTTTTTTAAACAAAGGAACAAACAAACAAACAAAATATCCCATTCCTCATCCACAATCTTGACACCTGTTGGGGTGGAGGAGATGCCAAGGTGAGCTCACAGAGCCTTCAATCAAGCAGCTTTACAAACTAAACTACATCAAACAGGAGTGAGGAATAGACAGGAAAACAAAAAAGGAGAGGTCAGTTCAGGCTATAGGGCTCCTGTAACCCTTTCCCTTGTCATTTTGCTAAGAGCATTGTAAAGAATTAGCTCCTCTAAAAAAGAAGGGTGTTTTGGAGAAGCAAGAGAGATTGTCTATGTTTAAAGCTATAGGCAATATTCTCTTGAGTGTCACACAGGGCTGCCTGGAAGGCAGGGGGACTCACAGAAACACAGTTGATTTGTGGAAAAAAAAAGGCTAAAAAAGGCTATTCAGGTCTTCCTTACTGGAAGAGGAATAAATACTGCACTGGTTTAAATTCACAGATAAATTTGTCACCTACTGGTTTAGTTATGTAGATGGAGTCTCTTGGAGACTTTCCAAACCTTATGGAGATAAACTGCTTACTCCTATCTTAGCTTCAGTGCTATGCTCAAAAAATAATTAAAAAAAAAAAAGTTGTTAAAAAAAGAACATAAAGGAAAAGGAGACAAGTAAACTCGAGAAACAATTTTCTCCCATGTACTCATAAGCAGGCAAAAGAAACCTCATTTAGAAGGATTCAAAGAGTTATTCCCATTTCACTAATAACATCCAGAGATGCAGTAGTAAACACTAAAACACTTGAGAAGAAATTTTTGGGGAAGAGAAGTCCATTCCATGAAGACTGTTCACATTTTGGAAATGTGGGAAGTCAGAATAAGGAGGACAACAGACCCATTACTATTTTCTAGGACGTTTGTGGGTGGGGAGGAGCTGATAAACACACCGGTCTGGAAATGTAATACCTCCTATCAGTTTGCTCCTTTGTGGCATCACCTTACACGTCCCCTGGTCAATACAAGACATAGGACCAAGCAGACTGAACTTCAACTCATGGACTAAGACATTTCATATTTCTCACATGGTATTTCAAAAACACAGTCCCTCCCCTCCATGCATTCAGTACCCTCAAACCATTTAAGTTTCCTCCCCCCATTCTTTGCACATTCTTTGCGTGTGACTTCAGAAGATAAGTAACACTTTCAGCCCCAAAGTCCCTTTAAAATTCACCTCCTGACAGTTTTGAATTCAAACAGTGACAAACATGTTGGCTAGCAACTTCGCTACAGGAGAGAAAGAAAACCCCACAAAGAGGTAGCACAGAAGAACAAAGGAGGAGAACAAAAGGGCCCCCTTCTCCCAATTTGTCTGCCCGCATACCAAAGATCAAAAGAGTGCCGAGAAGCCTGCGCGTAATCTACATACTTTGTGACCTTATTACAATCGAATTCCCCGCAGGCACGGCCAGTGTGTGTATATGCACACACTGTAAATACACACAAGCGGGCCCTGTGGAAGTTTGCCAAGTCATTTGCTCTGTGCATTGAGTTTGCTTACTTTTAACAATGCTGAGGCCAAAGAAGTGAGGCTCTTTAATCTTCACTAAATCACAAACTTGCTGAAAGAGCTCCTGTCCAGTGGCTTTGACCTGAAAGAAATAACCAATCCAGCGTTACAGACGGCTCACACACCTGGATGGACGAATTCTCTTTCCTTACATTGGCCAACAAGTTTTTGGGTACCATAGCAAAAGAACCCCCACTGAACAAGGTTTGTTTTCAGTATTATTTCTGTCACAGAATAATTATCGCTGTGTTATTTTGGTTACTTTACATTGAAAAGCAGCTCAGCTCGGTAAGACAAGAATTAAAGTTTCCTATTTATGAGCAGTTTTGTATAAGGAGACCTTGGACCAAGTCTGGAGCACTAGTTTTAGGCAGTGTCTACCAGGTGACTTGCAGGTGCTCTCACAGAAAGCATGTTTCTAATCAGAGAAATGAAAACACTGCTCTCTTGTAGAAATATTTTTTCAGAGGTTAAGAGAAACAAAAAAATAACTTTTATTCAGGAGAACTAAAAACATAAACACCCAAACAAAACCAGGACTGCATTTCTACACTGACCAGAAATACCTTGTGGGGGGTACAGATGAGGTTGCTCTGTACCCCACACACAGAGTGTCCCCCGCTGCCTTCTGGACACACAGCAATTAACATCTTCATTTGCAGAAGCTGTCACCAGTAAGGATGCGTGGCAATACGGCACAGTTACTGAATGCTGCTTCCTATCAGGGCTGCTTGGAGCACAAGCTCCCACAGCAGGGAGGTGATGCAGGCTACCTGCACGCACAGACCTGGCTGTGCACAGGCACTGGACAACTCCCCCATTGTGTGTCCTCCCACCTACAGCCTCATTTCCCCTTGCCCCATCGTACCACTTCAGGAGCACAGCCCAGACTAACAAAATCCCCAAGCCTCAGAGGCGTGGGGGAAGAAGTTTTGATGCAGAGCAGCTGCAGAGAGCAAAACAGCGCAGAGACAGACAACCTGAGTGCAGCCCAGGCTGCAGCGAGGTGAGCCACGGACCTCCGAATTTTGCTGTGGCACTGCTGGACAATGCGGAGCAGCAGGAGCTGCCTTCCTCAGGTAGGAAGGTACCTTCACAGCAGCAAAGAAAACAGGGCAGAACTCCATTTCTGAACCAACCTGCAATGTAATCACCAGCACTGCCAAATTAATTCTTCAAGCGCTTTTAAGCCTGGCAGGCCATGCTCCCCACAAACCAGCTGCACTCTTCTCCCTGCCCCAGGATGTACCATGTCACTAAATATGGACAGTGGGAAACTGGTCATTTAAGTATAGTTTTTTTCCTACTTCTTGACAATGCATCACCAACCACTCACTATTGCTTTACCCAGAGCTTTGAAACTGCACTACACCAGCACACACGTGTGCACCCAGCATGTGCTCTGGAAGGGGAGGTGATAACGCACAACTCTGTAAGACCCAAAACCATAAGGGTACAGTCTCACACCTAGAAGCAGCATTTGCTCAGCTGCCAACAACACGCAGATGTACCTGGCACAAAGATCTGCCTTCGTTCTTAAAAAAGCAAGCTCTTTGCATGCTCTCCTGTCTGGGAAGGGCCAAGAGGTGAGCTACCTGTAGCCAGAACGATTATGTGCGCACAGCAGCCACCACCAGCACAGGACTATGTAGATCTGTATGAGGAGCTGTGTTTTGTAAGTGACATGCCTTCACACCTAAGGGAAGGCAGGGAAGAAAAACCTGCTGTAACATACTCATTCTGTGAGACGAACACTGGAACATTTTGTGACATGCGTCTCAAGAGCAGCATTTTAATCAGGTTTCTTGCACAGCAGGTATGTGAGCTACCACCTCATCCATTCTCCTTTTGGCACTTTCCTTCTGCATCCGGTTTAACTCCCAGTCTTCAGAGCTATGCAATACTGATTACACTTGCAATCTCGGTTCCCTCCTCCTGCATTCCCCTCTACTCAAAATAACCAACATCTCCCTTTGCATTTTTCATATTTGCAATTTGTTGGCCATTCCTCCCTTTGCATGTGGTTTGTGTGCCAAGCTCCATCCCAAACACGCTGTGAATCATTCCTTCCCCTGACAGGCTTGATACTCAGCTTTGCTCCATGTCAGACTCAGGGCTTCTTTACACATGAAATTTAGTCCAAAGTAAAAATGGGTTGAGGTTGTGTGCGCTTCTCCAGAGTCATTCTGCATGCAAATATTCATATATGTTGGTTACCCATCTCTATTTCCTTCACCTATATACTCTAAAACACCAGCTCTGCTGCTCACAAAACAACTGGAAGACTTCAGACCTATGCCTGCCACCCCCAGCACGCTGACCATGCCAGACTTCCTCTCCTCCCAAGTTTCTGCTCACATTCCCATCTCCCCGTGCCAGCTAGGCAAGAGGCAATGTCTGCTGTGGGCACTTCTGAGCTGCCTCAGCAATGGTGGTGCCCCGCTCCTCTCATGATGCAGTCTGACCCCTACTATTCTAGGTCTCTGTCCTTAATTCAAATTTTAATTAATCACTGAAGATGAGTTTGAGAAGTGTTATTGAAACAGTCACAAAAACTAGTTAATATTAATCAGTAGGTTCAAAACTATCAGAGAAGGCAGAACACAGAGAGAAAGAAAATTGAACAAACTGGACATTGCTCCAATTCTTATTATTACTGATACACAGTATTTTGAAAACAGCGTTCCTCCTCACCATCCCCTCAAATTATCCTACACTACCAGCATGGTAGTGTAAAATTAAGATATCTGATGATGGGGGAACAATTTTAAAATGGCTCCTACTCTTCTCCCTTCAATGTCAGTACCTGTGGAGGGCATAAAATGAGTCCATTTTAAAGAACGGGCTTCTATCTACATGCAACCACATAAAACACACATAGGAAAACTCTTATCTGGAAGGATGGAATTTATATGAGAGGGGGAGAAAGGAATTATGTGCATAAACCCTTTTCTTATCAGGGAAAGGATCTATAATTTATTCTGCTGGTAAGATAACGATTCCTACCTACCTCACTGAGCTGAAAGCTTATTTAATATTTGCATTCCATACTGAGGAGGTTAAAAGGCTTTGGAAATCCTAAGTAGTGGCATTATTATTCTAATAAATGCACAGACTGTCATCTGTGGTTGTGCTAATTAAATTTTGGTTCTACTAGTATTACTAGAAAATTGCCTTGATGTTCCTTTAAAAAGACCTTACAGCTGTGAAATCTTAATTTTTGTTGTTGTTGTGAAGGGGCGTTGCGGTAAAACCCGAAGCCAAATGAAAAGCTGGATTTGGTGACTTGCCCAGTTGTAAGAGGTTGTGTTTCACTCTCTATGCAACTAGGACACAACTGTGTTTTGAGGACTCATGTTTTGACCCAGACAGATATTCTCTTTCACACCCAGGCACCTCCACATATGTATTTTCACACCTTTATAGTCGCTGAAGTAAGAAGCAGCAGAAATGAAGGAAAACATCTTTAAAAGGTCTATTGATGGATGTGGTGCCACAGATCCCTCCAGAGTAAGGGGAGCAATACTCAAGGACCCTTAGCTCTCTGCAGGGACTGCAGGAAGGAACAGGGACATGGCACCTTCCCTCCATTCCCACAGAGCCCAATGCAAAAGACCATTTCTTAAGCTTATTAAGTTGCTGCAGCCTGGGGCACTTCACAGTCACATTTTAAATATAGGGTATAGTTATAGCTGCCTGCCCAGGTGAGCATGAACAACAAGCTCTTGCAGGAGGAAGAGACTGGGGACAAGACCTCTCGACTGGCCATGCCCCTGCTGCAGCTGGACAATGGCCCCAAGATCGCAGAGCCTGGGCAACCCCACAGCTATCATGTCCCGTTATGGGCCAGATGTGCGACGTGGCACTTAAAGTGCCTTCCAGGGACACATATTGGGGCCAGAACTGGAGGAATGAGATCAGAAAGGGTTCAGGGCATCTCCAGTGTAGCTACTGCTCATCTCATGCCAAGCCAAGCCAAACGGCAATGGCATCAGCCCTGCTCACATGCTGCTCTTCTGCACGCAGCTCTGCACCACAACAGAGGCGGGGCAGGCTCTGCTATCTCTCATCTTCAGCCTTGCTGATAAAGGCTATAAAAAGGCGAGATTTAGGGTCAGTCTCAACAGACCATTACCCCCGGCCTGAACACCTGCCTGCAATAACAATTAGATCATCGTTTTGTGGCTTGCACAAAAGCCAACAGATTGCTGTCATCTTTGAGGCGGTAGGTGGGCTGGATTTGAACTGATGACCTAGAAGCAAAGAGCCACAGGTTTTGTTGTTAAAGCCTTGGTCTGTCCAGCCCTCGTGGCTGTTCCCGTTAGCGATGCCACTTTTAGGCACAGCAGTAGGAAAATTCCTACGTGGATTTTGAAGATTAGCACGCATGCTTTCAAAAGCCATGTTTTCAGTCAAGTGCTTTAAAGAGCGGCTTGCCTCACCTGTCGTCTTCTCCCCTCCCCGTCACAGGGGAAAACAAACACAAAACACAGGGCAAACCTCAGCAGCCCACACGTGAGCGCCTGCACACGCTGGGCTCCGTCACCTGAGCACGGAGCGTGTCTGCCAATGGGTTTCTGACAGGGGGAGGCTGCGAGCCCCACGGTGGGCATGGGGCTGTGCCAGGCAGCCAGCCGGCCCGGCTCTGCCAGCGCTCCTCCCGCACACGCGCTCACGCGTTTGAAGCGAGGATCAAAGAAGGGAAAGTGGCTTACCTGTGGTTTGTGTGTGTACAAGTACTTAAGGAGAGGGGGAAAAAAAAGAACCTTGGTGGCTGTTGACACTGCTGTAGAGTTTTTGAAAGACACCGATAGGCTAGCAAAGCCAGAAACAGCTGAAAGGCCAGAGCAAATGGTGTGCATTAGGTGTGCTGGCCAAGTCATCAGGGCGTTTCAGGTTCAAATTTAAAAACCCTGGATTACTATTTACAGCAAAAACACTCGGTGAGAGCTAAAAGGAGTAATAGCAGAACGAGCAGAGGGAACCCCCCACCCCAGAAGTTTTAAGTAACTCTCCCAAGTGTTTCACAACCACCCAATTAACAAATGGAGCACCGATTACCCCAAGCTGGCTAACAGCCCTTGGGTCAGCAGACCGGCACCAGCAAGCTTCGGAGGAACAAGACGAGCTAACACAACCAGCCCCAGCCCCCCTCGAGAGCCACTCACCCCCACGGTCAGGCTGAGCTGCTCCCGGTCGGGCAGGAAGACGCAGACGCTGCGGCCCTCGGGCTGCATCCTGCCAGCCAGCAGTGCCCTGCTCATGCTGGGCAGCTCGCGGCGGCTCCTCTCCTCCTCCGACAGCCGTCAGGCTCCCTTCATCCCACGCACCTGCCGGGAAGGTGAAACGTCAGCTCCATGGTGCCCAAGGGCCCTGAGGCCACAGACCCTGTCGGCGCGGCTCGGCCCCATTGCTGGCCGCAGGCGGTTGTGCTGTGTTGGGAGGCCAAGCCCTGGTGGCACCTGCGGCATGTCCCCACCTCCCGGCTCACCCACTTTACAAGGCCACCTTATAATAGCACTGCAGAGCAAAACGGGCAGAGCCAACATTCACATACCCTCAGAGTCACACAGGGGACCATAAAGCAATCAGGTCTCCTCAGAATAACAAACTGAAACGAGATGGAAACGTACAGAAGTGATAAGCGTGATGACACCACAAGCTGCTGCCCGAAAAAGCCTGTGAGAAAGAGGGAGCATCGCCTTCGTCAGCTGCGAGAACGCCTCCTCGCTGTCACCGAAAGAGGAGGTTTCGGCAACCTGTCAGCACAGAGGACTTCATCCGAACCATCCTCCCCTCTCCCCAGCCCTGCTCCCTGGGACACTGCTGCCCTCGTACCTGAGCTCATCAGCTCCCAGGGCTGAACTGCTGCTTCACACATTTTGCCTCCTCCCCATGGCCAAGCCCAAGCGGCACAGCTTGGTGTTCTTCAGTTTCAGACAAAAAGGCAGCAGCCTGGGAGCTGCACAAGCTCCTTAGAGCTGAAGCTAAGATCATCACAGAAATATGAGAGGGCAATTCAGCTCACACCCAGGAGCACAGCAGCCAGCATCTCCTCCCTGTTACATGAGGTTAGGGGGAGTTCCCCCCAGCTACCTCTTGCCACCTTTCTGCTGGTGGTCACAGCACAGCCAGCTTAAACATTACAGGTTTTCTGTTTCGCTTTTAAATCAAATACAAGATCTGTAAGAGACCTTCTGTAAGTGTAAAAGCTGCTCCATGCACCTGCTTCCTTCAGCTGTCGTATACAATGCTTCCTAACAATGCTTTTTTTAATACAAGTTCTTTCTGTCTTGGAGGATAAGTCCTATATAAGAATACAAGAATTACATTTACTGTATTAACAAAATAAGGACAAGGAGTTATTAAAGGATCATATTTTTACTTATTTTCAAAATCAAAATTAAACAGGAATTAAGTTTTTTTAAAAAGGAGATTGCTCTAAGCTATAATCACACAGGAAAGACACATTTGACTTTGTGGATGGGGACAGGTAAAAGCTTCCAGTCAATGAAATACTAGGAGAAAAATCTCTCATTCATCTTCTCTTACTGATATGATTGTATCGATGAGCTCTCCTGCGTTTCAGGCTACACGCTATTAACAGCTGTATATAAATAACAGACGTCTGCAGAATGACTTGAGCGCGACGGGTCACTGTTATTATTGTCAGCTGATGTCATCTGCTCCATAAACTTTATGGATAGCATAAAGATGTCAGAGTATGAGCTCAGGCTTTCCAGCAAAAGGAGGTTTGTTGTAATTGTCAAGCCACTGCACTGTGGCGCACGTTCTCACTCGCAAGGAGAGAACGCACCCAACAAAGACATTCATGCAGCCTGTAACAAAAGTCAGAAAAGTTAAAAGTAACTGTAAGAACACACACAGATATTTTGCTGTGGATAACTCAAGAAACTGAATCCCTTTTCCTCACAGCCTCTAATTAAAAAAGGCTTCAGGAAAGTCTTTTCCTATAGCCTTGCACTTGCTTTGTCCCCTTGATTTATTACAATAACAACTGTAGCTCATGGGAGAAGGAATGTAAGAAAGGATGGGGAAAAGGTGTTTTTCTTTTAATGTTTTAAAACAAATGAGCTCATCAACCCCACAACAGCAGGTAAAACATTAAAGAAGCGATGTCCTTAATCTGAAGGGGGAGGTCAAACACAAGCCTAGATCAGCTTTCTCTTCTTCAGAGGTATGCCAGAATGTGATAAAACATAATGAATCATTAACTCGCTAGCTTTGCATGTTTACACTTAAAAAAAAAAAAAAAAAGTTGTGAGCCAAGAATAACTGCCCAAGGAAAACAAGTGGCCAGAAGGAATGCTCTTACTTAAACATCCACAATTTCAGACTGCCCATATGCCATTCTTTTGTTTACCGCAGATTCCAACCTCTTAACCTCAATTAAACCCTAAAAGCTCCGGCAAATGCACCGCAGATGAATTAATAAAAGCTGAAGTCAATCATTGGCCTCTGCGACACTCTATGGTTTGTTTGTTTGTTTGTATGATTTTTAAATAAAACCTCACTTCAGGTTTTTGCTCCTGGAGAACTGCATTTTGAGATGTAATTGCTTGGTCAAAGGCCCCGCAGCCTATCAATAGAACAGTGAAAGACTCTATTTATTTGTATTCTCCTGGTATCAGTCAGGAGTCTTATTAGTGCCTGGAGTGACAGCCCAGTTTATTTAGCACTGTTTATTTTGATTCGATTTTACCTAAACACACATGTACCAGGGCTTCGGACAATAAGCCTGTCATTACTTTCAAGACTCTTCTGATTAAACAGCTCAAATGTGGCTGTAAAAACTAATTAGGAAGAACCCTCATCTTCCCCTCCGCTCTCCGCAGCCCCACAAGCTGCCTCCCAGCACCAGAGCAGAACCCTAGCATTAGTTTGGTAGAAGCAGGAATTGCTGGAGCCAGCAGCACAGCAGCAGCAAGAAATGCAGTCCTCTGGGGGAGGAAGCCATGCAGGAGCCTTCCTGCTTACTCGTTAATTTCCCCTCTTCTGGACTTTCACGGGTAGGTAAGTTTCAAACCCACCTTTCTGTTTTGGGGAAAGAAAGAGTTACAAAAAGCAGCACTAGCCTCTTCTTCGTGATTTCAGGTCCTCAGATTGAGCCTGTATGAAAGGACTAGCCCGTGCACTTGCACTGATTTAGCGTTCTGCATGAACCTGTCTTACAAGTGCAGCTCCATTTTGCATCAGCCCAAAGCCAACCGTGAATTGGGTCCTAATCCTGGATTTCAGCCTCCTGGACTGCCATTGCCACACTCGTAGGGGATAAAGCAAATGGATGAAAGAGCAGTGGGCTGTCAACTCAAAGCAGAACAAAATCCCCTCATCAAGAAAAAAAGCACACGTAATTCTCTGTTTCTCCCGAAAACATGCTGGAACATAAACTGGAAACACACTTTGCAAGGCTTATTACAATAAAACATCATGGGAGAGCTGGTTTTGCTACAGCTGACTGAAAATGAATATTGAGCATCTTCCTGATGAAACTGGAGCAGACTGGCTCTACAGAGTCCTGTCAAGAACCATCCAGAAATTTTAAGACTCTTCTTAACATTTTCCAGATATTACGCAGGGACGTCTCAGGCTCCTAAGATGACCAGGCTCAGACTGCAGTTTCACAACCAGCTTAAGCAGCTCTACTCAACCCAGCCGTGCAGCAAGACAGACAGACAGCTGCCTGGAAAGAAGCCTGCCTTTGGGCAGCAAGCCACAGATCTGGGAGATGCAACTGCGGCAGGCCTTCTGCATCTGCTACCGACATCTGTTAGATGCAACTACAGTCCTCTTGCAGGGACAGGCTGTGGGCCCAGCTCCCACCTTCGCATTTTCAAAAGCAGCAGTGGCAGATGCCTCCAAAACCTGCAGGGCTGTGGAGCCCTCACAGGTATGTCCTCACCACAAACCTTTTGGGACAGATGGGGAAGTTGCTAAGCATTGGCCTTAGATGCCAACCAACATCCTTTTTCTTTTCTTCCTGTACAAACAGCACTCTCCAACAACACTGAGCTTTAACAATAGAGAGGAAAATGCTTTGTCCTGAGTCCCCATTGCAGGATTAGACACAGCTCTTAGTTAGGCATGACTGCCCACACTCCACCTGCATGCTGTGAAGCTCCCTGCCTCAAGTCAAGTAGTACAAGTGATTGCTAGAGTATGAAGCACACTCTGGGGCTTGTAACTCTTCTTTGCACTGCACCTCCCACAGCCAGAATGCTCGGGAAGAAGGGGTCTCCCCTAATTCCCCACTCCTAACCTGGGACCACGCTGCTACACTACTTTGTGGGCTGCTCTAGTCCTTCTGCTCAGAGCCTACATCCTGATGCTGTATTCTTTGGAAGCCAAGTGACACATGTTTGGGGGCACACATCAGACCTTACAAGCCAGTCCCCAAGGAGAGGAATAAGGCTCGTGTGAGGACAGAGCACCAAAGGATGTGCTACAGCAGCACGTGGAAGTGAGAAGGCTGCGCGGGCAGGACCCCGCAGGGTGGCTGCCATGCTTCCACCTGGCTGTCCCCCGGGATGAAAGAGCAACTCAGCCGTTTACTCCCCACAAGGACAGCCCAGCATGAATCATTTGGGTTTAATCCTTCCCTGAAACCACAACTGAATTCAGGAGTCTTTGAGAGAAACAATGAGCATTACAGCCTCCAGGCAAAAAGGACTACATTTTCCCATCACGTCCAAGTGTGCACCTTCCAGTTTTTGTACACAAAGGTATGCAGCCTTTTAAAATGCATTATTTTAGCAAATGCACATAAAAACTAGCAATATACATTAGAAACAATATTGAAACGTTAACATATGCAGCGAGAGCACACATGTCCTTTTCAGCATGCCTTTTTCCTGGGAGGACATTCTCCTGAGAACATCAGAAAGAGCAATGGATCAACAGATCCTGCCTCCTCATTGATTGGCAATGTAAAAATAGCATTTACCCATCACGTCTGACTACCAACAAGTTTCTTATTACACTGAATTTGTTTATTTCTGCACAGTCTATAACTGGACTCCTTTTACCAATTAAGAGTCACTTGCAGGACTTCCTCAGGCTTCATGCATCAAGCACACTAATTAAAGTTTATGAGTAAGTAGCAACTAGGAGAATCAACTGGCTTATGCAAATGCAGAAGCATAGGAAAGAACCAGTGAAATACAGGACAGCAGGCAAACCAGCTTCAGTGTCCATGCCAGAACATGAAGGCACTGCCAAGAAAGCCAGTGCAGAAGTGCAAAGTTGCATGACCAAGGCAGCATCACATGAGATCCTTCCAAGATTAAGGGAAAAGAATTGTTTGAGCAGCCATTCAATCACAGCAAGCCCGCCTCCACGCAAACACAGGGGCACAACGCTTTCGAGACAGATCCTTACAGAAAGCTCACTCACGGGCATACGCGGGCAGAGCCAGGAGCGCAGTGAAGAAAGCGCCGGGCATGGTCTGGTGCCTCAGAGTGAAGACGAACAACAGGAGATACTTTGGGTTGCTCTCCCTGTGCACTTCGGCCAAGTACTGAAATTTCTCTTTATTACAGACTGCTCATACTTTGTACTGATGTGAAACAGGAGGGGCAAAGCATGGGCAGAGCGCTGTGCCAAGGGCTTTACAACAAGGCGAGCAGGCTGCCTTCCCTGCTCCTGCAACTGTCAGGATGTTTCAGCAGTGCAGGGAGAGCACCAGCAGTGAGACCTGATCTCTTTCCTAGAGACTCAGGAGAAAAGCACCTTCTTCTATCATGCTACTTAGAAACAGGTGAGGTCTCAGGACCCAGAAGCCTATCAGCTAGTTCTCTAACCAGGCACATACTCCTTTTTCAAGACTACCAAGGCTATAAAGTATAAAGGTGTGTAGTTTTTTTGTTTTTTCCCCCAAACAAGTTTATTAAACACTTGCTTACCCTATTATTTAAACCCTTATTTAATCTATTAAGTTCAAGCACCTGACAGACCGCCTGTGCAGGAAGCCTCCTGCCACACTTGCATTTTTACATTCGAGCTGCTCAGCACTGGCTCGAACAGACCACTCACCACCCGAGATACTTTGCAGAGCTGTCAAAAAATAAATAAATAAAAATAGTTCTCACCAAGACCTTACAGCAGTTCTAGAAGCAAACAGCGCACGAAGCGTTTAACAGAAGGCATCGTTACAACTAAACGGGCAATACCTGGACCTGCAGGGCGAATAGGAACCAGTCCCCTTCCGTGCCGATGCTGAATGGTGCAAAAAGAGCAGGCAAAGTCACAGCGGGTGCAGGACGCGGCTCACAGACCTTCCTCGGGCCGTTCCCCCCGGTACCGGGGCTCCCCGGGCTCGCACCGCCTCCCCCTCCCCTCCCCTCCCCTCAGCCCCCTCACGGCGGGGCGGCAGCGCCGGGGCCGGGCCGAGCCGAGCAGGGGGCGGGGCTACCGGGCTAGGGGGCGTGGCCAGCGCGCCCCGCCCGCGCCGCGGCGCCCACGTGGAGAGGCGGCCCGCACGCACGCCCACCTGGCGGCTGCGGCACGGGATTGGCGGAGAGGGGCGGGCGGTGGGCGGGGCGAGGCCGCGCTGCGCTCTCTGGTTGGTGGAGGGCGCCGTCAATCCGCGCGCCTCGCCGCGGGCGGTGCTGAGCCTGAGGGGGGCGTTGGGGTTGGGGCGGTTACGACCGTTAACGCCCGCTGAGGGGAGGGGTGGGGAGGGGCGGGGGCGCCTCGCTTCGTGGCTCAGGGAGCGTGGCTCCGAGGTGGTCCAGTGGCCAGGTTTATGTCACTGTGGCCAAGCCGAGGCTGCTCCTGCCGTCCTTCCAGCCGCTGGGCTGTGCTGAGCAGCCCAGTGCGTGGTGCCAGGGGCTGGTAACAGCTCCCCACTGTACAAACACACACGTCCCAATGTCCCGGTGTCCCTCCTTCTCTCCCTTTGCTCATGGCTGCAGCACCTTCCTCGTGCCGGCTCTGGAGCACTGCAGATGCTAAGCCGATCTAAAAGGGCAGAAAATCCCTTTTTTTTTGGCTGGAAGAGCAGTCTGCCGTGCTGGTGATTAGATGGCCTCAGGAAGCGATCCCAGTCAGCACCTTTCAATGTCATCCCCTACGTCTCCTCACTTGCTTTCCAGCACGGATTTCAGAATTTAATGTAAGAGCAGGGAATCTGTTGCCTAAGTTTAGGCTCTGCTGTTGAACTTGTTCTTATATAACCCAAGACAATGCGTGAAGCTTGCAGCAAAACCAGCATGGCACTCCGGTGCCAGTAGGGCTTTCTGTCAGCTAGCTCGGAACGGGAAATGTGAGCAACCAGTTCTCAACTGTTGCCGCATGCTTCTGGGCTTGGATCAAAGAAAACATTACACTCGTTTCCAAAATCCTAGTTCATCTGTCTGGGACAGGATCCTTTAGCGAGAATGAAGGACTGCGCCTTGCCTGCTGAGGCAGGGCTGTGCTTCATGGCATGGCACGTTAACCCACGGTCCTCATCACTCCCTCAGGAACCACAGGGCTCTCACAGCTGAATTTCCCTCCCACAGAACCTGAGGAGAACCAGGAAAGCATGGGTTAGCTGTGGCTGCCAGGCTAGCTACGGTCAGAGTGGAATATGTTAGAGTATGTCAGGTATGGGACTGTAAATAGAAGTCTAGTAATTATCCTGCATAGCTGGTCTCCGAGGATTGGCAGACTTTGTGTGTCTCCCTAGAGAAAACAAGCAGCATTTTGAGAAACATCAGAGCTGCAGGAAAATGGAGATAGCGTTAGCCTGTTTGTTTTTGAAGGAGACATCAAAGTGTTGGAGACTGGAGATATCTGTGTTCCGAGGAGATACCACTTCGCCTTCTGAACGTGTCGACTCCAGCTCTCCTACCTGCAGTGCAGATAAGCGAGTTCATCCAGCTTGCTCTGTAATGGGGAAGCCAGAGGGGGGATTTGTGGAGGAGTGCTAATAAACCGGTGTCTTCATTCAGAAAGTAGAGATCCTTTTGTAAATGTGTGTCTCATGCAGTCTCACTGAAGTCGTAGGGACTCCATGCAAAAGTAAAAGTTTGCATAAGCAGATGTCTTTGCTCATGGTCTCGTCTGCACTGCATGTAGATGAAAGGATTTCACAGTGTAAAAGGGAAAGCTGGGGTTCGCCTTCACGGTCGTGGAAAAGAATCTCTTTCCTCTTACAATAATCTAAAAAATGCACGTAGGAAATAGTTTTGTTACTAGTTTATTTTCTAGCTCACAAGAAGCACTGCGGCTCGGGGAGAAACTTGTTTGTAGTGTCTAGAAACAAAGGAGTTTTCACTAATGATCTCTGGGAGCTGAAGCTGGCTTCAAGCTGTTCAAGTCATGAGAGGATGACTCAGAAGTCAGAAATTCGAGGCATTCTTATGGCTAGCATTTAATCAACAGGCAAAGTGTTGGGAAGTAAGCAGAAGAAATCAATGGCAAATCAAAGAAGAATAGGTCAGCTATTCATTAGAGAGAGGATTGATCTCTGGGTTATTAACAGAAAAGAGGGCATGAAATGAATCCTAAAGAAAATTTAAACTAGCAGTGGCTGCAGTGAACTGATGGGGAGCCTTTTAAAAAATTACTTGACTTTCTTGCATGAAAGGCTGCTCCCAGTACTCTGCACCCTCCATTTAAATCAGTCAGATCCCTGCTGCACTTGTTATTGAGACTCCCCAAGCATAACACAACTCTTGCAGTGGCAATAATTATTTGTATATATTTGTCATTGTGTATACAGACATTGTAGATATTACACATGAGATGATAATAATCTGTTCTCTGTTAGCATGCATGCTGAGGCAAAATCTTATTTTGTGATGTTTCAGCACATAATAGAGCTTGATTTTGCTGGCTTTCATTATTCCTGTAAAATCATCAATGGCGTAGGGCTTTTATGATTAACATTGCAAAATCTGGCTTACTTTTGACCTCTGGGACAGGGAATTGGTGTTATTGTGTGTGTGTATGTTGTGTTTTTGTTTGTTTTTTTTTTAACTCTAAAATATCACATGTATCTATAATAGCACGCAAACAATAAACAACACTAATAAAATTGCAGGGTGGCTTACATGCTAATAACAGGATTTGTATTATTAGCTATAATTAGTCATTATTATACCAAAAGCTGTACATAATACATGGTTATAATTGATGAGTTTTGAGATGTCAGTTTACATTAAATAAGAACCAAATGTGCTGTATGATGACCATCACCCACATGATGCTGCAGGCAAGGCCAAGGTATAGCTCTGGAGCTAAAAACTGTTTGTTCAGGACTGGCTCCTGTGCCAGGGATATGCCTTGTGACTGCGAGGCAGTAGGAAACAACTTTGCATTATACCCTATTGTATCTGGTGTTTTACAAGCAGTGTGTAGCCAGTCTTTAATCCCAGAGGATCCCTGTGTCCTTCCTCCTTGTGAGGTTTGCCATCGAAACAGAGACACCTTCAGGCAGTAAGAGAGCAGCTGCTTACCAGGGCTACCTAATGCTGCAAAGCTTTGGGAACCGTGTGGGCAATCTGGGCAGGCAGGATGGGCTCATATGATCCCTTATGATTGTAAGGGATCATCTGACCCTAAAGTGCAGAGATTGTAACTCTGACCAAATTCCCAGAGCCCTTTCCTGCTGCATTTTGCGCTTCCTTTCAAGGTTTCCTAACCCAAGCTGCACGCAGGCCTGGACCTGTGTTCATTATGCAGCCTCCTGAGATCACATGGCTGCTGGCCACGAAGAGTTTAAATCACCTCTCTGGTAGGACCCATTCAGCACCGAGGTGTTATCTCTAGCTAAAAACACACAAGCTGTTGGTGTGAGCTCCCTTTTGGGATCACAGTAATGCCACTTCCCTACATTACATAAAATATAATGATCTGTAGCAGTTCTTCCCCATCAGGGTTTGTCAGTGTTTGATACAGTAATGGCACAGGAGGAGGTGACTTATCTGACCATGTGCTGCTGTTTGAATTGCGAAGTTTTAGTTACATTAACTTTAAAACCACGTGAGTGCTGTTAATTCCCTGCCCAAGGATTCTCAGTGCTTATTGTTAGTGCTAGACTTTGATCACAACATTAATTATACATCTTTTGCATGGCAAATATATACTTCATGTTGTCCATTTACTGCTTAAGGAAAAAAAATCTCTCCAGCTGTCTACTCCGTGAAAGTTTTCCTCTCAGCTCCTAAGGAAAATCCTGCCAAAGCCACACTTCCCAGAGGAGTAATGGCCTCTGCTCTATCTGATGATACACAGATGATATGTTTCACATGGGCTTTGCTTTTGCTTTTATATTCTCTCAGCTATGTATTTATTTTTGCTCTATTTGGAATTACTTTCTGTATTATTGTTCTCTATTTTTTTTCCTTTTACTCTCTAGCTTAAATATTTTTAATGCAAAAGGAAAAATAACACCACTAGCTAATGGGAGCAGCAAGATTTTAGTTACAAAAACTAATTGACTTTTGAAATAATTTGGAACTATTTTCTCTGCTTAAGCTATTATATATATCTATATCAAATAAAGATTTTATTTTTCTATTTTTCAACTGAATATCTGTTTTACATTTTCATTATATTTGCCTGCATTTCTGTGTTCTTTTCTAGATCAAATGATTGGAGTGCCTGCAATTGCAAAGTGTTAGAGTAATGTTAGAGGCAGCAGAACCAGTAAGGATTCTTCTATATAATAACTTTTTTTTTTTTTTTTTTTTTTTTTTCATGCCAAAAGCAGTGTCCTTTCTCATTTTCTCATTTTTTGAGAATGTGTTTGTGTGTTCCCTCAGATTCACCCCTCAGCAAATCGGGATGTGGAAGAAATGTAATCTTGGCTGATGCGATCTTGCCTGCGGAGCGCCTTGTGGCTTCACACAAAAGCGAGCTGGTGTTTCTGGTGGGGGAATGGGGAGGGGGCCTGCAGTGCATCAGGAGGTAAACGTGCCTGGGAGCAGCTCCACAAGCTCCAAAGTCCTACGTGCAGGAAACAATTGCCTGAACAGAGGCCACCGCTTGCAAATGCCCTGGCCTTTCTCTACCTCCTGCCACCAGGCAGCATTTCGGATTCCCCTACCTTGGGAAATGTTGAGCCTGGATGAGAAAACACTGGAAAAAAGTGGGGAGAAAACCAACAATGAGAATACTGAACTGTAAATTTAATGGAAGAGAATAAATTTCCTTATGGGCTGTGTCATTCTGCTCCTTAAATAAGAAATGGACTATGAAAAGGGGGAGGGGAGGGGGCTGCATTTAGGCTGAATATTTCCATGAAGTAATGGCACAAAGACGATTTGAATTACCCACAGGATGAATTCAGCCTGACGTGTAAAATCTATTTCTACCATTATCGCTGCTAACCTAAGCCTATTCACAGATAATTACAGTCAAGTACTTACCGAGCTCTTGCTCATCTGTTTTTCCCTCCTGCCCATTTAGTAAATGCATGAGTTATGCATTAGCCCTGGTATGCTGTATCAAAGCAGCAAGAGCTTTGACATTAGACAGCAGGAGTGGAATATAATAAGGCAGGAAATAAACAGTGAAATCCATAAACAAAGGGTTGTAAAAATAACAATTAGAAGTCAGTTATGTTCCAGTAAGTGAAGATCTTAGACTGAAACAATTTGAATTTACAACAGTGTCAGTACAAATGTAGGTCAAATTTAGTATCTGGCTAAAGCATGTTTCTAATTTTTGTATTGCTCGAGGCAAAACATGAAGAAAAGGCATTGCCTCTACCTGACTTAAAACCCTATTGAAAGTCACAAGGAGTTATCTTCTGCTGTACAGATACATTCCTTGAACATTCTTGTTCTCCTCAGCATGTGCAGGATAAAATTTCTAAGGTGCCTAGGTCCCGCTGCCTTCCTCATCACATTACCTGTGCGGTGAGCAAGGGGTCTGGATGAAATCCCAGCTCCGGTGCAAAGCCAGGGATCATGGCCAACAGTGATGTGATATCTGCTCATAGGGGACATGACATCAGGAGAAGTGCCCTAGATATGGCATCAGTTCCCAGAGAGCGTATTTTGAAGTAAATGAGTGAAAGAGGTAACTGGGCTTCCCCTCATGGCTGGTGAGCGCTTTCAGAGCAGCGGGGTGGGTGCCTTGGGGTAGGAAGTAAGCCAGGCTTTGCCCTCACCTCCCAAAGTGGGGTTGGACTTAAAGCTAATACACAAGCCCCCGGCAGCCTCCTCCTGCTTCTCTTCCCCCTCTCCTGGGCTCTGCCTCTGTCCTTCACTGCTAACACCTTGCTGGTCAGAGGCTCGGTGGCCTGTAATAGCAGCCCTGCATACTTGTGTTTTTGCCTTGATGCTGGAGGGAGTGATGTGTCCCTTAGTGCCCAGACAGAACCATTTACTTGGAAATGAATGTTTCAACCTGTCATGCTCAACGAAGAAAAAATGACTTATTCCTGAAAAAAAAATCAGAGCTGACTGAAAGCTTTTATCAAGAAATATACTCACATTTCACCAAACTGCAATGGTTTTAGGGGCTGCCTGGAGGTGTTAACATGTCTGCTGCAACTCTCCTTGTTAAAGTATTTCTGAATTGAAAGCAATTTCATCACATTATAAACATTTCATCAAGTTATTAAAACAACTGAGGTATCTTATAAAAAGGTCTCGAGCACTGACAACCCCTTGTAAACAAAGAATGTGGCTGTGAAACATAATCCTTGGTGGGATTAGTTTCTGTCCTTTAGAAGGGACGGTACTTCAAGTCACGCAAAGACAAGGTAAAAGCTGGAGATGAAGGGTGGGAAGTGGAGAAAAGCTTAAAGTAATAAAAAACTTGCACACAGGGGTTCCTAATCTGCAATGACTGCAAACATGTCTCACTGTCTTCAGTTTTGAATAAATCATGCTATCTATACCAAGGTTATCTCCTTTTGTCATCATGCATCAAGTAAAGATGAGAAACTCAAGTCAGCCTGGTTCACTTACAATTGCTTCCAAAATGTACTTAGAAACTTGAAAGGGTAAGGTGTTCTCTAATTTTATGTCTGTATCAGTTATGTCTCATAAAAACTGTTACTGGTATTGATTGCTTTCAATCGTCTGGTTCAAAATCGAGGGTTGAGTTTTGAGGTGGGTGTTGGTTTTTCTTTATTATTTTTTTTTTCATTGTTCTCCCCACAGGAAAATGTCCACGGCCTCTTGGAAATGATCCCATGAAGAAATGAGTCCTACTTTTTAAAATAGCTGGTTCTATTCCTTCCATTAAAATGACAAAGAAAATACTCATCTCATAGCAATGAAAGCAATTTTTAGTGTTGTCTCTTGCCATCTCCAGGGATAAAGCTGAGGAATAAAGCAGGATAAAGCAGGAGGAAGCCCTGCTAGTGTGGAAAAGAGCTCCTTGAGTGGGGAGTCTCATTCCCAGTGGGCTCTGGGCACTGCCCTGGATGTAGCATTTGGTCAGGGTAGACATAAGCAGGTAAGCAAGCTGATGGAAGAGCTTGTTTCAGCAGCCACCAAAGCACTTTTAGCCAGGCATGGGCTCTTCTTTCTCAGGCCATTGAGAAACGCCATAGTAAGGTGCCTATGCACGTTATAATGCCCACCGCATTTTTTTTCTTCTTCATTTGATCGTCTTGCTTTGAGATGACAAATACTTTCTTTTCGTCGTTTTTTAAATTGCAAGAATTACAAGAAAATTAGAAATAAGTATTAATTTCCAACTATCTGACATATGCCAGTTGTGTGAATCTGCATACATAAGGTTTTTGATTTACTGCATTGCAGCTCTACAGGGGTAAAAATAAGTAGGGTAAGTACTTCCAAGTAAATAGAGGTATCTTTGTCATCCCCGCAGTCATGTGTCCAGTGCAGAAAGCCAGTCCCTGCCCTAATAGGTGAAAAGTACTTTCAGATTCCTGCAGTGCTTTTGCTATCTAGGTGTTTAGGTCTTTCCCCACAAGCTCACCTCTGTGAAACAGAAAATAGTCCTTCCAAAATAATTTAGACTTGATCCTCCCATGCAAAAATATCTATGTGCCTGCATCCAACCATGTCCTATGTCCCAGAGGCAACAGGCAACATCACTGCTGCCGATGTACTGGTGATGCCCATGGCAAAGATTTCTCTCTCATGTTGCCCACACATGACCTGGAAGCAGGGTTATCATGACCTGCTGAGGAGGCAAACAGCATAGCTTGCTGCTGACCAGGTGGGCTAAGCACTGATCCTGGGTGGCAAGGGGGCAAATTCCCCCAATCTGTGTTTAGGCACCTAATTTACAGCTTGGTTTCAGCTTACAGCTAAGCTGGTCCAGCCAAAAGCAGCTCTGCTCCTTTCCTCTCCCTGCCATATGCTTCTGCTGCTTTGGAGAGCAGTCCAGTGACTGTACAGCTGCAGGGTGAATCGATCCATTTGGCCAACCCCAGAAGACTAATCCCGTGGAAAAAGCGAGCTGTTTCTCTTACTATTGGCCAGATGAATCAGAGCAGCCTCCTTGAAGGTAATTGCCTGTCAGGATCTGGGGAGGGATGGCAAGGACCCTGCAGCTGGAGATGTTGCAGTGGCAAACAACCTTTCAGCAGAAACCCGCTGTTAGTTAGGCTTGATAAAATATGAAATGGCACCTAACCCACTGAAATAGAAGGCTGAAATCTCTGGGCAGTTGCATGTTTGCTGCATCTGGTGAAGCAGAAGAGAGGAAGGGGGTAGCCAGGGTAACTGCAATTAGGAGATTAGTCTGTCATGCTCCTAATGGAGCCAACAGAGATGCTGCTTGGGGGGTGAGGGTGGGGTCCTCAGACTCTTTGTGCCCTGTCTCCTCTATTCTGGAAGAGTTTTGTGTCTTTATCTACACCTGCTTTTCCTCAGCTTACATTCCCTTTCCCCTGGATGGGGCACATCAACCAGTTAGAGAAGGAAACTAAAAATGCTACCTCTAGCTGGCCTTGGAAGGCCTGTCTCCCTTCTGTGACTGACCATACAGGTTGTCTCACCTACAATTTGGCAGCACAAATAACTCTCAATAGCCCAGGCATGTATTCCTGTGTAGGCATCTGACATCAGTGATTTGAATACATGTAAATAAGACCTCAGTGTTTGTGGATCTGGGCCTTGAGTATTTGATCTGCACTGCTCGCAATGAAAATTTGTAGTTTCTTGGTTAATCAGAGGTAAGTTGAGAGAGGGGTTTGAACATGAAACCCTGAGCATGGCACCTTCAAGTTCCTGACTAGAATCTGAGGGACAGGAAGAAGCTTGCCTGAGTCCAGGAAGGAATGGTAAGCCTTGTGTATGTTTGGATAAGACTTGGGGCTGTAGATAGGACTTGGAGTCTGAATATTGGTATGTGCAGAGTAGTGGGACACAAGTCTTCATGAGGACGGGCAGATCCCTTAGTGAAATTGTCAGTAGCTGTGTTGATACTAATTTACCAAAGGTAAACATTGCATGGTCACTGTAGGTGCTCTAGCAGAGTGCAATCTCTTCTTTGCTGGAACAAAAACTAAATGGCATCATCCATCCTGTATTAACCTACCCTTAGTCTTACGCAAGGATAAACTGATGAATGAAGCCAAATACGGTGAGATAGCGAGCAAAAAAAAAAAACACTGTCAAGATTTATCTGCATTTACTCAGTAGCCCAGGAACAGAGCTGTGATGGCTGTGGTGATGAGCCTGAGGAATGCTGCTGGCATTGAGAGCTCTCTGCTGTGTCACACATTCCTGTGTTTTGCAGTCACATTAGGATCTGAAGGAATTAGCCCCAGGAAAGCTCAGAGTTTATTTCAGGTGGGTAAACTCTGTTTTCTGGTCTTTTGGTCGGCAGTGGGAAACATTCTCAGCGATTGAAGAAAAGATCAACGGGCCAGATAAGGATTTGGTATCTTCCAGATGGCAGGTTATGAAAGCAGAGAAGAGGGCTGCTTCTGTCAGGTGTGGGCTAGGAATGACAAAGAAATTTAACTCCGTTCCAAAAATGTTAACCATATTGTTCACGCTCAGCAGTGAGGGGGCCTGTGGCTGCTACGAGATTAACCTTGTGACCCCGACAAGAGTTTAGACCAGCCTGTCAAAAGCATTATGCTTGGAGGCAGTAATCATTCTTTATTAGAAGAGCAGTGGCTCTGCCTTGGTTTCTGCTGCCTACCTATGGATTGTGTTTTGGCTGCAGCACCACCTTTAGGAAATGGTTCATAGTTTAATTATTAACAGCTGCAGATTCCTAAAGGCTGTGCACAGCCACTGGGTGCTCCGGTCTGGATTAATTCACTCTTAAAAAGCAGCCCAATGTGAAAATGGTATAACGATGATTTTCCATAGGGCTGCTATGGGGACAGCAGTACTCTGTAAATTACTTCAGAGTGCATAAATGTTTCTAATGAAGGAATTAGGGGAAGTTTCAGTTCATATTTTCAAGTGAACCTAAGAGCTGAGGTTTTAGAATGGCTGCTCTTCTCTACATGGCCATTGCTTTTGGGTCATGCTGTTGACACATCCTCTGAAAGACCACGGTCTGAAGGGAGCAGCACTGAAATTGTTGCAGCCTTGGTGGTCCCAGAGAAGTGCTTTCAGGGAGTGGTAATAGCCCCTAGAGCTGTAAAAAGTGAGCATGCTTTTGGGCCCAGAGGCTCTTCAATAGGATCGCACAGAGCCATCGGCTGATCCCAGTGCTTCGCTTCCACAGCTTGGTTGACCTGTGGCTGCTCTGCCAAGTCTCCCAGCTGAAGTTACCATTGTCATCGTTTTCCAAACTTGTTTTGTTGTTTTTTTTCACATCTCTGTTGACAGGTTCTCTGTAAGGTAAAGTGTGAAGCGATTTAGTGTCTCATTCAGTAGGCTGGTTCACTACAGGAAGGCTCTGTGGTGGTTCAGATATCGCAGCATGTATTCATAATAAGTATGCACTGAATGCTAGTGAACAAGAAAATAACCAATGTAGGCAAGAGGATATATTCATTGTGGTCATGAAAACTGATAACAACATAGATGAAAAGCAGTTTTTAAACAAGAAACTCTCTTTTAATAATACCATTCCATATGGACCCCCCTGTAGAAACCTAATAGCCACAAGAGACTACTTACACGGTTTCCTGCAAACACCTAGATCCTTCCTGCATCCACTTGTGACCCTTTTAGTTTTTGTCTTCCCACATGCCATCTGAGAGTTATATTTGGGAATGTTGTGGTCAAACACATCTCATTTTTACATCTATAACATAAAGGAGGAAGGCAAAGGATGACATTTGTACTTCTCAGGAGCACTGTGGCTGTTCATGTTGATAAAACAGTCTGGAAGTACAAACCCTTACTGTTGCTGACTACTTATACCCTCAGAGAAGCTAAACCAGCAGCATTCCTCTCAGTTCCCCTTATCCCCGTGTTTATTTTGGTGGGGATGCGATCACCTGCTTTTTGCAATCAATTGGTGCTGCCAGCAGGATCATAATAGGGCATGTTCAACTGCAGTCTCCCTTGGGGCTGGTGAGCATCTCCCTCCTAGCCTTTCAGGACAAAAAGCTGCAGTGAAGCCATTCATCTCGGGGCACAGGCGTTACACCACAGGGGGAGGTGCAGAGTTTTTAATGCATGAAGTCACTGCCATTCACACTGAACTAATGAAAACACTGTCTTTAGCTATGTTTAAAATCCCTTGGATGCCTGTGTGTGTGCGTGCGCACCGAGGGACAGATGAATGATACTGTGAGGTCTTTGATACCTTCTTCAATGAGGCTAATTGTCTCTGCATAATTTTTGGACAAGCCTGCAATAATGATGTTTGGTTGCTGCGTAGGATTAGCATGTTTAGCAATAGGAGAAGGAGAAAAAGGGAGAGATGGCATCCAGTACCTAGGTGATGGGTCCGGCTCGGTGACATGCATCTGAATGAGACATGCCTATTTAACCCTAGCATCATTTTTCTAGCTAATCATGGAATGTGCATGACATTTGTTATTACTGACATTATAATGCATCCATTCACGCCACTAGGACTGCTAAGCTGTTCCCACTGGAAGTAATGGGAGCTTTGTATAACCTCAAGGGAAGCAGGATTGGGTCTCACTAGAGCAGGTCAGGAAGTTTCTCGTCAGCTTCATTTTTAGGGAGCCAGATAAGTGATGCAGAGGTCCTCCTGCTGCCATTCTGATAAGGACACGTGCAGACTTAAGGTTATATGCTTTATATTCACTTCTTATTATTTCCACATCATAAGGTTGTTTTAGGAGTATCTGAGTTTTTTGGCTTTCAAGCATGCATTTGTTGTTTCACTTGATTCCTTATTACAGAGAGCACTGTAATTCAGTTTTCATTCCCATCAGAAGAATTGTGTGATTATGAAATCACCTTCCTCATGGCAGGTGAGATAGGAGGCTGAGGGAGGGGCCTTGGCCCTTGCCCTCTTGAAATCAAAACGAGTTCTTCTCATCTGCATGCATTGGACTATTGTCCCGATTCTGTCACTGACATTAATGTATGACAAAAATATTTGCCCTTTTATGTATTGATTTTACACTAGTTAGAAACATCACAGCTATTCTTGACTTTCTTGCCTCACAGGAGTGCTACAGGAAATTTCTGAGACCATTTGACAAAGTCCTGGTACTGCAAACTGTGGATGGAAAGAAACATGCATCAGAATGTTAGACACTTAACTCACTGATGTCTATATGGGTCTTCCATCACCCTACATATCTACAAGAAATGGGGCCAAAATGTACTAGGGCAGGATGTCAGTATTAAAGTGCTCTGCAGTCTGCAGATGGATATGGAATTGGGGTGCTTTTGGCTCTCAGGCAGGAGTTTTCTCAGTCCTAATTGGAGTTGCATATTGGTTTTCTATAGCGCAACCAACATGCATTGTAAAGATTGTTTTAAACACTGCATATTTTCCTTTATTTATTTATTTATTTATTTATTTATTTATTTATTATGCTTCAAAATGCTTCCAACAATTTCTTGTTCAGAACAGAAACTAGCCTTGAAGACCAGGCACATTCCCATTGTTTCTCAATCAAAATGGGATATTATTATGAGTGGTCTTATGCTGAGATTGTCACTAAACCCAAGATGTTGTTAAGGAATTGGCTAGCCCTTGCAATCCCTGATATGCTCTAGTTCTACATTTTGTGTAACTCAATTTAGACAGCCACCTAATAAATGTTTTTTAAATGTAACAGTAACATTGCTGTCTCTTTTTGAAGCCGGTGGCAAACCTCCAATTCTCCTCTCAGTATTCATTGCCTGCAGAACCCAGCAAAGCTTCAGAGACCAGAAAAATGTATTTTTTACATTTACACAGTGTTAGGTCTACATCATGTCACGGCTCTTGGGAGACAGTCTCTAATCAACACGAAGCCGTATCTCTTGAGGCTACAGTACTGTAGCATTAGTTGAATGACTGAAAATGGTGGGTCAGAAGTCTGCTGTGTCCATAGATGGGATGTGGGACTGAGAGGATAACTCTCCTTGCTGTGCAATGGTCTCCTCAGTCCCATATTCATGTATTGAAGAAAGAAAAATATTCAGAAAAAAGCCTCCTGAACACTGACTACATCCCCTAGTCCCAGGTGGGGTTGTATACCCACCCGTACATGTACTGACCCTCCCAAAGGCATACCCATGCAGTAGAGCAAGGTGTGTGGACATCCTGATGGCAGCACCGCAGTGCCAGGGCCATCACAGCGGCGTGATGGCAGGTGGCACAGCACTCGCAATACGGCCGGGAAGGTGCAGGCCGGAGCGAGGCGGCCGTACTGGGAGTCACGCAGCCCATCCTTTGAAGTCAGGGAACAGTTTCCAAGTGCCATTTGTGCCCCTGGCTTAGTTTGCATACACGGCATTACATCACCCAACAAAGCAGCCTTCAGTCAAGCCCCGCACAATAGCAAGGGGTTGGCTGGGCTCCATGGGGGGTTAATAGTTGCCCTGGGAACGCCACATTCCAGCATCAGCTGCTAATGTGCAAAGCATGCTGTTCGGGGCTGGCCAGGAGCAGAGCATGGGAAAATTCTTGCATACTTTATGAGACAGAAACAAACCCACTTTCAGCAGAACAACGGCGAGGCATAATCCCCCCCACCTCGCCCCCGCCGCCTTCGCCCACCCCTCGGCAAGCAAAACGCTCTGGACCTTTGTGTGAGGGCTGAAAGGTTCGTGCTCCAGGGTATTTTGCCAATAAAGCAAACCAAAAACAGGTTCCGATCCAAGACTGCATTTTCCACGTCTCAGGAGATGAATGGGTTTAGTGTTGAATATCTTAAGCATAATTTCATACAGTGCATCCGGGCAACCATGGCCAGGCCCTCCTGTGGAAGGCTAACACCTGGGACAAGGGGAGCACATCCTGGCCTAATGTCATGAAACAACTGTCTGTCTGTCTGTCCCAGTCCTTCTTTCTCTCTTCTTCTGGACTGGCAGGTTACTGCTCTGAAGAACAGTGCTACAACATCACCCTGTTGCCCCCAGAGCCCCTGTTTGTACTGAAGCAGCCTTGCTTATTTGCAGAAAAATTGTCATTGAGGACAATTTCTTAGTGTAAGGTTTAGTAAGTACGAGCGCATCTGTATATGTGTGCATGGCGTTGCCACTCTGTCCTCTTGTACGGGCAGAGCTGGCCTCAGCAGAGGCAAAACTGGTTCATCTTTGGTTAAGAAGAAGCTAAACAAGAACTTTACCAAGGAAGTAATGCAAAGCACAGCTTTGTAGCTCCGTAGTGTGTTTATGTAGCAGAAGGATCAGTGGTGTGGAGATCCTGTTTGTTGGTTTCATTAGCGGGTTTCAATTTTATTTTA